TAATAAATATTTTTATAAAACTATATTTATATTAATAATATTATTAATAATTAAATTATTTAATTTAGTTATTTTATTTATATTTTTATATTTATTAAAATTATTATTTAATTTTATTATTTAATTTTAAATTATTTTTAAATTATTATTAATATATAATACTATATTAGGGTTATTATTATTATTATATAAAGGGTTATTATTTACCTCTTTATCCTCTATATTAAGGTTATTTTTATTTAGGTTATTATTATCATTTAATTCCATTAAATCGAAATTAATATTAGAGGTATTATTATTTTTATTATTAAAATCAGCTAATAAAGCCTCTTAGTTTTTAATACAGTCTTTTAAGGCCCTATTATCCCTATTATTCTTATTAAATGAATAATTAGGGTTATTAGGTAATTTCCAGTTATTAAGGGCTTTAGAAGGGTATAAAAACCAATACTTATCAACTATATAATTATTAATCTTATAATATATATAATAAATGCCTTTAGTCTTTTTATAAGGCTTTTTATTAATTTTAAAACTATTATTATTAGTTTTAAAACTATTAATTTTATTTTATTATTATTTTTATTTTAAAATAACCTTTTAATATAATAAACTTTATTATTACTCTTTTTATTTTATATTTATTAATAATAGTTGAAAATAATAATTTAAAAGTATAAGTTTTAAAGTTATTTCTTAAAGCTTAAATAACTTTAAAGATAAAATTTTATAATTATTATTTAAATTAAATAAAATTTAGTTAATAATTACTTTATTAAGTAATTTTATCTCTTTAATATTTAAACTATTAATAAGTTTTTAATTTTATTTAAATACCCTTAATATTATTATTAAATTTTAAAATTAATATTAAAAACTCTTAAAAATTAAATAATTTATAATAAACCCTTTAGGTTATATAAAAATTTTAACTTCTTTTAAGTCTATTTAATATTATTTATACTCCTTAATTATAATAAAGGTTTATCTTTATATAGTAATTTAATTACTATTAGTATTTTATTATTAAATAAATAATTAGCTATTTTTATTATTATTAATAATTAAAAATACCTTTTAATAAAATAAGTTTTAACCTAAAAATTAAATTATATAATTCTTAATCCCTTTTAGTTTAAAAATTATAACCTTATTAAAATTAATTATTTTAATATATATATAAGTTATTTATATATATATATTAAAAGTATAACTTTAAAAGTTAAATTAAATAAATTTAGGTAATTTAAATTTATAAGTAATATATAAATTTAAGTATAATATATAATAAATATATAAGTATATATATAAATTTATATATATAAATATATATTTATTTATTTATATATAGTTAAAATAATATAATTTATTAAAATTAATTAATAATACTTAATTAATATTATATAGTTAAAAGGTTGAGATTTAATATTAAATAATATAAAGGTTAATTTAATAGGTTGAAATAGTTATATAAGTTAAATATAAATTAATAATATATAAATTGTTATAAATATCTAGGCTTATAACCTTTTGGAGGTTATTAGGTTAAATAGGGGAATAATTAGTATATAGTAGAATAGTAAATATATTAATAGTTATCATTACTTACTTAATTAATTAACTAGTTGATTTATTTTAAGGGAAGACCCTTTTATTTATAGTTATATTTTATACTAATTAAAATATTTTAAAATTAATTAATTACTAATTTAGAATTAGTAATTACTTAATTATTATTAAATAATTAACTAATAATTAATTAATAAAGAATTTATTTAAAGTAAATTAAAGTAACTAATATTAATTATAAAGATACTAATTGTATATATAAACTTAAATACCTTCTATATAGAAGGTTTTAGAAACCATTTATATAAGTTAATTATATAAGTATATATTATAAGGTTATATAATAATATAAATTATTAGTATATAAAATATAGCTTATAGTTAATAAACCCTTATAGTTAGAGATTTATTAATAATTTTATTTATTTATTTTTATATAAATTAAAGGCTTTTATTTTATTTTATTATTATAGGGATTTTATTTATATAAGTAAATTATATATATTTATAAACCTTATTTTATATACTATTATATAAGTATATTACTTATATAATATCTTATACTTTTAATATACTTTTTAAGCTATATATATTTAAATATTAATTAAATATTTAAATATTAATTAAATATTAAAAGGTTAGAAGTAAAGAAAGTAAAAGTAAAGATTTTACTCTTTCTAATTTTTAATACTTCTTTTAACTCTTTAATACTTTAAACTTCTAATCTTTTAATATTTAATTAATATTTAAATACTTAGTTAATACTTAAATATATATAGTTTAAAAAGTATATTAAAGGTAGTTTAAAAGAGGTTTATATTTAAAGTATTAAAATTAAAAGGAAATTATATTATAAAGTATTTTAATATTAATTTAAAAGTATTTATAAATATAAAGGAGTTATTAAGAAAAATAAATATTAAGTAAGTTTATAAAAATTATTAAGTTAATAAATATTAAAGTTAAGTAAGTAAATATTAACTTATTTATTATTTTATAATATATATATATAATTTATTTTTATTTTTAAATAATTTAAATAAAGATTATTTATATTAATATTTAATTAATTAATAAAAAAAAAAAAAAAACTTTTATTTAAAATTATATTTTTATATTAATAATTATTAACTTATTAATAATATTAAAAATATAATAAAAATAAAGAAAAGGTTTTAAAGTTTTTTATAAAAGTATTATAAAAATATATATTATTATTAAAGATTTTTATATTTATTATAAAAATATACTTATAGTTTTAAATTTTATATTTAATATATATATATATATATATATATATATATATATATATTATAATTATTAGTTTATATTTAAATTATAAATTAATAATTAATTAAAATATTAAAAATTAAAAATTTAATAATCTTTAAAAATATATAATATAATTAAAAATAATGTATTAAAAATCTTTATATAATATATCTTTTATATATTATTTAATATATAATTTTATTAAAGTTAAAGTTTTTTAAATTATATTAATAATAAATATATAAAGGCTTTTAAAAATTTTATATAATTTTACTTTTATTTTATATATATTTAAAGATATATATAATACCTTTATATAGTAGTAAGCACTTAAAACCCTAAGAATTCTATTTAATTATCATTATATAAAGCTCTATAAAAATCATTAATAGTTATAATATTAGTAACATACCTACTATCTTACTATATTCTCTTTCTACTATTATTAGCACTATATTTCTTCAAACACTAGGTTATAAGTGTTTACCACTGTATAAAGGCGCCATGTACATTTTATATGTATGGGGATTAAAAACGAAACCACCATACCTACTATCTCTAATCAATCTCACACACTGGGTCTTCATCACATTTATCCACACTCCTAAAAAGGACCACATTCGAAACCAGTCCATACGCCACCACAGTCAGCACGAGGGCTTACAAAGGGCCGTGTCGACCATGATAACCTCCGGAACTGGAGACGATCGAGTAACATGCAATTGTGGGGACTCGGTCGCCAAGGCGCGTTCTCAAGGTTGCGAGTACAGACACGATCATGGCTGCGTGGCTGCCACCCCATTGCAGTGACGACGAACTCATCGAGCGGTTCAACAGCGCTGGGCCCGGGTAAGAGGGCGCTTGGAAGTACTTTTCTGATGCTAATCAAACAGAACAGCTAGCACTGGACGAAGAAGCGGGGCTCGCTGATGTGGGCGGCTACTCCTTCGTAAGTCATGGCTGGCACACGAGGCACTGCCACTTCGCATGGCTAAAGCTATTTCGGTCAAGATGGACAAAGATTCAGATGAACCAGCCAGATGACACCGAGACTCGCATCACACAGTGCATGGAAATAGCTGAAAAGCGGGACTCTCTGGACCACATCACCACTGGTTCAGGTGTGGCCTTACACGGCGCTTAGCTACCATAAAAGATAGCTTATAGTGTGCATACTAGGTGAATATTTATAATAAACTATAGTCTTATTAAGATAGGGTTTAACAGAAGCAACTAGATATATTAGCTACTTATAACTCTTAAGGCTCTAAGCTCTTTTAAAGTAAAGTAAGTGCTGTTTAAAATTTTAAATAACAGTAAAAATATAGTAATCTTTAATACACCCCTAGTGAAATAGCTGTGTTCTAGGGACGGATAAGCAGGTTGTAGGCAAGTATCAACGGAGCTAATGTACAGCCTGGCTGCTGAGAATAGAAATTGTAATGTTCTGGAGCAAACCTGCATGGCCGTGTTGGAATGAAGAAATGGAACGGTCGGGCCGCCTAAAGACTCACATGTGCAGGGAAAGGAAACACTATGGAGTCCGCAGGGAACATCGAAACCGAGAACGAGCCTGATTCCTTCACAAGTGAGTTTCAACCACAGACATCCGGCCCCAGCAATACATTGACGCGCAATGTGTGCCCCCGTCACAAAAAACAGACAGGTAATAAAGCAGGCGCCCATTCACGAGCCTACAGAAAGCATACATGGAGGCCTCCCTTTGCAGGCTTGGGTCATAGAGTCCGCCAGGGGCTGTTCATGTTGTTTCAACTGATGGACCGCAGTAGACTCTCTCAGAGGAATGACCAAGTCACGCCCCGTAGGCATAGGGGACAGCCCCCCCCCCCCAAAAAAAACCCCCAAAAAACAACAACAACAAACAGCATGCGTGCATTAACGCATGGGAAAGCCTTGCCCGGCTGGTATCTGGCTGACCTACAAAGCCCAAGGGGCTCATGTGAGAAGAGTGAGAGCGGCGGAGCCAGACCTTCATGGGCGTTGACCTCCAACCTGGGCACATATGCACGTAGCAGGGGCGAGCAGGCTGCTGGTTTCCCCGACCTTCCCGAGAACATGACGCCAATGGCACAGCGCGATCTGTGGCACAAGATGGACACGAAAATGGAGCCGTGGGCACGGACGAAGGTATAGAGCTTGTCGGCAGAATGTGTTTTCATCAAGTACCATCAGGTACGCCCTCCTGAAGCATGGAGGTATCAATTATGTTATCCACTCAGAACACCGTTTGCCCGTATGGTACAGAGAACCCAAAGCAGAAACCGAATCCCATAATCATCATAGTAGGCACAATCCAAACCTGCCCTGGTGCCGATGCCAACCCCCGCCTCAAACAGAAAAACAATTGTGAATCGCCAGCCAATGCCGAGTCATGAGATGTTTAACCACCGAAACCGTACAGAGTGCGGCCTTGTCGCTTCAGGGCGTAGACAACGTCCAGAGATGTGACGGTCTTGCGCTTGGCGTGCTCGGTGTAGGTGACGGCGTCACGGATGACGCCCTCAAGGAAGGACTTGAGGACGGAGCGGGTCTCCTCGTAGATCACTACAGGCAAATGGGGTCAGCCGGCTGCCGACAGGCCAGACGCAGACGCAGACGCGCCGGGACGCGGGGCAAAACTTACTGGCAGAGATACGCTTGACACCACCACGACGGGCGAGACGTCGGATGGCGGGCTTGGTGATACCCTGGATGTTGTCACGAAGAATCTTGCGGTGACGCTTGGCACCTCCCTTGCCGAGGCCCTTGCCGCCCTTGCCACCTGTTTAAGAGCCTGGTCAGCGGACAAGCCCGACGACGCGTCGCATTGCGGCGCGACATGGTATGCGAGAGCAACACATAGAGGGGGTTACTCACGTCCAGTCATGTTGATATGTGGGGAAGAAGTGTGGATTGATGAAGAATGATTGATGGAGTACCACGAGGGGTATCACAGGCAAAGAAGTTGTATTGGGTTGGTGGTTGACGAATGGGTGGGATCAAGATGGGGAGCGAACAATGGCGACAAGAGATGTGACGCGGGGAAGCGGGAGGTTTTAAGTAAGGGTCGGGCCCGCCACGGGTTGGACTTGGGTGCTGTGATGCAAATCAGCCAGGCTGCCAGGGGCGAAACCTCGGATCAGCACGCTAGGCCCGTCGCAGGCAGCGGCAGCTCGCGGCTCTGAGTTGCAGGGGCCCCATTGAAAATGTCGAGGGCAGAGCAGGCGAATTTTATGATTGGCCAGGCCCTCAGGCACCAAGCCAGATCGGGAGCCTGCACATGTTTCTTTTCTTTGGAGGCACTACAATCAACATCCATCGCTCATTAATGACATTCACCACCGTCGTTTGTTCACTTGATCAAATGCATTCCTTCATGGGCCCCACCACATGCACGTGTAGGATGGAGCCCCGTGGCTGCGTGGGTGACCTACCTGGGTACCTAGGTACCTATGTAGTTGGCGGCAACGGCAGGGCCTACACAGCTAGCTACACAGTAGGTGCGCATAAGACGGGCTGGCTGGCTGGCAGCAACAATGGCCTCTAAATGCTGGACAGGTCTCTGTAGAAGAAGGACGAGATTATGGTCTGTGGTTGTTGGATACCTAGGTGCCTAGGCAGGAAGGCTACACGGCCTGCCCCGTAGATATCATCACCACCCACAGTTATTAGCCCCTTGCCTGCAGGTCCCCTCCAACCCGACTGGACAAGACCAGAACGAGGTGGGTTTTGAAGCATCTGGGAAAATGGCAAGACTGACGGGTGACGGGTGACGGGTGACAGAGCAAGAGAGGTCTGGCCCAAAACGGAAAGGTCTGGTGGGCGGGGCGCTGCTGCATCCAATCGAAAATCGGCGCCGTGCGAATCCCTGCAAGCACACCCCAAATCTCCCACCAGAAACGCTGCCACACTTTCCCTGCCTTGCCTGCCAAACAGGCTCGCTTTTGCCCTCCAAAAACTCGCCTTGTTTTTTTCTTGTCGTGCCCATCACACTCTACCCGTCCCCCGTCCCTTTTCCACACCACGCCCGCGCCCGCGCCCGCGCCCACGCCCGACCTGGCCCAAAACGGGAAAGCACAGACCAGCCCTCCCGCACCCACGCAGCCGCCCGCCCCTTTGCAACCAGAATCAGCCAGCAGCCCGATCCACACCTGCCGCCACCTACTTAAATCTCCAATCCCCCACCCATTCCCTCTCCCGCTTTCTTCCCTCTGCATCCATCCACCACTCCACCCCACCCACCCAGCCAACCACAACCTTCTTCCATCAACACTTGCACCGCGTCTTGTCGCGTCATCAATCAAACTTCAAGAAGTCATCACTTTTCATCATCACAATGGCCCGCACCAAGCAGACCGCCCGTAAGTCCACCGGTGGCAAGGCCCCCCGCAAGCAGCTTGCCTCCAAGGCTGCCCGCAAGTCCGCGCCCTCCACCGGAGGTGTCAAGAAGCCTCACCGCTACAAGCCTGGTACCGTCGCTCTGCGTGAGATCCGTCGCTACCAGAAGAGCACCGAGCTGCTGATCCGCAAGCTCCCCTTCCAGCGTCTGGTATGTTTGCTTCCACCAACCCACCTCGTCATCCTGTCTGCCCGCCCCCGCTGACCCACTCCAGGTCCGTGAGATCGCCCAGGACTTCAAGTCCGACCTGCGCTTCCAGTCCTCCGCCATCGGTGCTCTCCAGGAGTCCGTCGAGTCTTACCTCGTCTCCCTCTTTGAGGACACCAACCTGTGCGCCATCCACGCCAAGCGTGTCACCATCCAGTCGGTACGTCACACTTCTGCCCCGCACGCGCCTTGGAACATTCACTAACAACCCCACAGAAGGACATCCAGCTCGCCCGCCGCCTCCGTGGTGAGCGCAACTAGGTTTTCTAGCCTACTTTGCACTGGGATTTCTTGATGGGTTGGTTTTTGGGACGGTCACGATGATTTTTTAACAGCAATGCTCGGTTGACGATGGTCATATCCACAGGGAAAGGGGATCCATGGCGTTCAGTTGCGATGCTTTCTTGGGGCGGGTTGTACATTAGAATACGCAGCTAATGGGACGCTGCCGCCGCCCGATATTGAACAGGGAAATTCATGATCAAAAACACTTACCGTCTTGTGCTTGCGAGAGACGTGCGTATCTCCTCTCGTTGTCTGCTCACTACTTGAAGTATGTATGAGTAAACATGACATGTAAACCCGTGAAGCGCCGCGCGACGCGACGCGACGCGGGTTGACCCCACTGGCCCGCAAGCGCGGACTCAAGTCCTGCCGTGTTGTGTACCCTACCTCTGCAGTACTCGGCGTGAGTGTGCTGAATGCCCAAGGGCCTGGTTGTAGGCGTTGATGTCTGTCGTGCGCGCTTGAGCCTCCCAGTGCCTGAGCATGGCTGCTGCAAAAAAAATTGATGTGAGCCCAACCGGCTCAAGAACACCATTTTGCAGAGAGCTTGACAGCATCGCCCGTCGAGCCATCCTGGAAACTCACCATAGCATGGGCCTTGCTTCCTCCTTGAGGATCCTGGTCGCTGCATTGCCACTATGTTAGCCCAATAACTGCTCAAACTGGCTCGCTGGCGGGCTGGGGTCCACGGGTGGCGGTCCGGCAGACATCGCGCTCGGTGTTGGTGGGTTCTGTGATCTGTCTTGACTGTTGAGTGAACATATTAGTCGGTGCGATGCTTTATCAGGATAGCATTTAGGAACCCATGTTCATTCCTCTCGTCAAAGGCCCGGGAACCGGCGCCGTTCCGGCCTATCTCAAAACATCGTGTCTACCTGCTTTACTGCTCCATCGCATCTGCTCTCATCGGATCAAAGTGCCTCATGGGCGCGGCAGTATATACATCAAACGATCCTGTCCCTGCCTTCCCTAGCCTTCCCAGTACCAGCCTCCCACTCGGTGTGCTCAGGTCGTCCCAGTCACCATCAAGTAGCGCATCCTTGAGTACCGCCAGTGTTGTTTCGAAACTCATCTTGGTGAAGGGGCTGACATTGCCCCGCAGACCCATCCGGTTGAACGGCGAGAAGCCGCCATTCCTTGTCATGTGGTCTCCGATCAAGTTCAGGTGCCTGTTGTCGACGCTGATGCCGTGGCCGCCAAAGACATTACTCAACTCCCGAATGATGTTGTTCCGCGCTGCTTCGACACCATATACAGCGAGCACGGCGGCGATGTCGTTTGTCGAGATCTTGTTTGGGTTGATGTAGTCGCTGTACTTCTGCATGGCTTGTAGGTTAGCGCCGGCCGTGTGAACAACCGCCGCCTCCACCTCCCCGCCGGCCCGGACATCAAAGACCTTGTCCTTTGCGACGAAGGTGCACTGGCCCACGCCTGGTATCTGCTGGATGAGCGTCTTTCGTACAGCAGCCTCCACCAAGTTGAGCATGAGGATCTTGGGCACATTGACGTCGTACTCCAAGACGAAGTCGCACCACTCGCCCTTTGACTCGTCGCACCGGAACTCCGTGACGTTGGGTGTCTTCTCCTTGACACGGCTCTCGCGAGAGGCACCCTCGACGGCCTGGCTTGCAGACGGCCCCTCCTCAACAGTCGGGACGTCATCATTTTCAGCAACCGGGCTCTCGCCGAGACCTTCATCCTCGTCATCACTGCCAAGGTCCCCTTCCCTCTGCAACCGCTGTTGGATTGCGTCATCCTCCTCGTCGTTGGGGCCGTATGACGCCTCTTCACCACGGTTAGCTCGTCGTTTCGCGGTTGTAGCATCGCCATCACCGTCGTCGTCGTCGTCATCGTCTCCGTCCTCGTTGTCACCGCCCGCAGGGCCCTCCACCTCGCGTGGAGGGCCGGCCATTTCGATGGTGCCAGACTTGATGCCGACAACTGGCGTCGCCGAAGTCACGCCACTGCTCTTCTTTTTTATTTCCTTCTTGATGTCCCTGGCCAGCTGTGACAAGAACTTGTTCTCTACCGTGTCTAGAACATCGGAAATACCAATGTTGTATGCTTCTGTGTATTCGTGCGAAGGGAAAAACTTGAGGCGTATGCGGAATACCTTTGCCAGCGCATATCCAATACCTTTTCCGACTCGTTCACTAACGGACACCTTGTCTAGGACATGGGAGAGTGGCAAGACGCTAATAGCTTTGGCGAACATCTCACCGTCCTCCGCTGACAGCTCCTCATTTAGTACGAGTGTCATGGCCGGAGTGGAGATGTTCGCACTAGCCGTCATTAAAATTTCGCGGAGTCGAGGAATACCCAGCGTGACGTTCTTGGCCGAATGGCCAGCCAAGTGGAACGTGTTCAGGGTCATCTGTGTCGACGGTTCTCCAACTGATTGCCCGGCGACAATGCCAACTGCCTCACCAGGCTCCACTAGAGACCTCAAGTACTTGGCCGCCAGAATCTTCTCGACTTGTTTCCGAGGCAAAGTGATGGCTTTCGCCAAGAGCTTGTTCTCGTCCTTGTCTTTCTTGTCCCTGATCAGTGAGTCCGGGTTGGATTTGATGTACTCAGACATGGCCTCGTAGAATTTCTCCGAGGTGGCAAACGCATTCCGTGCGGAAGCAACCGCACAATTGACAGGCTCATCAGTGTTGACTAATCCCGCTTTCGCCTTCTTCACTGCCATCTTGTTTTTCTTGAGGAACTCTTCCTTGTGGTCGAACAACCCTAGCGTGGCGGCCTCGTCGTGATCAGTCTGCGCCAGCTGCGACTCAAAGTTGCGGAGCACAAAGCCAAAATTCGTTAAGTATTTTTGCTTCGCGATGTCGAGCCCATCCTCACCATATAGGAATTGGACCAGTGTTCCGTCTGAGTCCCTGACCGAGCTGTCGTAGCCAACTGTGAGACCTTCCATGCCCTTGATAAGACATCTCTGAAGGTAGCCAGAACGGGACGTCTTGACAGCCGTATCGATCAAGCCTTCACGGCCAGCCATGTGATGGAAATAGTATTCCTGTGGCCGTATGCCGGTCAAAAATCGGTTCACAATGTACCCGCCGGCCCGGATATCCGTGTCGTATGGCCGGAAACTTGGCAGTGATTTACCGCTGACCATGAGTGGAACTCGCCGGCCCTCCAGAATTTGCTGACCCAAGTTGCAGGAGATCAGGTTCGCATTGACCAAAGAGCCTTTTGCACCGGAAGTCGTCATGGACTGCATTTGGTTCTTTGGGAAATGCTTTTCAAGACCATTAGGCAGACACGCTTGTGTCACGGCGCTGGAAAGTTCGGACGAGCCCTTGTTCATTAGCGCATCGAGACCCTCCTGTTTCGAATCATCGCGCATGACTTCCTCCAGGCGGCTGAGAAGTTCAGGGTCTGATGGCCCAGGATTCTGCTCGTCAAGTGTGACATATTTAGCAGCAACACGGAGGCCAATGTGAGGAGCATCTGCCAGCGTGGCCTTCCGCTTCTCTTCCCCTTCTCGTGTCAGCCTCAAGTCATCCATTCCGCAGGTGAATGCCCTCATGTTGAGATATCTCGTCAGGAGGCGGCCCATGCTGCTGAGCAGCTTGCCGGCAACGGCAGGTCCGTAGACTTCGTGAACGGAGTGGATGAAGCCACCAGAGCTCGGTCCGAGCTGAGACTTGTCCAGAATTCCGCAAATGAACTCGCCACCTTGGAAGAGGACAGCACCCTCCTCCGAGTCTGGCCCCCATCGTGCAGCGGGGATCTGGGTCTTGCCACTCATCCACAAATCACCGCAGTTTGGCGGCTTGATGTTCTTGAGGATTGTCGTGATGACTTGCTTGCCTGTCCACCGTGCTCGGGGCTTCATGATCGCCGGAGGCACCATTGCAATTCTTTCCCCTAGGATATGACCGCTCTCCGGACGAAGAGCACCGTAGATGAGCTGTTGGTAGGCCTGCCTGTCGAACAAAGTATCCTTGTCACAGAGCGCGACCGAGACCGACAGGTGGTCTTGAATGAGACCACGTAGCGGTTTGCCTGCAGTGCCCGAAATATACTGGTGGTCTGTATCGGCCAGCTGTAACGCCTCCGCGCGCGCGACCTCATTCTGAGGAAAGTGCATGTTCATCTCGTCACCATCGAAATCGGCATTGTAGGTATTGCAATTGGCGTAGTGCATGCGGATGGTCTTCTCGCCAGGCAGGACCCTGACCCGATGACCCATGATGGAGGGCTTGTGCAGAGTCGGTTGGCGGTTCATTAGGACTACATCACCATTCGCCAAGTGACGATGAACCTTTTTGTTCCTCAGCCCGCTGGAGGTGTTGTTGGCTGGGGCGAGCAGCTGGTTGGCGAGCGCGATACGGTCCTCCAAGGATTTGTTCCGCAGGTTGATGGTCTGACCATTCTCATTCTCAATGGCTGACGCGCCGGGCCATTTCTCTACTCCATTGATGACAGCCTGCTGCATGTCCTTGAAGTTGTGGCTTGTGACGGGCTCGGGGAAGGTCAGTTTTCGGGCGAAGACCGGAGGAACACCGATCTCATTAGTCTCGATATTGGGGTCCGGGGAAATCACACTTCGGGCGGCATAATTGACTCGCTTTCCCATCATATTCTTTCGGAAAAGACCCTCCTTTTTCTCGAGCTTCTGCTTGATTCCCTCCTCATTCCGCTTCGCTGCGGCCCCTTGTACCGGGTTGAGATTTCGATCAATCAAAGCGTTTACTGAGTCCTGTAGTTCGGTCCATGCTTCATGAAGTGCTGTCATGCTTCTTCGTCCTCTCGGATCAACTATGCCTGTCGACTGGTCCTGTATCTGCCTGTAGATGGATGCAAGTTGCGCAGACGCCCTGATGATGTTCTTGTAAAGGCTGTTCTGTTGTGCCTCGGCAATCTGAGAGTCCCCGGTGCGGGCTTCGGGTCGGAAACGGTTGGGCGGCACGAGGATAGTTTCCAGGAAGAACATGTTGGAGGCAAGCAGCGGCGTCGTCTTGGCGCGTTGTTGTCTGCAATACACCAGGGCCAGGACTTCCTGCTCCTTTTCAAATAGCGTGGTCAGCCTATGCCGCACCTCAGCCGGGGAGAGGTACCGCTGAGCGATAGCCTCCTGTTCCGAGGGCTGCTTCCGAGTGGCTTTGCGCGGGACAACATCACCGTCCTCGTCCAGTGCGTCGCCACTGCCCTCGTCCGATGTGTTTCCTTCCTCGTCGGTGGACGACAAATCGGCAACACCTTCATCAGACCCATAGCCGCTTCTCTTGTCGTTCTTCTTGGATGCGTGGCTCGGAATGCCTTCGCTTCGTTTTAAACCAGCCTTTGCCATTTTGGCCTGCTCCTTTCCCGATAGGGTCCTCTCGAAAATCTTGACGGATCGGTCCTTACGATAGATTGGAGAAATGCCACGGCACGAAGCACACATCCTTGTCTTGACAATGTCCTTGAAGAACTCGCCAACCAGGGCGGTACGCAGCTCAGCGGCACCTTCGTGCTTCCGGCGACCCAAAGCAGGTCGATGTTCCTGCAAGACCCGGCGGACATAGGCATCACGCGCCCGCATGACGCCGTCAGAGGCCCCGGCTTGGTCTTCAGAGTCTGAGTCGGCTATATCCGCCTGGGGAACATCGGGCATGGCCAAACCATGGAAGTTCTCTCCTATGGCGTCGACCATGCCTGCCTCCTTGAGGAGGCCGTATTGCAGCAGGCGGAAGATGCAGACATAACGGTGGACTTCTCGCCTTGGTAGACGCAGGCGATGGCAGTAGACGCACTGAGCGCGTACCAGACGAAGGACTTGATCCATAAATGTCGGGTGGTAAACTGGGACGGGAAGGTCGATGTGACCAGCATGACCGGGGCAGGACTGCTGGCCAAGATTGCATGTGGTACAGCTGTCAGGCCACGGTGTGTGAGCTTACACCTGGACGCAAAGGCGAAAGGCAGTGGAGTGACGGGCGGGCGGGAATTCAACATGGGTCACGTACATTGATTCACCCCATGATCCAAGGGCAGGGTCATACAAGCCACCACGGACCGGGTTCAGCAGGGTATCGAAGGTGGTGTCATTCTCGATCTTCTTGACCGACACTGCGTGAATCTCTTCCTTTGTAAGGAATGTGAACTCAACCCGGTCGACCGAGGACGACACCGGCTGTGAGATGTTCATGATGGTTTAGGATGGGGTGGCACCGGAAGTCACCGCTTGCGCCGTGGAGACCCCGTGGGCCAGTTGTGAAGGGAGGCTCAGTGCCCGAGAGCTGCGATCTGCAACGGTATTACTACTGAAGTAGCCGGTCTGGCACTGGCGTTTGGGACTGACGCAGCCGGGGCGTTGCGAGAAGACGGGGTGCACACTACTGAGGGAGGTGGTGAGGAATTGAGTTGGTGAGATGGGTGGCGGGTGGTGAGTAGTGGGTGGTGGGCGCACAGTTCTGGCCTGAATACAAGCCAACGGACTGCGATGACAGCCGCCGTGAAATTTTCCCCCTGCGCCGATCGCGACCGATGAGAAAAGAGGCGAGACGGGACGAGACAAGACGGACGAAGAAAAAAGTTTGGCGGTGAACGGCGGCAATACCGCTTGCCTGGCAAAGGAAAGCGGTAGGCACTATCGATAAGAATGCAACCCAGCACTCCTAATGTAGACTACCCCGTACCCTACAAAGCCCGGCCTAGCCTACTACATACAGCTGGGCATCTAGTCGCAGGCTTCGTTCTGTATTCAAAGTCGACGCCGCCAACCCCAGCCTGTCACCCTCGCCGTCGCCGTCTCCCTCGTGCGCCTGTGCTGTCGCATTCCTCACCGACCTAGTCGTCACGGCTGACAGTTAGCTGCCACTACGGCGCAGACGCCAAGACCCATCGCCTTCTCACGCCCAGCCAAAACGCTCGAACTCGAAGCTTGCCGCAAACGGTGCGCGGCTGCCCCCCCGACCAGTCGCGCTTGCCGGTCATCGATCACGTCCCTCGTGTTTTGTATCACCAGAGCTTCTGTGCGTCTCCCGGCTTGTTCCTGCGTCACGACCGCTTGCCGGCGAAATCTCCATCATGGACAAGCATCAGACTCCACCAGCCAACGGCCTCGGGCCGCGCCATGACGCCTCATCACGCATACAAAAACAAGAGTCCCCTGCCGACAGGATGGCTGCTCTCAAGGCACGTGTGGCTGCTGCCATTGATGGTAGCAAAGCCAAAGGAGGTCTCAATGTAGGGCTCCATCCGGCCCTGGAAGACTTGGGCCAGTGGAGGCCATCCCCTTCTACTTCAGCCGACCAAAAACCAGGGGCTGGCCCGCCCTCACGGCTTCACTCAGAACAAGGGAAGCTCCCAGCCAACAAGAAAAACCCTACCCCAAGAAGTGCGCAAACTGGAGGCTCTGGGGTAAACCCCTACTTGCCTCCCGCCGATTCGACCACCCCGGCCGGTAAGCAGAGGGTCCCCCGTCAGCTCCTCTTCAACCAAAAGGGAAAATACATACAGCAGGCGAATGCCCTCCGAAGGCAAGCCGCCCTCGAAGCAATGAAAAAGAGAATCGCAGAGCAGACAAGGAAGGCAGGCATAGACGAGGATCTCGGCGAGAAGAATTTTGTGGTAGAAGCGCCCCCAGAAATCGAATGGTGGGACGAGGCGCTGGTTCCCTCGTATGACGCCCTAGACGACCCCTTCTCCATCAAACTCGGCAGCGAGGACAGCATTGTGACAAACTTGATTCAGCATCCTGTGGCGCTGGAACCCCCCCAGGAGAAAAACACACCGGCACCGAAGCCCATGTACCTCACGTCCAAGGAACAAGCCAAACTCCGGAGGCAGCGCAGGATGGCGGAGCTCAAGGAAGAGCAGGCAAAGATCAGACTGGGTCTCGTCCCCGCCCCTCCCCCAAAGGTCAAGAAGGGCAATCTCATGCGTGTTTTGGGCGAGGAGGCTGTCAAGGATCCAACCGCCGTCGAGGCCATGGTGAACCAGCAGATTGCCGAGAGACACCAAAAGCACCTGCAGACCAACGAGGAGCGAAAGTTAACCAAGGAACAACAACACGAGAAACTTGCATCAAACCAAGAACAGGATGCAGCCAAAGGCCTCCACGTTCTGGTCTTCAAGGTTGGGAGCTTGGCCAACGGCCAACATCGCTTCAAGATCCACAAGAATGCCGAGCAGTTGGCCCTCACGGGAGTCTGCATCATGCACCCAAAATTCAACCTGGTCGTGGTAGAGGGCGGCCAGTGGAGCATCAACAAATATAAGAAGCTCATGTGCAACCGTATTGACTGGACCGAGAACGCCCCATCTCGGGATGTCCAGCCAGCACAACAGAAGCAGTGGCTCGTGGCCGAAGATGAGAGTGGCGCTCTCAGGGATATGACCCTCAATTATTGCAAACTTGTCTTTGAAGGCGAGGTCAAAACAAGGGCTTTCAAGCGCTGGACTTCAAAGGTGGCTGAGACGGATGGCGAAGCGCGTGATATTCTTGCCCGGTCGAAGATGGAGAACTTCTGGTCACAGGCAAGAAGTATGGCCTGAAATGGGTTGTCCAATCTCTGCGCGCGTGGCCAAGCGACCTCGTCGGGATGATCGAAATAGGTGGGTGTGGGGATTATGGGCTTGATGCGACAGCGGTACCGCCGTTACTCCTTCACAGACGCTACAGCCACCCGAAGCCTCTGCTCGCGTTCCGGATCGTGCAAATGGCCAGCATGATACAATTTGCTCTGGACAACCCCAAGATGTGACAGCGTACCTGCCTTGCACGCGGTCGAAGCCCGCACCGCCAACTGGAACATTAAATGGTCTCGATTCTCAATCGGGCCGCAGGGGGCTCTAATGGGTGCAGCTAAGCTGGGAACAGGAGAATTCTGCTGGCCATGCAGGAGTCTTGCCCATTCCTGGGTCGAGGGAGTGGGATAGTAGATGGTGAGGCTGTATCATCTAGCCATTGTGTGAGTGTGGCTGGTAGAGGGTTAAGAGGATATGGCCGCAACGTCTCCAATGCTAAAGCCATCGTGACCAGGGCTTGGGGTGGTTCCTTGGCTGTCGGTTGAGGGGGCTTCATCGTTGATTCGGGTGCTGTCTGTATGTTGCACAAAGCCTTCCGGAAATGGGCCCTCGCCATGCATTCTATCCGTATCTGATGGTCGCAATCCGGTCGCAATCCGGTCGCAGCAGATCTACCACCGGGTTATTGTGGAATGCGTTAGATGTGAAGACCATGGGATATGGGAAATTGTTGGAATCGCACAAAACACTGGCACGACGAAACCCTCCCACCAGAAAGCGTGTGAGATCTTTGCTTGTTGATTGCCTTCGTATCCGAACCCCCTGAGGCGACCCCGTCATCGAGCAGCCTATCCAAATACTGCGCCGTCCACTCACATATATATTCCGCTGGAATCACATGGCAATTTCCCCAACCGGCTTGGGGATTTCGAGTGGATTATTGGCAGGTAGGCGCACAGGGCCAGGTACGTGTTGGCTTGTCCTGGGGGTCGTGCTCGGTGTCGCGCCTTTCATTAGGAGATCGGACTGAGATGTCAGTCCCACCCAGCTTAATGCAGCACACCACCGTCCAGAGCAGTTCAGTTAGTCCCACGAGCGGCGTCGAGTTGTAGCGACTCCAGATTCGCCTCATCGTGCCACATCGCACAATCCATGACCACGCATGCATCTGTTGCCTGGTTCCCGGGCAGTGCCTAGGTAGACAGGCGGATGTAGTCGAAATCCTATTGGAGGGTGAGGGAGGGGAGTTTGATACGTTGATCCGCACGCTGACAGAGCAAGAGCGGGAGAGGAAGGATTTCACTCTCGTTGCTCGAAAAGATGCTCATCAGCTTGGCCGGTAGCATATACGGCAGAATTGATGCTGTACTCGGGGTAACCGTGGAGTTTTCAGTGATCACATTCTGTATGCACTGGACCATCACGCTCAGGCCATCTTCATCGACCATTGTACACACCTCCACGAGGTTACGGGCTGGAGAGAAACGAGCTGGAGGGGCCGTGTTGCCATTCTTGCTTTTCTTGGAGCACGAGTTATCATAATAGATACTGGTCTGTCCCGTCATACCCGAATTTAATCTACGGGTGGGTTGCCTCGGATGGATCCCAATTGACCATCCTCTTTGTCCGCAGGTGGTGTGCATTTTCAGGGCCCCATAATAAGCCCTGCAAGGCCACGGTCATCAGCTCGCTTGAGCTTCACGCCGTCAATGACACTACGCTGCAAGACTTTTGCCGGGGTCGTGAGACCTCAACGCTGTATTGTACAAAGCCCAAGTCGCTGGCTGGCGCAGATGGTCTGACTGCTTGATTTACACGGATTTCCTACCAGTAGGAACCCTTTCTTGCCCTTTCTTTCACCTTGCCCACGAGTAGTTCGAGTTCACTTCAGACGATCCACGACTCAATGGCGGTATCGTCAGAGGGGGCAGGGTGCGAGAGTCGTTATCCTCGTCGCTAGGACGCAAGTCCAAGGTGCCGATATCGAATCTCTTGGAACAACCGTCGTCCATGTGTCTACACGGCAGAATAGGAGTCAGCGCGAAGCTCTGTGCAGATTCGACGGGCCACATAGACATACCTTCGTAACGTATCCTTGCGGGCGAACATGCGCGCACAGTAGTCGCACTTGTGATTACGCTCCTTCACATGCACACTCTGGTGATGCCTTTGGAGGTCGGTCTTGCGTACGAACTTCTTGGTGCAAGCTTCAACCTGGCATGGGAAGTGGTACTCGCGCTTCTCGTCGTGTGTCTCCATGTGGGCTTTGAAGTTGTAACTGCGGCTGAACAACTTGCCACAGCCTTCTACATCGCACTGGAAGTTGGCCTCCTCCTTGGTCGTGAGCTTCCTCGGTGCCCGTTTCGACCTACTTCCAAGCCGTCCCGGTCTCCTTGCCTCTTGCTGCCCAAACACAGCAGCTGGCGATTGGCTACCTGTGGTCAGGTAGAAACGTTCCGGCTCCAGGGGATACTCGTCCGGTTTGGTCCAGGCCGTCACGGGCCCCTCTGATGCGTATCCACTAGCTGATTGCATTGCCGGTTGCCCAAGTGACGGAAGCGATGGGTACGAGCCCATATTTGTCGAGTATGGCGCATTCGTGATTCGCGGCGACGGGTAGTGGGAGCTTTCCGTCTGTTCATACTCAGATGGTGTCTCTGCTTTTATTCTGGGAGTTGTTGGACTCGACGCCGCTGGCAAATGTGTGTAGGCCAGTGAGGACCTTCGGAGGGATGGATCTGGAGAGCGGGATGCAGCCATGGTCTGGGGTGGCGTGTGCGAGTTGCTGCCATACATGTCGTGGGTGTAGGGCCCAGGCACAGAGCCACCATAAGCGGCAAAGGGGTCGTACTCGGCGCTCAGCACACTGGACATGGACGCGGTGGTCAAGGACGGATGTAGAGCCGCGGCGGGGTTCCACTCTCCTTGGGCCAGGCCGTCGAGGGGAGGGAGTGAATTCTCTGGTGCCATCGAGCAGGGAGCATCAGACTCGTAAATGGACGAGATCCTGTAGTGCTGCTCCACCAGGTCAGGCGAGGGATAGTCCGAGGAGGATGTCTCTGATGGGCAATACGTCTTCGGTGTAGAGGCGGGTGATTTGGTGAGCGGCGGCGTGAGGTCCATGGCTCGAGGCAAAAGGGAAGGGCCAAGTGGTGATTGGTACGCCCGAGGACCGGCTGGCGCGCCAGGCAGAGTCTCCCAAAAGCACGGATTACGTGGTGACAAGCAGTACTCTTGACTGAACAGGATCCTCGCGAGTCGTTTGCGTTTGTCAGTGCTGTACAAGGCTGTCCGGGTTGAGGCCGGTGGGTTCAACGTTGGTCAACACTACAACCACCCAACGCAGGGGAGACCAAACAGATATGTGTATGCAAGTGAGCTCGAGGCGACGGGCCAAGGGATGACGGGCCACGTCTAGCGTTATGTTTTGGGGGGGGGGGGCCGGAAGGAAATCAATTAAGGAAAACAGGGGAGTGGGGGCGCGGCGGACGAGGGCGTGGATGAGGGTGTGGGTGTGATCAAGGAGAAGGCGGAGGCGGCGCGGGTGAGACTGGATATTTTAAGTAGTTAGATCGATAGTCTATTCGTTTCCTAAGATGTAAGCCGCGAACTTGTTATTCGAGATAGGAGTCAGACTGAATGCAAGGATGGGCAGCTGTGCCTGTTCACTCGTGGTAGGGCAGACTGGGGTGCAGATATACCGGCGCCAAGAAGGAGGGCTGGGCCGGGCTGCAACTTATGGATCCCACCGGTTTGTCTAATGTTCGCCTGACGAATGATGCGATGTGATGGGTTTGAAAGCTTGGAGTGGGAGGATTGGTTCCGCGACTGAGCCAAATTCTGCCTGCAGAAGGGGGGTGTGAGACGGACAGGATGGGGCTGTCCAGTCCCTGACCACACAGAATACTTCATGGTGCAATGCTGGGCAGCAGGAAGGTCAACCAACACGCATCACCAACACGCGCATCACCAACACTAATCTATCACCAACACACGGAAAGACAAGAAGAGGAAGGATGTGTGGGTAAGGCGTCGCTGTACGGATGTGGACATGGACATGGCCACCGACATGGACAAGGGTGCGTGGGCTGAGTGGGCTGAGGAGGGCGCCGGGGTAGAACCAACAGACACAGACAAGATGGGGGCCAGGGGGGGGCACCACTCTGGGTCTGGGGGCCGCAACATGATATCAAAGGCCATAAACGGGCAACCAACCCCATTGTGGGATGTGACCTTGAATAGCAGTGACCAAATATTGCAGATCCTTCCTGGGGCCCCGAGATAAGTGCGCCACGGGTGAGTCTGTCGTGCCCCGGCACGTTTTGCGGATGACGGCACACACGAAGCAGAGCCTCATGGCCCATGGGCCGAGATAGACCGAGACGCAGAGCCCACAATCCACATGACCGGCACACGCTTCTTCACGTGCCGGATCTCTTGGGTCTGGCATGCGTTGCATGACTTGAGCACCCAACGAGGCGGCTGGTCTGTGACTCAGAGACATTGTATGGCCAGGCATGCAGGCAGGCAGGCAGGCAGGCAGGCAGGCAGAAGCCAGTCGAGAACAGGCACCTGCGCATGGCTTGGCCGGGCTTCTGTGCAAAGAAGTCGAAGACACATGGAAGCAAGGCTGTGGTGGTTGCACCCGCAGAGACCGGTGCGGGTGCAGGCGAATCTGCATGTGCATGTGCATGCGCACCTGCAGGCCTAGACGCAGCAAGGACGCCGGCGCCGACGCAGGAGCTGAAGCTGAAGCCGAAGCACGCATGGGCTAAAAGTAGCCCTACGAAACTTGGTGGAGGTTTTGTTGCTCGACACGGTCGAATCGGGTTGCGTGGACCCGATCAGTTCGTCAACGGTCGGCGCCAGACACAGGCACAAGGCACAGGCACAGGGCCACAGATGCGAGTTAGACCGGCCACGGGTGCAACGGTGGGGCCAAGGGTGAGCTGAGAAGCTCTGAGGACTATTTCGAGCAACCACCCGCTGCCCGCGCACCTTGCAGGGATCTTTTGCAGGCCACGCACCGTAGGCGACCGAAAGGATTCGATCCAGAATGAAACGCTGCCCCAAGGGCGAAAATTATCATTTCCAGACCGAGCCTAGCCCAGCACGACCGTCACAGCACGCGGGATGTGCACGCCCTGACACCTCGCGGGATCGCAGCTCCCCAGGGCCGGAAGGTCGGCATTCTGGGGGCTGTGCCTCAGCCTCGTCAACTGCCCAATGCCACGGACGACTGTACGGAGTAGGGTATTTCTCCCAGCAGAACCCGTGCATAGCACGTGCAGCGCACCGCAGTTGCACGCTCTGACACCTTACGTAACTGCCAGCTCTTCAGAGGGCCAATGGTCTAGCACATCTTAGTGCCAACGGCCCGTAGTATTGCTGATGGGTCAGCGACCAGGAAGGGCTGAAGGGCTGATAAGAATGGGTCAGTCAACTGCAAAGCCCAAGCCATCCTCGACCCGACCAGGCGGAAAGTGGCAGGATGGATGTCCTCGAGATGATCCTTTGTCGCTCTTTCACCCTCACCCTCACCCTCACCCTCACCCCTCCGGGCCCTCCCCCGGCGTTCTGTGGGAGCAGAAATGAACGAGGTCGCCACCGAGTCAGGACCCCGCAGCGAATGATGAAAGAGACCCGATGGGTTGGTAAATGAAGAGCTTGTTCTGGATGGACATGGCTGACATGTTGGTTGAAGCTGCATCTGGCTATCGCGCACGGCTGTTGGTTGGGCCGGCCAGGAGCCAACCAGCGTCGAGGGTGCACGGGTCGTTGATTTGGCCCAGGGCCGCGGCGACGCAGACGGGTGGAGTGTGGTGTTATCGAGTACTACACAGTACACTATTGGCCGTGCAGCCCGCGATTTGTGGCCTGTACGTGGTACTCCGTACACAACTTTTTGCCTGGCGACAACGGCAGCACGGTATGCACGCCTCGCAGGGGCAGTTGAGGCACACAGAGGCCTTGGCCTTGGCCGCTGTCATAGTGCTACTTCTCCGCCTTGGGTCCGTTGCACACGTTGGGGGCATTTCGCCGTGCCCGTGTGCATAACAGGATGCAAGACACGGGCCGTGGCGCCAGTAGGCGCAGCCGCGCCGCACAGCACACGCGCAGCCGCCCATCTCCATCTCCATCTCCATCTCCATCTGCATCGTGTGGCGATTCCAGACACAGCGGCCCGATGACCAGATGCAAGCGAGCAACGGCTGGTGCGGTGGTGAGAGCACTTTTCATGTCGGTACGGGCGATGACACCCTGGGTGGTAAAAATGGCAAAGCAGTCGGCCGTTGGCAGTTGGCTGTTGGCAGTTAGCAGTTGGCTGTCGCTGTTGGTGCGCCGTGCATGGTTCTGGCAGTTGTCTTATTATAGAAGCAGGCTGCCTAAAAGTACCAACCCCGATGGCAGATCGAGCGACCGACCAAGTCAAGCAAGCAGCCGGGGACGTGAAAGCGGCCAGAGGTACGGAGGTACCCAGCTAGGTACCTAGGCAGGCAGCTAGGTACCTAGGTAGGCAGCTACTACATACCTAGGTAGTGCCTAGGTAGGTAGGTACCTAGGTACCCTGTGCTGAACGACACTGCCGCGCACGTGACAGCGCGGTCGACGGGCGGACATCGAGTCTCGACTGCTGCTGCGCAAGCATGTTGGCTGGGCGTTGTCGGTATCGGCACCCACCATCAAGGCCACGACACAGATTGTGCAGCCAGACCTCCTGACCCATTGTCCAAGGCCTCGCTCGGGTCCACGACGTGCTCGAGACCCGCACCCTGGCTTCCTTGTCGCGTAGCTGTCTGTCGTCTTGGATTGGGCCCACCGAGATTGAGCAACAGAGGTCCTCGGCCCATCCTCCCGTCCGTCCTCTTGCCCGTCCACGCCGCCTCTTCAATCCTGACTCTTCCGCTCGGGCTCGGCCAAAGACGCCTCGAGCCCCACCAGCTCCTCCGCCATGAGGTTCAACATCGAGTACGCACCTGGCCGGCCCCTTGGGAGCTTACCTGCCCCGGTGAGAGGGCTTGTCCGGTCTGGTGCTCCCCGCTGACAGGACAACCTAGTGATCTGCCCGTTCTCTTCCCATATCCTCGCATCTATCCCGGTCGGTGCCCCTTTGACCCCCCCCGGCCATTCCGTCGCTCTCAACTGACAACCCCTTGTAGAACAATATGCGTGAGTCGGCCCACAGCATCATCGTCCGCCGCCCCGCAGTCATTCATCACCATGCTGACCCGATACGCTTGTTTTCAGCTACATGTGTGATCTGAAGAGTACGCGTCGCCTTCCTCTGAGCCTGGCCTGGCTGACTAGGACCATCCGCTGACCCTTGCATAGAAACCCTCGATGCTGGAGGTCACTCTGTCTTGGAGATGCCCTCGGGCACCGGCAAGACCGTCTCCTTGCTCTCTCTCATTGTCGCCTATCAGATCTACTACCCAGAGAGCCGGAAGCTGATATACTGCTCCCGTAAGCTCTTTTCCTTCCCGGCCCCTGCCTCCCCTTCCGCCGGCCTGCCCTGACAAAGCTTGTCTCGGCTAGGTACCATGTCCGAGATCGAAAAGGCACTGGCCGAGCTCAAGGCTCTGATGAAGTACCGCACCGAACAGCTGGGCTACGAGGAGGACTTCAGGGCAGTCGGCTTGTCCAGTCGCAAGAATCTCTGCCTCCACCCCACGGTCAAGCGCGAGAAGAGCGGCGCCGTTGTCGATGCTCGCTGTCGCAGCCTGACCGCTGGCTTTGTCAAGGAGAAGAAGGAACGCGGCGAAGATGTAGACCTTTGTGTCTATCACGATGTAATCTCATCCCTCCCCAACGTACAAGACCCCGCGTCTTGGACCCAGGGTGCTGATGTTGATAGAACCTGGATCTTCTCGAGGCTCACAACTTGATACCAAATGGTGTGTGGACATTCGAAAGCCTTCTTCGCTATGGCGAGCAACACAAGCAATGCCCCTACTTCACTGCTCGTCGAATGGTCAGTCCCCCGGCATGCCTCACTCCTTCCTGTCTACCCTGTACGTGTGGTGGCCCTGACCGCGTCTCTTCCAGATGCAATTTTGCAACGTCATCATCTACTCTTATCACTATCTTCTGGATCCAAAGATTGCCGAGCGCGTCTCAAAGGACCTGTCCAAGGACTGTATTGTCGTGTTCGATGAGGCCCATAACATTGACAATGTTTGCATCGAGTCCCTAAGCACCGACATAACCGAGGACTCGCTAAGGAAAGCCACCCGAGGGGCCCAGAATCTGGAGAGGAAGATCTCAGATATGCGAGAGACAGACCAGAAGGCGCTCGAGAACGAGTACCAGAAGCTTGTAGAGGGCTTGAGAGATGCGGACGAGGCCCGAGATGAGGGGTCCCTCATGGCGAACCCGGTGCTTCCAGAGGATTTGCTCAAGGAGGCTGTCCCGGGAAACATTAGGAGAGCAGAGCACTTTGTTGCATTCCTGAAGCGCTTTATCGAATATCTCAAGACACGCATGAAGGTGCGACAGGTCATTTCAGAAACGCCGCCTTCGTTTTTGTCACACCTCAAGGAGTACACATTCATCGAAAAAAAGCCGTTGAGGTTCTGTGCCGAACGCCTGACTTCCCTGGTGCGGACGCTCGAGCTCACGAACATTGAGGATTACCAGCCCCTGCAGGAGGTGGCGACCTTTGCGACCTTGGTCGCAACTTACGAGAAGGGTTTCCTACTCATCCTCGAACCCTACGAGTCTGACACGGCGGAGGTGCCCAACCCCATCCTCCACTTCACTTGTCTAGACGCAGCCATCGCCATTAAGCCGGTCTTTGAACGCTTTTCCTCTGTCATCATCACGTCCGGCACAATCTCGCCGCTCGAGATATACCCCAAGATGCTCGGCTTCTCCACTGTGGTGCAAGAGTCCTACAGCATGACCCTGGCGCGGAAGTCGTTCCTTCCAATGATCGTCACGCGCGGCAGCGACCAGGCTGCTATCTCAACGAGCTTTCAAGTGCGCAACGAGCCCAGCGTAGTGCGCAATTACGGCAACCTCCTGACCGAATTCGCAAAAATCACGCCAGATGGGCTTGTCGTCTTCTTTCCCTCTTACCTGTACATGGAGTCCATCATCAGCATGTGGCAGGGTATGGGGATCCTCAACGAGGTGTGGAAATACAAGCTCATCCTCGTTGAAACGCCCGATGCTCAGGAGACTTCCCTCGCCCTCGAGACATACCGTACTGCGTGCTGCAACGGCCGCGGCGCCGTCCTACTGTGTGTTGCCCGGGGCAAAGTCTCGGAAGGGATCGATTTTGACCATCAGTATGGACGCACCGTGTTGTGCATTGGTGTTCCATTCCAGTACACAGAATCGCGAATCCTCAAGGCCCGACTTGAATTCCTTCGAGAGACGTACCGTATACGCGAAAATGACTTCCTTTCTTTCGATGCCATGCGCCACGCTGCGCAGTGTCTGGGACGAGTGCTCCGGGGCAAAGACGATTATGGCATCATGGTGCTGGCAGACAGACGATTTCAGAAGAAGCGGACGCAGCTCCCCAAGTGGATCAACCAGGCGCTCCTCGATGCGGATAGTAACCTGAGCACAGACATGGCTGTCAGCAGCGCGAGACGGTTCCTCAGGGGCATGGCCCAACCATTCAGGGCGAAGGACCAGGAGGGCATCAGTACGTGGAGCTATGCTGACCTCAAGAAACATCAGGAAGACCTGGACGAGCAGCGCATACAAGAATTGCAGGACATGCCGGCCAACGGGAACAGCGGGATGCCTCAGATACGGGCGGGAGGCGACTCTGACAACTACATGGATGATGACGTGGATGAGGGCATGATGGAGCTTGATAGCGGCATGTGATTGTGCTTCCTGGTGAGGGGTCTGGAGAGCGGGTGGCGATAGATCGGGGCTCATGACACACCGTGAAACAAAAACACCTGGTTTCTATTGATGGCATCTGTCTATAGCTACGCCGTGTAATGCGAAAGACGATGGTGATTTCTTCACCTATTTCTTGAGCCGGTCCCCCCTAGTCAATTTCACAGCCCTCAACGCCGGCAACGTGTTCGCCTTTCCGGGCTCCCTCCCGATCTCCATGCACAGTAGACGGATCAGGTCGTTGTTTGTCCAGTAGCTAGTGTGCGCACTGAGCATGTTGAGATATTGAAGCTCCAAGGGGCCGGTTCCAGAGCGGAGGTAATAATCCACCTGGCCGTTGTCATTGAGTAGGAATGCCTTCCTCTCTGCGATTTCCTCGCGTGTGAAATCGTGCACCTCCAACTCAAGCTGAGAGGGTAGCCGGCTTGTTGGTGGCTTCGCAAGTGCCGGGGCCAGGTCGGTGCTCGGGGCCGAGCCGGCGGGTTTCACGAAGCCGCGGATCGACGAGAACCATGAGCTGATTGTACTTGGTACGTGAGCGGTCCTCAGGTTCTCGGCAAACATTGGGTCGATAGTGCCGTTCAGGAGGTAGGCTATAGGGTCCTCTTTGGCCAAGACATTGTAAATGTTATCGACGGCGAGACAGCCAAACACACCCTCCTCGCGCACTACATCCTTGGCAATTGTATCCTGTGAGGCTATAGATTAGTCATATCCTTACCGATGCTGAATTGCTGTAGAATTAATTTGCTCCATGAATAGCGCTTAGTAGAGGATTGTGCGAGCAGCTCCTCCGATATGGACGGGAACGTCGTCATGGGGATACGAAAGCCTCCTATAGGAGAAGTCAAGCGGGACAGGATAATGGAAAGACTGACAGCTGCTTCTGCCCCGGGCTTTTGCCGGCCATTGCGAGGCGTGAGACTGCCACGTTCAAGAAGGAGGAAAAAGCCAGCTGGGCTGCCCAGGAGGAATAGGTTGGTCGTGTCGAACTCAAAGAATTGTGACTGGGGCATCGGGGTATTCAAGTCCAAAGGTGGGGGAATATTTGGCTGCCGGGATAATACATCGAGTGCCTGTGTTGCCACAAAATCAGCAGTCTGTCCACGCATTACCTGAGTGACCCTGTGAGCATTTCCTTCGGGCGCTGTCCGAGGTGACATGTGATGTTCATGGTGCCTAGTATACAGTATTTCTCTGCAGGGCACAGATCAAGCACATGACGTGCACATGCCTGGGCAGGGCGGTGGGGAAAAGGTTCTGTTGCTTTCTGGCAGCTAAAACGACGCGGAATGGATGATATGGGATGAGATTTACCATGACACTTCCGAGGGAATGGGCGATAAGGTGAACCCTTCCTTTTTGGCTGAAACCTGGATTGTTACGGCACCACAGTCGATAAACACGATTTGCTTCCATGACGAGCGCGGATATCATCTTGTTCTTATGATGGGAAAGGTAAAATGGGATCTAGCACGGTTTAGTCACCTGCTAGGGTTACCAACTTGACGGATGGTGGAACATTCCAAGCCACGGGAGATGAGAAGCATTTAAAAAAGAGGAGAAGGGGACTGACATCAAACATGACATCTGATATCAGACTCCTCACAGCTGGGATCGTATTGGGCTCAATGTCCTTCAGGTTGAAAGTGACTGAAGCCGAGGTCGCCTTGTCCGCGTCAGTCATAGGGCCGCCATCTTCGAATGATAGATGATGCCTCCAGTTCACGGGAAGGACCATGATGCCGTTGTGCGCCTCGCGGAGAACTGATTTGACCTCAGGGCTTCGAAGCTCAATGTTCATGGAACGGCGAAATGCCGTAATAGCGTGGGTGAAGTGGAAGCTTTCCACCCGCTCAGCGAACTTTTGACCAATTCCATGGGCGATGAGTACGAGGTCCGTGACTTGTCCACGGTCCTCCTCCGCCTTGCAGCCGGGGCAACCCCCGGGCATTGAAGCTTCGGCGCTAGCGGACTTCTGAGGGTCTCTTGCGCGGGCCGGCCTTTTCTTCTCGTGCAGTTGAATCCAACTGTCTCGGTCGAAGCCTCGAATGACTGGGATGCCGACAGTCAAGCCCTTCATGATTTTCTGCAGAGGCCGCCGTCCGTAGTACGCAGATGGTTTGAGACTCGGTTTCAGGAGGAATGCCGCCCTATCATTTCTGTAAAGCACATGGTGAGAGGGATAGCTGCGCCCCTGCGCTGGAGTTCCATCAGAACCCTCCTTCCCGGCGTCTGCAGGCTCAAGGGTCCCTTCGGCGGCAGCCTCACCCTGATAGCAACGGGCTGCACAGAATGGGTCGGATGCGATGGATACCCCCGGACCCTGTGTCCCTGAACCAAGAGGAGCAGTATCTTCGGGCCACAGCGGGTGAGACACTTTTTCTTCACCCAAAGGACCGACTTCGACGGCGCAGCGAAGCTCTTCCTGCCACTCCTGGCTGAATGCTCTGAGCTCTCGATATCCTGCCTCCAGCTGATTGGCAATGCTAGGGTCTAGAGGCACCATGGTATCGCTGAGGCACACCTCACAAATTAGCCAGGTCACTGTTCAGGCAGTGGATAGCATACAAGTCAGATATTCCCTTCCTGCACCGACCGCTGATGCACATGAGCCATGGGGTGGAAGAACCTCGGCGCCATGCAACCGCCCCCGCAACAAGAGAGCCCGACGGGTGAGACAAAATGGAGACCCGGCGAGGGTAAGATTGATTAAGAGCTTGGCAGTATGAAGAAATCCGACAACGGTATTGCAGGGTGACGAGGCCACGGATGGCAGTCCCGAGACACAGCAGAAAAGACAGTCTCAAAGAAGCATAAACCGCCACACGCCCACGCCTGCCCGCCCGCCTGACTGACTGACTGAAAACTAGTCATCCCCAACACCAAAAAGGAGCAACTTACCGATAAAACCAAGTTGATCTGGAGACAATGGCGATGTCATTGACGGGGGACCAGTATATGGGCTTCATCTGCAGTACAGGCAGGGATACCTCATGAAGCTTTGACACTCCTACGGAGACTGCAACGACGCGGGGCTCGAGTTCGGTGATACTGTTCCCGGGTGGGATGGGCGTGGTATCCGTTTGTGACTCATGCGCGGTAAAGTGCTGGTCGGCTGTGGCATCATCTGTCGTATGTTGTTTTGCGGCTTCACGCAACGACCCTGGTTCCGAGGCCAAATCGCCATCGGGATCTCCAACCCTGACGAAAGGCCGCCCTGATATTCCGTCGGTCACCTGTGGGTGGGCAAGACGCAGCCTCATGGCAGGTGTTTCGGGCTGGGGCGGAGTGCCGAAGGGGGCTGGTCCAGCGCCACCCCCGAGGGAAGCTGAGCGACTGGCGACGGGGTTTGAGGCAAGGGACGAGGCTCGGCCCCTGGCAGAGGTGGATAGGGCGGGCGAGACGAATGTGTCGGCCCTGGGTGAGGAAGCAACCACGGCTTGCGCCTGGATCGGCACGGCATTAGTGACAGCCGCCCGCGTGCGTCCGTCCCCCAAGACGGACATGACCTTTGCAACGACATGCTTCTGGCTCAGCGATGGCTGGAAGCCCCTCGACACCTCGCAAAAAACCTCGCGCAGCCTGTTAGAGGCATCAATAAGGAGCTCTTGGCAGCACACACCGAGGTCGGTGGCTGCGAGCGCGTCTAGAGGGGGCTCGAGAGGAGGAGGGGGGGCACGGGCGTCGTGGGAGTGCTTCTCCTTGTGGGCGCGGATGAGATGCTCGACGATGGTGTCCAGTTTCCGGGCGTTGGCGGCGGCCAGGGCAGGGCCGGGGCGCTGGTTCTTGAGGGAGGCATCGTGGTTGTTCCGGTGGTCTTCGTCGGCGAGGGTTAGCCACGCGGCTTCTAGGGCGTTGTTGTCGGCGTGGGAGAAAGGCCTTAGGATGCCTTTGGCGGGTCGCCCGTCAGCCGAAGTGGTGGCGGTTGCGGTGGAGAGGGGGTCATCGATGGGCACGAGGCTATGATAAAAGAACTGAGCGTTTATAGGGGGGATGCCGGCCAGGAGGGGCGTTTCCGGGCTGGGCTCGACGACGGGAGCCAGACTACATTCCGAGCCGTAGGTATGGTGATGCGGATGATCAGTTTCTTGGGGCTGGGCTGTGCACACAGCGTAGGGGTGTCAGCGCGGACTGGCGAAGGAGGGACAGGACGACCTACACATGGTTTACATCTGCCCGGAGGCCTTGATGCCTCGTGCTGGGTGCCAGGTGCCAAGGGGGCTGCCTCCTGTGGGACCGACTCCCATCCGAGGAGGGGAGGAGGCCGGGGTGAGGTGACAGCAACCAACCGAGAAGATTGTGCACTTCTATCGCGGCGACATGATGTAACGACGAGCCAGCCAGCCAGATGATATGTCGGGCGGGAGAGAATTCAGATCGAAGGCCGGGACGGCCTGAATGTGGTTGGCGACCAACCCCCCCTTCTCGTATGGTCGCGTCAGTCGCGCCGCGCGCCACGTCACTCACTCACAATCGGCCCGCTAGACTGCCTACGATGCCAGCAGGAACAGAGCTATGCCACCTTCTTGTTGCTCAGCCAGTCCCAAGGTCCCTGCGGATGCGAAGCTTGGGAGAGATGAGGATTGGTTTTTGTTGGTCAAAATCAAACGAAGCACTCTGATTAGAGATGACGTCGGCGAGAGCCACAGGGTTCCAGTCAGTCAGGAAGATAGTACCTGGGTACCCACCTACCTGGGTAGGTACCTACCTAGGTGCCTGCCTACCTAGGTGGGTATGGAACACATGAAACACACACACACACACACACACACACATGCGTATGTATATTACACAGAGACTTGTATACCTGGAGACATAGGGCCTGGGTGAAACAGAGCAAGTGCTTTGATTAGAACCAGAAGGACACGGTTCTAAACCCAGCGTAAGATTCCCTACCGTCCCGCCCCGCCACGAAGCTGCGTCGGGCTCACCCAACCTACGCAGAAACCCCATAGAAGTGCCTATGTACCTACCTGGGTAGGTAGTCACTACCTAAGTACGCTTTGCTTGGGTGTCTGCTACACGACCACTTACCTACATAGTAAGTGCCTCGCAGGGGGGGGGGACACTTTGGTAAACATCATCCTTTTTTTGGTATAATATATTGGTGACGAATCATGGGCACAATACCATGGATATACTGGGTAGCTAGTTGCCTGCCTGCCTGCCTGCCTGCAGCCTGCCTGCCTAGTGCGTGGTCAAGAGTTTAGACAGGGTGAAGTAGCACACGGGCCCATCCTTGGCTGCTGGGGTCTCCCCCTCGGGCTCCAGACCTGGTTTGACAGCCCCGCCACCCTTCTCTCCGGCCCCCAGGGACCGACCCGTTTCCCCAGATTTGAGTGGGTTGTGGATTACACAGTAGTGTAGACCCAGGTCAGGTGTCGCGCCGAGGCCAGGCTGGTCGGACAAGCCCAGTGAAACAAAGTGCCTACAGAGAGACAGACAGACCAACAGAATGAACGAATGACTGCCCTGTTTACGCTTGCCTGGTCGCCTTATCACGTTATCGTTGACTGCGACCAGCCTGCCTCCTCATTGGCAGCCTCCATGGCCCAAGCGACCAGCCCCATGCATGTCCCACTCAGGCCCTAGGCCCCTTCTGCCGCCGACTGTTACACCAACAGCCTAGCACCGAGGCCGTGGTGGGGACCGTGCTGTGATGTACGCACAGCCGGGACGGATCCTACAGTGTATGCCTGGGTGCTTGACCCATATTGATGGGGTCCAGTGGGTAGTGGGTCGCCCTGAGCCCCTCCGCCCCCGCTCAGCGGCAGCTTCAACGGTATCATGGTCAGACAACCAAACGTTCCTTCACCTTGCCTGACAGTTAATAAGCCGGATAGACAGCCAGACAGCCAGCCAGCCAGCCAGCCAGACAGACAGACAGACAGTTAGTCAGTCAATAAGCCAACAAGTCAATCAATCAATCAGTCAATCAGTCAATCAGTCAATCAACACCTGGACACGTCAACTCTGTGTCAATTCGGGCCAGCCGTCTGTTGGTGGCCACTGCGTAGCCGCTGAGCTCTTCCCGCCCCCAGAGCTGCCCTGCCCTGCCCTGCATTGTCCTCGCTCGCCTGGGCTGCCCTCCCCTGCCCTTGCCCAGCGTGCGTCTTGAAACTCAACAAGACTACACTCTCCTCCTCCTCCTCCTCCTCCTCCTCCTCCTCATTCTCCTCCTCCTGTCCTCCCTCCTGCTCCTCGCGCTGCGTACTCCGCATCTGTCGCCCCCGTGTCTTGGTTTTGGCCTTCTTGCTCCTGGCATCTTGCATCTTGCATCCTGCATCTCGCATCCCACAATTCCACAATTCCACAATTCCACAACTCGTATCTCGTACAGTATCTCACACCTCACCTCTTGGCCCCCGAGTCCTCAGCTTCACGTGCCGTGCAACCGCCTCGAGCTGCCTCGATATCATGACTACCTAGCTCCCTAGACCCTTCAGCTAGCTGCCCGCTCCCAGCTCCCAGCCAGCCGCCGTTGACCTTTCTTCCTTCTTTTTTCTTGTTTTCTTTCCTTTTTTTTGTTCGGTCTGATCTCACCTTGATCCCGTGCCTGTGCCACCAGCTGCACCGGAACGGCACCCGACCTCGTCCATCCGTCGCGAGGTGCTCCATCGGCCCCTCCTCCCCCAGGCCCGGCCCCCTTGCTATAGACAGACCATGGCCACCATTGCGCTCCCTCGACCCCTGCCGCCCCACCGCTCCTCCTCCTCCGCCATCGCCTCGCTGGCAACCCCGTTGACCATCGACACCTTGAACCCCCCCCAGTCTGACCAGTGCCCGCCCGCCGTCCCCAACAAGCACATCCCCGTGTGCCCGCCCGGCCCCGTGCCCCGCCAGGAGCCCACCACCCCTCCCCCTTCCCCGGGCAAGCACGACGACTGTGCCCAGTCCGTCCTGCACCCTCCGGCCCACTTCGTCCGCCTCGAGTCGGGCCCGCTGACCCTGTACGAGCTGTCCGTCGCCGACGTTGCCCGAGCTCTCGACTACGCCTCCCGCCAGCCCCTGCCCGAGCCCTCGCAGGTCTTCCCTTGGTTCCACGGCCTGCACCCCGCCAACCACCTACAGCAGTCCTTCTTCACCGCCCGGAGCCGCTCCCTGCGCAGGACTCCTTGTTGCCTGCGCGGTGTCACCCTCGTCAAGGCCGACGGCGACCTGGCTGTCTCGCGCCTCAAGGGTGCCATATCACCCCATGAGTTCATGCAGTGTGCCCCCGCCTCGCCCGAGTTCCACGATGTCGACCCCAAGGAGGGCTTCTCCGTGAGGAACTTCCAGATCCAGGCCGCCAAGGCAGCCATGACATCCGACATCATCGTCTATGGCGATGACCCCCTCACCACCCGCAAGATGGCCTGCGAAATCGCCACGGCTCAGCTGAGGTGGCGCGAGAGGCACGACGCCCAGGGCCACCCCCTCCCGGACTACAACACCTTTGTCTGCGTGAGCCCTTTCGAGGACTTCGAGGAGAGCCACCCGGACCTGGTCGCTGTTGACTCGGCCGGCCTCTTGACAGGCAGCGTCATCGACTTCGTCCACCAGGAGCGCAAGGAGATGTTTGCAATGACCAAGCCCACCCAGATCTCCCACAACGTCTGGATGGGTCCCACCCTGGACCGGGGCTCCGAGGACGATGGCTTGTTTGACATTCAGATCGAGTGTAGCGACATGGGCCGCCTTCACCCCGCTGCGCTCCAGGCCATCGCCGAGGACTCGGCTGCCGGAGCCGGCCAGCACTGTCTTGACTTTCCCTCCTCCGGAAGCATCCTGCCGTCCTCGTGGTCGCACGCTGAGGCCGACGGCATCGTCGAGACGTGCAAGTGGATATACCACCTGGCCCATGGGACCTACCCGGCAACGGCCGGTCATGATCGTGACGGAGACGCCTTCATGTCCGGGGACGCGCTGCCGTCACCGTGTCAGCTGCCGCCCCAGAAGGTTCTGATCCACTGTGGGGATGGGTACACCGAGTCCACCATGCTCGGTATCGCCTACTACAGCTACAGCAGCGGGCGTCCTATCCCGGACGCGTGGCTGAACCTGCACACCACACTCGGTCGCAACTTCTTCGCCTACCCCGCCGACGTCTCTCTTCTCACGGCCATCGCCCCCCGGCTGCTTTCCCAATCCCCCGCCCTCGCCGACAAGAGCGCCACCGAGGTACAGCACCTGGCTGCCGACGAGCCAGACTGGCTCCCTGGAATAGACGGCTCATTCCCAAGCCGGGTGTTGGACTACATGTACCTGGGCAATCTTGGTCACGCAAATAATCCCGACCTCTTGAGAGCCTTGGGGATCAAGCAGATCCTGAGCGTCGGAGAGACCACCATGTGGCGGGATGGCGAGCTAGAGAGGTGGGGGCCCGAGAACGTCTGCGTGGTTCAGGGTGTCCAGGACAACGGGATAGACCCCTTGACGGAAGAGTTCGAACGATGCCTCGAGTTCATCGGTAAGCATGCATTTCCCCGCGGGAGGGCGCACGACGGGAGCCAGCTAACGAGAGCTTTCACAGATCGTGGCCGCAGGAACGGGACCGCGACGCTTGTACACTGCAGGGTCGGCGTCTCTCGAAGTGCAACCATTTGTATTGCAGAGGTCATGCGAGCCATGGATCTCTCGTTCCCGCGGGCGTACTGCTTCGTCCGGGCCCGACGGCTAAATGTTATCATACAACCACACCTCAGGTTCGCCTACGAACTTCTCAAATGGGAGGAGACACTGCAGAGGAGGAAATATGCAAACGAAGCAGCACCGGCTGCAGGTCTGGGCATCAAGCGGGAGCTTGAGTGGGCCGAAATTGCGAGAGAGATCGCGTTAATGAATCGGCCGTACGCTAGATAAGATGCATGTCCTCGGCCATCTAGCGTGAGGGGAAACAGATCTAGGAAACGAATTTGACGATTTACGAAGGCAACTCGGGACAAATTTATCACTCTTGCTTCAAAAGCACACAGACGCGGGTCTTTTTCTTCTCTCTTTCCATTTCCTTGCCTTTCTTCTGCTGATTTTCCCCGCCCCGGTCTCTTCAGACCCCCTTTCTCTCTTTCTGTTGCCTCATATGTTCCTTCATATCGGGTCGCAGGGACCCCTCCCTGTGGGAATCATAGTCGTTTCACGGAAAACCTGGGTTTTATTCATTTGCGGGATCTTTTTGCTCTTGTCAGGGAAGGGCTGGGGCCGGTTTATCATTCAGTCACCATCAGAGGATAGCCAGACGGCCAGGGTCAAACAAACACCCCACCGGCCTGAGTAGATATCTTCTCTTTTCCGGTGGCGACTGGGAGTACAACAGGCTGATCTGTATCATGGTATCATTTCTTCCATACGTGGACGGCCTTTCTAGCGCTCAACTACTGGCATTTGGGGCCATCCTCGCCAGGCAGTTGCTGTGTCATCCTCGTGACGGAATGGACGCAGTATCATCACCCACACTGATCGATCAACCTTTTCATTTCTTAACTGGGATTGGAACTTACTAGCTTGGTTGACAGTGCAATTGCACCACATACACTCAGCCTCGCCATAGCTATCGCGTAAATGCGTCGGTACACGATTAGAACAGCATGCATTTGCGAGGGAGTATCTCTGAAACAGCGACCCCAGTAACGCCTTTGTCCCACCGCCTTGCCTACCACGCCGGCCCTGAAAGTTCAAAGGGTGCCACTTGTGGGATGCTATGTAAAACAGATCGAAAACCATGTCCTCCGCATCGGGATATATGCCACCACGGTAATGAAAGCAATGCGGATACCGTTACGGATTGAAGGACCCATCTAGCTTATCATCCCCCTCGAGCACTCTGGTTTGAGGTAGAAAATGTCAGCGAGGTAATACATCAAGTGTCCCTGCGACCCTATAAGAGAGGCCCTCGCCATGCGCCTTGATAATTCATCGAAAGGGTTTACTATAAGTTAAGGAGCAAAGATGAGGCGAGAAAAAAGGCGAGAAAAAAGGCGAGAAAAAAGGCGAGAAAAAAGGCGAGAAAAAAGGCGAGAAAAAAGGCGAGAAAAAAGGCGAGAAAAAAGGCGAGAAAAAAGGCGAGTCGCGTTTTCTGGAGACAGTTTGTGGCGGCGGAGGTGGGTGGGCTGGAAGACTTACGAGAATTGGCGAACCAGGTATCCTTCGCCTCCATGCTCCATATCTATATTGAAAACATAGAAGCCGCCATCACTGGTCACGACCATTACCTGTGGGCTACTGCTGCTCATTGCCACAACACTCCGCAGCGGCCCGTTGGGAAACATCAGCCCTGCAGGCCCGGTGTTGGCGGGCGTTTTATTGGGCGACGTGGCCGAAGATACCTTGGGCAGCTTGATGTAGGCGAAATCGCGCATGGGCTCCCACATCTCTGTCACAGTCTGCGGCAGGTAGGAACCAACAACGCCGGCGACGCTACGGCCCATCAGCTGGGAAGACCGCCGCAACATGCTACTGAATGAACCACTTTGCCGCCGGTTCGCAGGGGTACTTGTCGTGCCCGGGCCATTGTTGGCCGAGGATCCTGCAAGCTCAGCCGCATCGCTGCGCGGCGACCCTGTTGCGCTACCAGGCGAGTCGTTCCCACTGTCGTAGCTGCGAGACCGGGACCGGGACCATCGATCCGCACGTGGCGATGGCGTCTGTTCTGCGGTTTCTGCGGCGCCTGTAAAACCACTTGGACCAGCCCCGGCCTGCGGACCTGGACTGGATAGCCGGAATATATGGACAGTGTCAGACGTCGAGGAGACACAAAGCAAAGTCGAGCTCAAATTGAACGACATGCTGTAGATTGTGGACGGGTATGTACCACGACGGAACTGGTATAGCTTCTGGCCACGGGGCACGGAGAAAACACGGATGATAGTGCCTGTCTCGGATGCGGTGGCCAACAGGGTCCCGTCGCTGTTGAGGGCTATGCAGGAGAGGGGCGAGCGGTGAGCCTCGATGACGTTGACGGCCTTGAGCGTTATGGTGTCAAAGATCAAAACCTCGCCAGAGGTAGGGGGCACGTAGGTGGAAAGAGGAGGCGCGTGAGCTGGGCGCCTCTCACCTGTGTCTTCCCTGGGCTTTGGCAAGGGGTAGGCGACGTAGCAGTTCTCGGACGAGGGTGACAGCGCGCATATGGCAGTCGGGTTCGGAGAGGTGGTGATGACATAGAGCAATGTCATGTTGGCGATGTCGTACAGATATATCTCCTCCTCGAGGATGACGGCCAGGCGGCGGCGGTTCAGACGGACGGCGAGGACAGCAGAGCGGAAGGTGAGCTCGCATATAACGGATGCCCTCTGCGAGTACGGTCAGCCAGACTCGGTCGTGAGACGACAAGGAGAGGGCCCAGGCACCTTTGTGTTCTGGATGATGAGATGTCGCGGAGACAGGACCAGGGCGACAAGAGAGGTGGAGAAGAGCATCTCGATGATGGAGACATTGCCATCGTCGCTGCTGAAGATCTTGGAGAAGGGATCGGTATGATAGATTCGAAAGCCCTTGGAGGTGCCTGTATCGAGACCAGTTAGCAACATGAGACGGGTGGCCGCAAAGGGCAGGGAGAGCCGGGCACTGACCGACAGCCAGGCAGCTGTGATCCTGGTTGAAGGTGATAAAGTTGAGGTTTGCGGAGGCCATGTTTGCATCAGGTTGTGAGAGAGATGGGGAGCTGCCTTTGGGCGAGGCGAGTCGGGGACGCGGAGCCACTCAAGACCAGGACCAGGACCAGGACCGAGACCGAGAAGGCGACATGCCGACCCAGGAGCTGGCACCAGAGCAGGCGGGCCGGGAGCAGGGAAAGGAGAGGGAGGCGAGTCCTCAGCCTGGGCCAAACTATGAGAGAAGGGCGTCTGCCGGATGGTGGACTGCTGAGTTTGAGCCTCGGGTTGTGGAGGAAGAGCTGGGCTGGCGTCGCCCAGGTCGTCGTCACACGGCTTCAGCAACAAAGACGGAGCAGCTGGCCCGGCTGAGTGAGTACCAAGCAGGTATGGAGGTTCGGCTGGGGTCCGGAAAGGAGTGAGTCCTGTTGAGCCTCAGTCTGTGCAGAGGGGCCAAGGAGCAAGGGGCCAGAGGAGAAGGAGGCGAGAGAGTGAGGAGCTGCCCGCGTCGTCTGTCACGACGAACGGTGAGCCAGAGAACAGGGGGTTGCTATGCACCTGACCCATGCAGCCAGCCAAGCCAGCCTGACGGAGATGGGCATCGGTACGCGGCATCCATGTGTGTCAGCAGCTCTGCAGAGCTGAACGCAACCTGACAAGAGGTACCCCCACAGAAGGGAGCTCCAGAAGCTTGGGCCATGCGGGGCGGCCTACCAACAGCAGGCAGGCAGGCAGGCAGGCAGGGAGGGAGGCACCTGGGAGCGAGCGAGAAGCTACCTAGGTGCTCACCCGGGTACCGAGGTACCTAAGCACCTGGGCACCCAGGTACCACGAGCGAGCTTGTCTCTCCCTATCGCCGTTCGAGTCGCAATCCTGCATTGCCCCAGGAGGCTTTGGTGGGCCTGAACGGCAAGGCGAGGAAGGCGTGCAAGGCGGCAAGGGCGGTCCAGGGCTTTCGAGCAGGTGGTAGTTCTTTAGTTACTCCGTACACAGATACCTGGGTCTACCTGGTGGTAGACCCTGGCTGGCCTTCCCCGGCTTAGACACCGGCGGCACTGCCCATGTTCGGACCCGAGCTCGAACAATTTCTGCTGCGCACACATCGATCTGACTTCCGTTTACACCAACGCCCCCCCCCCCCCAAAAAAAACCCCACGAGACGTGCCTCAGGATGGGCGTCCACGAGGGCCGCGGCTCAGCCACTACCGGCCCTCATCCGCAACGAGCAACTGCTCAGGATGATCTGGTAATGAATGTCAGTTCATCCTCGGGCCTCCTGCCCGTCTTCCCGCGTTCATCACCGCGTCTTATACGCACATAAATAAATGCGCATTGGTAAAGACTGCGGTATGCGAACAAGACCTAGACTGACTGCCTGCGCCGTCCTGCCCAGACCAACAATAGCAGCATTGTCTCAAAAAGAAGTGTTGAGCGTCTCTACTACCCGGATGAGCCCCATTTCTTCCGCTTCTTCGTCAAGAAATTCCAGCGCAGAGCTCCGCTTATCAATAGGGGCTACCATCTCAGGCTTCATGTCATCGACGTGGCCTTGCGTGACTTTCTAAAGCAGCCCTCAGGAAAGAAAAAGGTCATCGTGAATCTCGGCTGCGGAAGGTGTGCCCTGCTTGCTTCCAACCATCTCTCTCTCTTTCTCGCCTACACACACAGACACAATTAACTTTGTCCCACGAGGCTAACGGCAACTCCAGTGACGTTGTTCCCTGGCAGTGCTGGACTCGCTACCCAGAGCATTGCATCGCATCCCACGCCGTTTTTGTCGATGTTGATTTCCCCGAATTGGCGAGGCTGAAGCGTCGAACAATCCTCGAAACACCAGAGCTCGCGTCCCAGCTGTCCCAGGTCCAGGCCGAGGAAGACGGGCCCCTCCCTAGCTTGTTGCTGCGAAGCAGGGACTATCACCTCGTAGGTTGCGACTTGCGTGACCTGTCCGTGCTGCAGCAGTCCTTGAGCCTCATCGCAAATCCCGAGGAGTGCGTCTTCTTCTACATTGCTGAGGTGTCGATTACGTACATGGAGTCTCATTTCGCAGACGCCTTGATTCAGTGGGCGAGCACCCTTGGTGAAGGTGAGGCTGCTACATCCCTGGACTGTCTGATGTCTTGCTAATCCCGTCCAGCCGAATTCTTTCTGCTCGAGCAGATCCTCCCAGACGGCCCTGGCCACCCTTTTGCCCGTACCATGATGGATCGTAAGTTGACCACGTTCTCACCTTGAGGCCCGGGGAACCTCAGACCCGGCATGGTCAGGCAGCACCTCCTTTCCCCGACTTCACCCTTTGTGCTCGTTGGTCCCTTCCTCAGCTACGGGGACGCAAGTGGTTAATACAAAATGCCCTAGATTTCAACAAGCTCGCAGCGCCCATCAAGTCAGTGGCTGCCTATCCAGATGTGTCTGCACAGCGCGCGCGTTTCTCGGAGAGGGGCTGGTCACAAGTCCGCGCTCAATCCCTCTGGTCAGCCTGGAATGATGAGCATTTCCTATCTGCGGATGACCGGCGAAAGCTGGACGAAATCGAGCCCTTTGACGAATGGGAAGAGTTTTGTCTTTTCGCAAGTCACTATCTTATCTTACACGCCGCAAATCATGGAAAGCAAGACCTGGCCCCCTTTGAGGCCGGTGACACTCCCGAGATCCCAGGATTCGTGGCCACCACAACCTATAAGCCACTCACCGGCCACCACGGCCTCCGTCGATTTGGCGCAGCCTTGATCCTGAGCGATAGACTGGGGAGGAGATCCATTCTGAATTGCATGGGTCTTGGACCTACCACCCGTCTTCCGTCGTACGACATCTACAAGCTTCACGGCCCCGGAGGCGGCATTAGAGCAGACTCCACGGGGCCCTCGAGTCGTATGTGCCATTCGACGACAGACCTTGGCGTGCATGGCTATCTTAGTGTCGGAGGTCGAAACTCTCCATCTCGGGCCAAGAATGATTGCTGGCTATTGAGAAAGGATTCACATCGATGGGAGCGAACTCGAGACCTACCGATTCCGTTGTATCGCCACTCTATCTGCAGACTCTTGGGCTCTGCAATTGCTCTCCTGATTGGAGGCAAGCAAGATGCGGCCACCATATCCAGTGAGATCATGGTGTTCCATCCGGACAAGGGATGGGTGTTGTGCGTGATTCGCGGTTCTGTCACCCCACAGCCAGTTTTCGGTGGTATGCTCACATGCTGTGCACGTGAGCAAGATGGCAGTCCTGTCTTTCATGGGTTCCTCATGGGGGGTATCTCCGACGGTATCATACAGAGCCAAATGCTGGCCTGGACTCTAGTTCTGAGCGATGATGAGGTAGGTGCATACGCCACGAGAGTGAGCACAAGCGACATTCTGACACAAATAGGCCCCTTGCATTACTTTTGCGCCTGCAGAAGTGGATGAAGTTTCTACCGCACTCCTGGCTCGATTTGGTTCTAGCTGCATCCAGAATGAGGACTCTTTGGTTGTCCTGGGCGGCGTCGGCCGTGACGGAGTGATCCCACGAAACCGTGAAGTTCTACTCTGCTCTGTGACAGGTCCCCGAATACGGGTTGTTGGAGCGGGTCCTATCCCGGACGGCGAACAGGATGGAGAGATGCCGCGGCCACTGCTCGTGGGGTCCTCGATTGTGTCACCGCAAGACGGACAGGTAGTCATAATCGGCGGTGGGGCCACGTGCTTTTCCATGGGTTCATTCTGTACGTAAGCCCCGACCTTTGCCTCTCTGGTCACATTTCGCGGCAAGAACGGTCCCTGGTCTGGCATGTCCAAGGACTGCTGCTTAAATGGTGGCATGAAGGACGGGGGCTGCGTTCCGCTGTTGCTGCTAGCCTCAATGACGTGTACTAACTTGGTTGTTTCCCCAAAGGGACCAGAGGCTCGTACACATTATCAATCGATAGCTTAAGCAGGGGCAAACAATCTCGACTGTCACCGCACCGGACGGGTTGGGAGTTTTCGGGGGCTGGCGAGATAGAACCGCAGTCCTCAAGCGCCTCAGCGAGTGGCGTGGACAGCCAGCCCACTGACATCAAGCCCGTTCCCCGCGTCCATGTCTCCTCGAAGGAATCATTTGAGGCAATTGTCAGACAGGGCTTGCCCGTCGTGATAGAAGACTTGGACATAGGCCCCTGCCGCAGCAAGTGGACACTGGACTACCTCACCAGACAGGTGGGAGATCGCAAGGTGCGTGTGACCACAGGCAAGCGGTAGAAATATTGGACACTGACACGCCGCCTGTACAGGTTGTTGTGCACGAGTGCGGTGTGCGGAACATGGATTTCAATGCCAAAAATTTCCGATACACCACGATGAGATTTGGTGACTTTGCTAAAGAGATCCAAAGCGGCGCACGTCTCTATCTGAGAGCCCTCTCGGCCAACGCCCCCGCTGACCAGCCTGCCAACCTTGCCAACGACTTTCCTGAATTGACTGCTGACTTCTCGCTCCCCGAGGCGCTTGATATGTGTCGGGAGAATATGCACAGCTCAGTCCTGCGGGTTTCCGGCCAGGTGAGCCTCCATCACTCATGTGATGCTCCTACAGACCGTGCCCGAATGCTGACTTGGAATGCTGAATTTCAGGTGGACATGTGGCTGCATTACGATGTCCAGGCAAACATCTACTGCCAGGTGAGCGGGTCGAAGAGAATGCTCCTCTTCCCGCCGTCAGACGTGGTAAAGATGTCCTTTGCGCCGGGAGCCTCGAGCTCGAGCATTGATGTGTTCAGCTGCCTCGACTCCCCAGCACTACGGAACACTCGTCCGTGGGAGGCATACCTGAGAGCAGGCGACGTCTTGTTCCTGCCGCCCCTGTGGTTGCATACCGCCACGCCCACTGGCAAGTCCAGCATTGCGCTGAATGTGTTCTTCCGCGACTTGAAGTCTGGGTATTCAACCGGACGTGATGTGTATGGGAACAGGGACCTCGCGGCTTATGAGAAGGGTCGGCTGGAGATTAGTCGCATTTCCAAGGCATTTGACAGGGTTCCCATGGAGGCCAGGCAGTTCTACATGCTCAGGCTTGCCGGGGAGCTCGCTCAAGCCGCTGAGGCTGGCCAATAATGGCCTGTTCGTCACAGTGCTGCCGGTTGCGCCCCGGTGGTGACCTCGGCGATGCGAGACTGCGTATTGGGACCTTTGGGGGCGACCAGGCTGAGGTGTAGCGCAAACAACAACGACCGACTCAGTGCTGCATACGTGCTGGATTCGCCCTCCGTCTTTCTTAACCAACCAACTCTGGGTGTGCAGCAGATGTCGCAACCGAATAGAATATTCCCATGGCAGTTTGTCGTCTAGGAAACCACCCTCCAAGAGGTTGTCAGTGAGATAATAACCTCTGGCCCTGGTACAACGGTGCAGGGCTAGCATGCCGTGGGCGACCAATGACGGGAGGAGGATCTGGCGCCCTGGTTCGCATGAAAGGCCACTTCATGCGATGCTACCCTAGCTGCTGGACCAGAGGCAAGCAGGCAAGCAGGCAAGCAAGCATAATAATAAGCATGCAGCTGACAGCCTCGCAGCCTGCTAGTCTAGTCACCAAGTGACCACATCCGTCGGCAGGCTGGTGGTGTTCCTCTCGGTCCCTCTCCTTGTCCCTATTGATCTGATCCTCCTGGTTCCTATCCCCCTGCTTTCCTGCTTTCCTGTTTCCCATCTTCGCCCTCCCATCTCCGCCCTCCCGCGTCTCCGCCCTCTGTTCCCGCCGTCACTTGACCTGCCACCCTGCCACCCCTGACTGTTGGTCGCGCTCGCCTTGCCCGAGCGGCACAGTACCACTTGGCCACTATGCCCGCGTATTACGGTGATGATCAGGATGCCAGGCCGCGTGCCACCGCGGCAGATTACTACTACTCGGGCGGGGCCCCCGGACCCTTCGCATCTGGCGCCATTCCCGTGCCGGCCAACGCCCGCCTGCCATATCACCAGCCCCAGCCCCCTCCCTATCCATACACAGCCCCTCATGTATCACCCATCCCAACCCTCCACCCCGATGCCCGCCATCCCTCGCCGCATCGTCGCCGCCCTCGCTCACTCCCGCCCCCGGCACGGCGCAAGGGCGGCCCAAGTGCCCATGCCCACTCGCCCGTCAGACACGACAGCGGCCCGCGCAGCCCCATCCAGGACGCTCGCCACCTGATCCACAGCACCTTCTCAAACTCCAACTCTGGCCTGGGCATCGGCGTGCTCGGTGCTCTTGCCGGCGGTCTCATTGCCCACGACCGTCGCGTTGCCGACCACAAGTCGCCGCTGATTCCCACCATCGTTGGAGCTGCCGTGGCGGGGCTGGCTGCAAACGCCTTCGAGAAGAGAATCGAGGTCGCCAAGGTCAGGAATGCCGAGAAACAAGAGGCATGGGAGAGGAAGTGGGGCCCGGGCCTGAGACCAGACATGCGCGACGGCCCTGGACAAGAAACGGGCCGCCCGAGGGGCCGCCGGAGGTCAAGCGGGATATACTACGATGACCACGGGGCTGATGCCGGGGATTTCCATGGCAGATCCGCGCGGTGAGGGCCAGGCTGACTGGGCTTGGCAATGGTCTGGTCTGGGATTGACGAATGATGGGCTGATAATGAATCGCGGGCTTGTTGTGACCACATGCCGTGTACTGCACCCTTGATTTCTCACTTGTTTGAATTACTACGGGCTTTGGTTCACGATAGTGGTCGCATTAATCAAACAGCTACTTTTGAGTTGGTTTCTTCTGAAGCTGCAAGCCCCTGCCTTCCACGACGGGTTTGGCAGAGACGATCGTCTCAGCCGATCAGAATGGTACTCAATACAATCTACTCAGTCGCGTCACAGGGGAAACTCCCCTCTGAAGGATGATACACAGTGGAAGCTGCAAGAGCGTAGTCCGTGGGGTGAATGTGTGCGGTAGCACAGAATCGCTCAACGCAGGGCGGCAGCAGTTTCGGCCTGGGCTTCGGGGCTGCTGGCAATTATGGCTAGGACATTGTACGCAGATATCGAGACACGGCCCCCGGGTGATGAATCCTAGGGTAATGCAGATATCCGCTCAATATCCAGTTGTCCCAGCAGTTGATCTGTGTCGAACAATGGTAGGTATGCCATCCCCTTGCCCATTGCTACCCTGATCGACCAACGAGTTGCGACTCGGAGCAAAGACAAGCCCGGGTGGGCAAGGCGCCCCCCCCTCCTTTTTCATCCTTTCTCATTGTTCAATTTCTTGGTCATGAAATTGCCTCTGTTCGTAATGAGAAGCAGTACCCGATCCGCCACTCCCGCGGGCCTCGCTCGTACCGCCCTCGTTCTGGCGCAGTCGAAAGCTCTGTTCCCGCTCCAAGACGACCTTGAAGAACTGGATGACCTCGGCTAGTTGGATCTGTTGCTGCTCACAGCATCCGACTAGATTGAACAGAGACTGGGAGTCCAAGAGCTGCTTTGCGATCACGGTATCGGGCTGACAGAATGTGCGGATGCGCATTGCGCGAGCGTCAACACGCATCATGTCTAGCACACCGTTTACCGCCGCGATGAGCCCTGCGCGCTTGCCGTAGAAGCGGAAGTCCTCGCTGTGCAGGAGGATCAGATCGAGCTGAGTCTCGAGGTCGTAGCGGAAGCCGATCACCTTTGGTCGTCCACGCTGCTGCCAGCCGTCCACGATCTTTTTGTACTTGTCGGCGTCGAGGCGGCCCGCGTTGAACTGGCTACTGATGTACCCGTCAAGGGCGGTAGTCAGCAGGAATTCCAGCTCGCAGTAGAGCAGGCTCTGCTCCCGTGGATCCAGGGAGACCGTGAGCCGGGTGCCTCGGTTGTCCCTTTCACGAGGCTTCCGGGAGGCCGAAGACGTGATATCCTTGGCAGAGGTAGTCATTTCCTTGGCCATTTTTCTGAGACTATCGAGAAAACCCCCCTTTTTCTGAGTAGGGGCCTTGTCTATTGGCCCCTGGTCAGAACTGTGCTGCTTTCCGGGGGCGCCTGATGTGCGCTCTAGCCAGCCATGGGCTCCGACAAGCTGCTTGCGTATGGGTTTGGCTTGGACTGACAGGTAATCAGACAGTGGAGAGTAGGTGCGCTGCGGGAAGGTTTCGTCGGATCGAAGCTCGTGCAGGTCGCCGGTGGTGGCAGTCTTCTGCAAGCCGCGGTTGGGGGAGATGAGGCGGGCTGGAGAAGCATCGTGCTTGGCACGGTTAGGATACGGACTTCGAGTCCGGACGTCGTGGCATCGTGGAACACTGAGGTCAGCGTCAAGATCCTCGCGCACCCGAAGAGGACTGATGTAGGAGGGGCGGGCCTGCCCCAGTTCGTCTTCGGAGTAGTATGAGGAAGTGGGCGAGACACTGCTGGGTTCGCGGCGAGGGCTTGTCAACTTGGGCATGCGCCGGAGAGGGGGGGTAACAGGCGGGTTGACGACGGCACAGAGAGAGTGCGTATGAGGTCGCCCTTGGACAACGACGGCCTTATTCGACAGGGGCCCATATTGACGGGCTGTCTCGACATCGATCGGGGGTGGGCGAAGCTTTCCCACGCGGTCAGCTATGTAGGAGTCATCATCGACCAGGTCGGATGTCAGGGCTGGAGCCCTGCGCCGAGATTCAGACCGCTTGCCCGGGGAGCGAGAGCGAGAAGGTTGGTCCGTAGACGAGAAGGACGCGTCGACGACATCGGCCATGGGCGCCCGGCGACGGCTACGGTGGCTATTACTGGCAGAAGGTTGTGCCCGCGTAGGTGAAATGTCCCTGGCCCTGGCCCTGGCCCTGGCCCCGTCTCTCTCATGGGACCCTCGGCTACCTGTGTTGCTGCGGCGGGGCGATATGCCAATCTGGATCGTATCGCTCGCAGATGAAGCGTTGTGGGGATCGCGAGATCTCTTTCCAGGCGACTCGTAGCCGGGAAGGCTGCAAACATTTCAGGTCAGTCTTTCGCGCGAGGCCTTGGAGGGCGGGAAAATGGTGACGAAGCGACATACGAGGAGGCAAGCTGCTCCATCTGTGGGTCGGTGATGTTCAGATGGACATGGAGGCCGAAGTCAGGACGACGACGGCAGGTAGGCGAAGCAGGGCGAATGGAGGGGCCAGAGACGGGGATGAAGTTGCCCCGGATCGCAGTGGGCGCGTCCTCGGGCGGATTCATGTGAGGATCAAAGGCTGGTGCTGCTGGTGCTGCTGGTGCTGCTGGTGCGGTGGGCGACGAGGCAGCGCGTGCGGTGCAGCAGCTGGGCTGAAGGGGTTTGCAGACTGCAGACTGTTCCCTGCCAAACGACCAACGAGGGCGGCGTGCAACAGACGAGCAGAGGTAGGTGGCCGTCCCAAGGGCTGCCAGCCAGTGCGGCCAGGCAACCAACACAAGCTCCCAAGCTCCCAAGCTCCAGCTCTCTCTTCACTCGTGTATGTGGTGTAGAGCCTCACGCGCACGACCCGTCCTCCTTCCACCTACCTCCCTCCTTCCACCTACCTCCCTCCTACCTCCCTCCTCTCTCGTCCTTCCGCGACTGCCTCTCCCCTCTGCCCTGCCCCCTCCCTCGTACTCTGATGACCCCAGAGGCTGGCGACAGCCGCCGTCAGCTATGGTGGACATTTCCTGCCCGCTTCGCATCACCCCAACTGCTGCATGTTGGATGGCTGGGGAGAGGACACACGTACCGCTTGGTACGTGGCCTGGCTGACACTTGACCCAGCTCTGGACAACATCTACCCAAGACATGATTGTCATGATTGCACTCCTCTGCCCCCAGCTGCACCTCGGACAACGGTGATGGGGCGAAGTCGCGAGCGCCTGCTGGCCCGGATCCCGGATCGCATCTTGCGGTCTTGGGGTCTTGGTAGTGGGGCGTCGTGGGCAGCCAGGCGCAACCCGGCCGGCCAGAGACAGATGCTGACGTTTCTCCGCATCCCTTAGGCCAGCGGTCCCACTCTTGACTTCCCGTGCTCTTCAGCCGCGTTTTGGGGTTCCCCGCTATTCCTAACCGATTCGCCTTTCCGAGTCCTGGATTGGGAGTCATGCCCTCGTCGCAACCGACACCTATTGTCGCGCAGCCCGGCCTGGGTCCGCTGCCAGGCCATCGACACGCCTCGGGCTGTTTGTCTTCTGGGCCTGGCAAGAAACGTGCCATCGCCCACAACACCCTCCCCCGCAGAATCCGATTGGTCATGGCCGACCGGTGTGCCTCCAGTCCTCATTTCACAGCCTGCCCCAACTGGCCCGTCCGTCGAAAATCTCCCACGATGCCGTTTATGAAAGCCGCGCCCGGTGGGTGTCGGGGATCGAGCTAGCTCACCTCCTTTCTTGGGACGGCTATGACGCCGGTCGTCTTGCCGAGCTGTCTTGCCGCTCCGTACACAGTGATAAAATCTGCGAAATGCCCACTGCACGCCTGCTCTCCAGTTCCCAGTAGCTGTCCCTTATCCATCACATCATCAACCCCCATCTCCACAGCTGAGGGCGGCTCCTCCTTCGGTAACTGGAGTCTCGGACGCCACAAGGTCTCCGTTCAATTTAAACCGCCCATCCCGCGCCCACACCCTTTGGACCCAGCACACATTGCTGCAAAGACACCCTTCTTTACCTGTCATCCCTCAAGACTTGGACCTTTTCCAGTCCCCCCGACCCCTAGCTCGTTCAGATCCCTTGGGCTAGAGTCCTGTGTGGTTGTTCTTGTTGAGAAGGCAGTCATGGAAACTCAGCCGGCGAAACAGGCGTCCCAGCCATATTATGACATTGGTAAGGCAGTGCGTCCTTGGTATCTAGAGTCTGTTACTGACGCTGTGTACTGCAGTCATTGTTGGCGCTGGCCCTGTAGGGCTCATGCTTTCGACGTGCCTGGCGAGGTGGGGTTATAAGATCAAGCACATCGACAACCGAGCAGAACCAACGCCAACAGGTCGTGCAGACGGTATTCAACCTCGTTCTCTGGACCTTCTGCGGAACATGGGTCTCAAGTCGGCGATCATGGCGCACAAGCCGGCCAGGGTCTACGAAGTAGCCTTCTGGGATCCTCCCCGGAACGGAAAGGGCATCGCTCGGACGGGGACTTGGGCGAGTTGCCCTAGCTTCATCGACGCGAGATATCCCTTCACCACCCTCTTGCACCAGGGCCTCATCGAGCGCGTCTTCATCGCCGACCTGGAGAGACATAACTCGCAGGTGCAGCGGCCTTGGACAATCAAGGGGTTTAGCGTCGACGAAAAGACCAATCCCGATTACCCTGTCGAGGTCGAGCTCGAACATGTGGACGGCACGATGCGTGAGAGCGTGAGGGCCAAGTACCTGTTTGGTGGTGAGGGCGCAAGGTCCTTTGTGCGGGACCAGTTAAAGATAGGAATCACGCACAAGGACCCAATAGCCCACGTGTGGGGTGTCATGGATGGCGTTGTAAAGACTGATTTCCCTGACATCAAGGTAAGATATACCCAGCCAGCCCGTGTCTCGGTGGGATAACTAACACACCTCAAGATGAAGTGCACGATACACTCTGAGCACGGCTCGATCATGGTCATCCCGCGCGAAGCCAACATGGTGCGGCTTTACATACAAATCGCGTCCTCGACCGATCCTGACTGGAACCCGCGCAAGACGGCGACTTCTGCGGAGGTCCAGGAATCAGCCAAGAAGATCTTGCAACCCTACTCCATAGAATGGGAGACTGTCGAGTGGTACTCTGTGTATCCCATCGGCCAGGGTATTTCCGACAGGTATACCCTGGACCACCGCGTTTTCCTCGGCGGGGACGCTTGCCACACGCACAGCGTGAGTTCAGAATCCACCAAGCCCCTGGGGGGCACTTGAGAATTTGGCTGACAGCCCGAGTCATAGCCCAAAGCTGGTCAGGGGATGAATACAGCCTTCCTCGACGCCCAAAACCTCGCCTGGAAGATCCACGCAGTTGAGGGTGGTTTCGCGGACCGAGAGATACTCAAAACGTACGAGCCAGAGCGTAAGGAGGTTGCAGAGACCTTGCTGTCATTCGACAACCGCTACGCAAAGCTGTTCTCGGCGCGGCCGCCGCCCGCGAGCACGGTGGAGGCCGCCTCAGAGACCGCAAACAGCAATTCCTTTGAGGAGAGCGAGTTTGTAAAGACGTTTAAGGAATCTTGCGAGTTCACCAGTGGCTACGGGGTCGCTTACGGGCCCAATGCGCTCAACTGGTCGTCCGAGCACCCCGTGCAGTCGCCATTGGTCCACCCTGAAGGCACCAAGCTAAGGACAGGTCGGCTTTTGATCAACGCCGACGTGACCCGTGTTGTTGACGCCAACGTGGTGCATCTCGAACAAGAAGTCCCTCTCAACGGCTCATTCCGGATATTCGTATTTGCGGGCAAGCCCAGTGTGACCAAGAGGGCACTGGACGACTTCGCGAGCAATCTCGGCCGCCGTGGCTCTTTCTACACGGCCTACCAGCGACCAGACTTACAGAAAGTGTCGCATCACGAGCAAGACAACCCTCACAGTCTGTTCTTCACAATATGTACTGTGCTTGCGGGCGCCCGTAGCAGCATCGAGATCAGTCGCGATGTCCCGGAGCTGTTGGGGCGCTATCGGGACCATGTGTATGCGGACGACCGATGGGATCGCCGTGTGCCGGATGCGAAGGCATCTGCGCATGCCAAGATGGGACTGAGCGAGGAGAGAGGCGGTGTTGTCGTCGTCCGGCCTGATGGATACGTTGGCATTGTGGTCTCGCTCGTAGAGGGTAGTGGCACTGTGGATGCCCTGAACCAGTATTTTGGGACCTTCTGTACGAAATCACTCGGGACAGCAGCGTCTCAGTTGTGAGGACGGCTTTGCTTCTCATTGCTCGTTGTCATGTCAATACCTGGGCTATGGCGCATGTTATATAGATACTTGAAGCCGACTTTATTCTCCCACCCACAGCAACGATCACATCTATGTGAGCAGCCTTGCAAGATTCCTGTGTTGCCTCGTGTTGGAAAGGCCTGACATGCGGTCGTAACTGCACAGGTGCCAGGTGCCTTTCATGGTTGTGCAACCAACCCATCAGCTTTGTCCAGATGCTTGCCAAGTATCTAACCGCAGACAGTAGGCTGCCTGGACAGCTTAAACACTTGTTTAACATTCATCTCCCTAATTCCAAGTCATGGTGCTGGGACCTCGGTTGCCCTCTGCACCAAGCATGCCCTTGGTGATTGTGCTGCTGCTGCTGCCATCCAACGTGAGGTTTGTCCTCATCCCTGCTCATGCAAGGCTGAGCCTTGGCTTGGCATCTCGGCGGTTATGGCGGCCGTGGCGGTTATGGCGTCTGCGGCGGCTAAAAACAAGTTGGTGGAATCCCTTGAGAACAACTTCATACCATGCTGCAGGGGCTTGCACCTGCCTTCTTCTCAGCACAAGCACCCCTGCCACCCCGCCCCCGCCTTGCAGGAAACAGCTCGAACCCAAATATGAGGTATCTTGTGCCTCAATGCTAGGGAATCTCGTGGTCTTGATGGTCTCAGCGGCTCCCTCACGCATGTGACAAGCGAATGTGTGCCGCCTCCCAGACGCACGGTTTGGTGAGCCTCAGGCTTGTGGTTAGGCAGCGAAAGTCTGCGGGCTGGCGATGGAAGGGGGTATACCGGTATGTCAATGACCCAAGACGAGGGACAGCTCTGTCCCCGACCGACTGGTGTGGACAACACCACGTCAACTGTGGCTTGCCTTGCAACTGGTTCTAACCGTCAACAAGGATCCCAGCACAAGTGCAATCGCGTGCGCCAGTGAGAGTGCGACGGCAACGACCGGTGGATGTGAACCTGCTGGTGAAAGCGCACCTCGGAGTGTAGGCGGGAGTGGACGTCAGGCGGAAGGTCTGAAGGGGGGCCTCGTCCGTGTGGACGCTCAGAAGCTACCTCGGACTACGGTACGTACCTAGGTAGACATACCCGTGCCCTGCTTCCAGGGTCACCCACCAGCCTATCTCTCTGGAGGGGTGTAGCACTTTGGGTCGATGTTCTTGAAATGGAACCAAGACTGGCACAGGTCAACTTGTACCTGGGCACTGTGCAAACGCCCGCCCACGCGCCCGTCTTGTTTACTAGCACACTCAACACGCATCTGTCTTTCTTGCCCCTGCCTCTCCCTCCTCTCACAACACCCACAACACCCACATCACCCACATCGCACCGCATTGCGCAACGTATCATTGCTCTCTGTTTGCGTCTCAGCACTGCCCCGCGAAAGTCGAGTCTTCTCTCGTCAATTCTCAATCGAAACAAAACAAAACAAAACAAAACAAAACTCCATTCACCCAGCCTCGTGACCGTACAGTCTTGTCACCATGTCGATCCCAGCATCCCATCGCGGACAGTCGAGACTTCCCATCAACACCATGAGACATCCATTTCCCCTTGTTCATCGATTCATCCCTCCAAGATCCATTTCTGCAGCCACCACAGTCGCGCCTACCTCATTCAGACCCGTCTTCCATCTTGCACCTTCCACAGCTCACATCATGGCAATCCCACAGAAGCGCAAGGCTGAGGCAGAGCCCGAAATCGAGGACGTCGTCATGCGCGACGTGGCTGACGATGATGCTCTTGAGAGAGACACTTATTGCTCTCGCCTGGCTAGCATCGGCGCCAACATTCGAAATGGGCTTCTTGGGGCAATCAAGGGCGTCTGCACGCGCGCCGTTGGCTCCTTTTTCACCCATCGCGATCGATTCATGCACAGCATGGTCGAGATGCGCCATAGGACTGACGATGGCCTTTCCATCAAGCGCTTCAAGCGCCTGCCACTCGACCCCAGGAAGGCCTTTACCACCGCCACTCTAGAGAACGCGCTCCCCGTCACCTACCTGAAAGCTCTCCCAGATGGCCAATACTGTTGGACAAACAGGGTCACAGAGTACCTCGGCGTCAAGAATCACATCTCCGTCGACGCCTTCTTCTCCAATCTCATGTCCATAGTCCGCTCCGAAAGAGTCGAAGACTATCTTGGCATCGATTATGCCATCGACCCACTCAATGTCCCAGCCTTCGTCCTCGATAGACTTCGGGCAAGCGGCAACGATCCAACCCTTTCCATCTTGGTACATAACTACTACATCGAAACCGCCCAGGAGAGGGGCCACCAAGCCTTCGTCGAGGCCGGCAAGACCTTTTTCGACAAGCTTAACAAGCTTTCAAAGATCTACCGACTCGTCTACAATGGCCAGGGCCGCGTCCCCTTCCTGAAGGATTTGGGATTCAAGCCATACGATCACCTCGAATCCGACGGCAAAAACGGCCTGCTATCCCACCAAGAGAGACTAGTCTACTACGAATGTGTCGTCTTCTTACAGTACATCCTCACCCAGCGCGCAGCGTTCAACCAGACGTGTCCGGTTCAGACTATCGCGGGCATCATCGTCGATTTTGACGCTCTCCACAAGGATGAGGCCCCCCCCAGCTATGTGGATTGGCCCGGCAAGCACATGCGTGTCCCAGGTGCCTTTCCAGATGTCGAGATGGATTCTCTTCTCTTCGACAATGTCCCTATGGACAAATTTGAGGCAACCCGACTTTACGACCACCAGTACCCCAGCCCGCGCAAGTTCGAGACCTACAACACACCCCCACGCAACGTAATTCCAAAGAACCCCATCTACTTTGATCAGAGGGGATACCCGAAGCCTCGAAAGGGAGCCCTCAGAAACCGTCTGCTCTTGGCTCGGCCCAAGAAGACAGCCCGGTTCAAACAATGGCCACCACACTGGTACATGCCATCGGAGAATGAGCCGGTCAAGCGTGTTTATCCCCAGGATAGCCAACCTCACGAAGATGAAAACCAGGCACCATCCGCCCCAGAGAAAGAGTCTGTCGATGACACGAAGAAACGTGTCATGGAGAAGAGTAACTCGGTCTTTAGCATCTTGGACTCGTCTCCGAAGGCTCAGAAGCCACCCCGCAAACAACCGAAAAACTTGACCGAATTCTTCGAAGACGACCCCCTCGGGTTCGAGGAACTGAGCAAGGACAAGTACCGGCTCGAACTCAGCCGTGAGAAGCGCGACGACTTCGACACGCGTAAGCAGCTTATTGCCGACGCTGCCCACCAGTCCCAGGCCGAGGCAAGGGCCGAGGAGAGGAAACGTGCCGAGGAGGAGCGTCTTGCTGCGGAAGAAGCGCGCCGTCGTGCAGAGGAAGAGCGTCTTCGCGCCGAGGAGGAAGAGCTGAGGCGTGTTGAAGAGGCTGGCGAGCTGCGCCAGCCACGCAGCCCAGTGGTCCCACCACTCAGCGATGACTGGGTCGCGCGGGCCCAGAGCACGCTGGATGCCCGCCTCAACGCAGAGCTGGCCAGGACTCCCGAGGGCAGCCCACTTACTCGCAAGGACTTTGAAACCGTGGTCACCCCGAATCAGTGGCTCAACGATGAAATTATTAATGGTACACTTCTTCACCTGGCCAATTACATCAATCAGAAGGCCGGCATTAAGAACACCCGTCTTCAAACCCCAAAGGTTCAGGTGTTCAACTCCTTCTTCGGCAAGAAGATCTACGAGAACGGAGGCGAGGGCACGGAGCGCCAGATGCGACGCACCGGCATCCGAAAGGACACCTTCCTGAACATTGAAGCGGTCCTCATACCCATCTGCCGCGGTGCCCACTGGACCCTCGTCGTGGTCCGTCCGAAATACCGCCAGGCGCACCACTTCGATTCCCTGAACGGAGCTGGCAACCCAGGTTTGATAACAAATGCGATGAAGTGGGTGAAGATGGTGCTTGAGGACCGATTCGTCCCATCTGAATGGACCACAACAACCATCCCTTCGCCCCGTCAACGCAACTTTGACGATTGCGGCGTACACACAATCACGAATGGCATATGCGTCGCCATGCACGTCGACCCCATGTCCTATTCAGCTGGCGACATGGAGCAGCAGCGTCTCCACATCGCCGCAGTGCTACTGAATGATGGTTTCAAGGGGGACTTGAGCCTGGACGACTTCTAGTGCTCCACACCTTCTGATGCCGTTCAATTTTTCGATCACGCAAGAGGATTTGGGGGGGGGACGGATGCGGCAGCTAGCACCGCATGTTTGATGTAGGAAAACCTGTGATGTCCAAGCCACAGAGGCAGAGTCTGGTACGGCGTTGTATAAGATTTTTCAAGGAGTAGTAGTGTTGTTACGGTAGTAATGTATGTGATGGACCACTACACATAAAGTCGTGACCGATGGGTCGCTGGCCAAGAGTGGAGTCTCTTGGAAAAGATGCAAGTGCTGACAGCATGGTTGGTGAGGAGAGGGTAGGAGCCCACTAAGCCCAGTGGCAGCGCCCCTACCTCGAAAGCGTTGTGACATGTGGGCGTTCTGAGCGGAGCATGTCTACCGTCCCAGCGCTAATTCCCTGGGAGCAAAAATCCTCGATAACATCACCATGTAGATACCTAGGTACCTAGGTACTCTTGCACTCGGGTTATGCGGTACGTACAAGACGGTCCGCATCTCTGCGAATGGAGTCCTGGAGAAAACATGATTTGGCAAAAATCAGATGCTGGACAACCTGTCTTGTCTGCTTACAGCCCCGTATCGGCGGATCTCGGCGAGCGGGCGAGTTATTGGGTGGGGGTCGGCCATCCGCATTGCGGCCCGAAGCCATAGGAGGCATCGTGGGCGGCTTGTGCTTCAATGCCAGACAGGCCCTCGGAGTATAGTTTGCACGCCTGATTGACACATGCATTTCTGGTCAACGCGGCAGACGTCTGCCGGTGCCTTGAGCCGAGGCAAATGTCTTTCTTTTTCTTTTTTCTTTTTTCTTCTTGTCTTTTTCTTAAAAAAAAAAGAAAAAGAAAAGAAGAAAGAGGCAAGAACAAGGACAAGATCAGGAGGAGAAATCGAGAACGAGGGGCGGAAAAGAGGGGGGGGAAAATTGCCTGCACACATCGGATCCGCTCGGGGTCAAGGAGACGGCGTGCGCGATAGCCGAATTGACAGCCATTGGGCCGAGAAATGCGGCTCAGTGCCGGGTTGCCAGGCGTGCTGCAGCAGCCCGAGTCATCCAAAGGCACGGCGTGGGAGGCCAAGGTGGAATGACTGGGAGGCATTTGGCAGAGGTGCGGCTACATACATCCTGCTGGCGCGGAGGGGCATGACAAGGCCAGCCTCGGCCTCAACAGAATGGGCCAGTTATGCTTTGGGCGTACAGGTGCTAGGCGTCAGCACAGGTCAGACCACGGCCCCTTGTGCGGTCCCGGATGCCGCAGTTTGGGATGCAAAGAAGACTGTGTAGGTGAGCTGATGGATGGAGAGGCGGACAAGGAGCTGACAAGGGCGGGCCTGTCGTGCGGTGTACGTGTATTAATATATTTAGCAGAGGGTGGAACAGTGATGACAGTATGGCCGTGGGCTCCGTGGTCGGCCAGGCGGCAGGAATGGACGACTGTGCTCGGTAGGCGGACGGGGCGTTGTTAGTCGCGGTGGGTGGTGGCTCCGGAGCGTCGAGACCGGGCAGCCCGAGGGTTGTTTATTCCCGGGAGCAAGGCAGGCTGGGAGGGCAGCAGGGCAGGAGGAGGCCGGAGGACATACTACTCTACAGTACATAGGCATGATGTTGACTGGGGCCCATGTGCACACCCTCGGGCGGGCGGCACCTGGGCAGCTGGGCTGCTGGGTATACCCATCCAGGAGGGAATTGTCAGCGGGAAAGCTTGTGCGTATGCATGATGGCCAGGGATCATGGGCTGGAAGCCGCTTCCGCATCCGCAGTCTTGAAACGAGAGGTTGGGGTGTCAGGGTGTACGGAGTACGTACGAGGGCCGTCGACAACGTGCATGCGGTGACGCTAGGCCTCAGGATGTCTGGCGTCGGGGTTGCACGCAAACGACAACCGATGGACGATGATGATGATGGTGATGGTGATGGTGATGGCGGCGGCGGCGGCGGCGGTGGTGGTGGTGGGCAAACGTCGGGTCAAGATTCGATCATTGAGCGTCAGACCTCGACTGCTCGAATACATGCGGTGCAACGACGATGACGAAGGTTGACGAGGGCGGGTGGCGAGGGCTGCTGCAGGCACGGCACACGGGGAACCGATGGGGAGGGCAATGGGTCGATGGGCGCCTCTCGGGCAGCGTGTGCCGCAATCTTCCCATCTTCCAATCTTGTCAGGCTTGGTGCCCTGCTGCATGGAAGAATTCTAGCGGCCTTCCACAAAACTTCTAGTGCTCTTGGCCCCCGGCCACCCTCCATCCCACCTTGTCCTGCTTGTGCCGTGCAACCACAACCGGCATGGTCCTGGCCGACCAGCCGTCTAGAACCACAGTAGTGTCAATCAACCGCAAACGCCTAATGAGTGAGTGGATGGAATGGTGTTACTCGCCGTCCTTGTTTCTCCATGCTGGACCCGACCAGCCGGGGCTGCCTGTCGTCGGCGGTCGCAGCTTCTGGCCTTCTGACCGACCTCCTGACCGACCTCCTGACCGGCCCTGCCCCGCCCTGGCAAGGCGCTTGCAAGGCTGGCAGGCTGTGTGGTACAGTGCACACCGTGACACGGTTGGCTGCGTCTGCCGTCCACTTGCAAAACACGAACGAGTATATGATAAGACACAAACACAAACACAAACACAGGCACAGGCACAGGCACAGGCACAGGCACAGCAGGCGCACACGGCGTAGAAAGGCAACGTCCTGTGCTTGTTGTTGTTGTTGTTGTTGTTGTTTTTGTTGTTATATTTTTATTTTTTCCCTTCTCCCACAAGCCAGTGCTTCCTTGCTGGCCTCTGGGCCGTGTGACCACAGAGCCCCTGAGAAGGACCCGCTGGGGCGTCTGGGTCTGGGACCGGATTGGAGTCTGGCATCCTTGGACAGCAACCGGCCCCTCCGCGCCAGCCAATTCGCACCTCCAAAAAAGGTCTCCAACCATCATCAGGCCGACCAGCCCCAACAGCCCCAGCAGGCCCAGCAGGCCCAGCAGCCCCAGCAGGCCCAGCGTGGCAGGGTGGCTTCAAGGTGGGGCGGGTCCCTCCTTTTGAAACGCACATTCCTGACGGTGGTTTTTCTGGCTGTCTGGGCTGTCTGGCAACGGACACACGAGACACATGAGACACGGGCTGCCGTTGCTGTTGCACCCTACCTACTACATGCCTAGGTAGTACCAGCCTGCCACAGGCTGCCCAGGAAGGCCCGCCGGCCCCATGCCCAATCAGCATCACTGCTGTGGGAATAAATCATCAGTAATCAATCATCAACCCGACTCCACTTGCACTCCAACCCCCTCTACCCTGCACCGGCTGGGCTGGGCTGGGCTGGGTTGGGCTGTCGGCCCACCCCCTCCCTCCTCGCTCCTCTCTTGCTCTGTCGATCCCGGCATTTCGCCTGTACTCGGCCTATTGGGTCGCTTGCACCCTTGAACCTGCATGCAGCATCCCATCTTCAAGCGTCCACCACCCTGCAACCTGCACCCTGCACCCTGCAACCTGCACCTCGCACCCTGCAACCAGCCTTCATGGTCCAGTCCTGTTCGCTCCCGGCCAGTCCTGCAGCCTCTGCGACTGTTGTGTGAGGACGAGAGAGAGCCTGCATCTAGCGGTACGTTGCTGTTGCCGTTGCTGTTGTTTTTGGGCCGTCGGGGCCGTCTGTTCTCGTCTGTTGTTGCTTGCTACGCAGTGATACATCATCTCCTTGTGGCCAGCACATTCCAATCACCGTCTCCCGTCTCCCGCCTACCATCGGCCGTCTCAGCCCCTGCCCCCTGCCCCCTGCCCCCTCCCCCCTCCCCCCTCCCCTGCACCCTCCCCCGCCACCCCTGCGCAGGGCTCCCCCTTGTCAGCACATTTTTCCACGCGCCTTCCAGAATCTCTCTCTATTTGGGGCCACCCTTGCCCTGCCCCATCTTGGCCGTCGGTCGTTTGTTCGTTCGTTCGTTCTTGCTTGCATTCATCGCCTGGCCTTGGTGGCGGTTGATCCAGACAACCTCCGCTTCCTTCTTGTCCTGTCCGCCCACTTCGATTCTCATCCTACCACAGTACCTCCAAATCCAAATCCAAATCCAAATCCAAACTCCAAACACCAAAACCCAAAACCTAAACCACATCTCGCATCTCACATCAACGTCCACCACCACCAGCAGGTCCAGCCAGATACATCCGCTTCCGAGACCCCAGGCCCCCGAACCCCGAACCCACGGCGCCATCCGACTACCAGCCCTCACTCATTTGCCGTCCTGCCTCATCTCTCCTTCGGCACCACGCCAGCACTGCACATCTCGTCGTCCCGCCTTGGCCTGTCGCAATTACTCCGCCGCCCGCCTCTGCCAACCGACGCTTCTTGGTCCCGACGACTCAAGATTTCATCACTCTCCCTCTTCTGCTGACCAGCGCCGTCTCCGTCTCTGGCAGGCCCTGTCGTATTTTACCACCACGACGACTACAAGACCCGCAAACCACCCTTGGCCCGCGCCGACACCCACCCGCTCCTTAGACCCGCAGCAGCGCCTCTCACCGCATTCATCACCCCATCTGGCCTGCACCTCGCTCGGCATTTGCCTGCTTTACCCGCCTGGCCTAGTCCAGCCAGCCTGCCTTCCCCTCGCCTCTGGTCCTCCTCCGGCCTGCCTGTTCGCTCCTTCACTTCGGACACGGCACGGCTACTGGGCGGATGCGTCCTGGCTGTAGTAGGTGACCTGACCCAGTCTTGCTGGGAGCTCGGTCGCCCCCTTCCCGGCCGTCACCTCAATTGACCCCTGCACGGCGAAGATATGAGACACTCGAGGATACGAAGCCACGCGCCAGCTTACCTGTCTCCAAGCCCGTCGCCCCGGGACCTGTCGCCAGAACCAGCCCCAGACGACGACCGAGGCGGTGGGCCCATCATGTCTACGTCCCGGCCAGTCAGTCTGGCGCCCTCAACGGGCTTCCGGCTACCAACCCTCGAGGAGATCCTTGCTGACTCTGCACCTTATCCATACACCCTTGGCGCCTTCATGGCCTATCTGTCTCAGAACCACTGCCTCGAAACGCTCGAGTTCACCATGGAGGCCGATCGCTACAAGCTCGCCCACTCCCAGTCCCAGCACACCTTCATGGACAGCGGCGACCACGTCTGCGAGCTGTGGCAGAAGCTAATCCAGGTCTACATCCAGCCCTATGGCTCCCGGGAGGTCAACCTTCCCTCGCACGTCCGGGACCGTTTGTTAAGCCTCTCTTGCGGGCCCACCCCGCCGGACCCCGCAGAACTTGACGACGCGGTCAGGATCGTCAACGAGCTCATGAGCGATTCCGTCCTGGTCCCGTTCCTGGAATCCCTCTCCAGCCCGGCCGGCGACATCCACCTCGACGACAAACCCACCGAGTCGAGGTCAAGACACGGCAGGTCACGCACGCGAACGCGGTCTTCCAAGGACACCTTGTCACCCAGCGAGGATCCTAGCCGGTCGCCAAAGACCTCGTTCCTCCCTCACCTGAGCATCAGCCGCAGGAGTGACCTCAACAACCGCTATGTGTCATCGTCGAGTGAGCCCACAGAAGACCTGACAGACGACAGCGGGACCAACTCGCCCCCCGCGTGCGACCCCATGACCCCGCCGACGACGCCGCCCACAACAGACTGGGCCTTCAGCGGCACCCCTCCCGGAACCCTCCACAAGGCAATCAGTGCACACAGCAACGGCTGGAAGAAGGTCGGCGCGAAGCTTGGCCTGGGGAGGAAGGGCCGGTCTGGCCACCGCGGGACGTCGAGCACTAGCGCCGCGAGGCCGAGCATTGCGGCCGACCAGAGCTTATGAGAACGACAGGTCATGTCACCACCCACCTCCTCATCACTCACCGCCCACCTTGAATCAGTCGCCACGCCTCCTGACGAAGTCACACTGCAAGAATGGGAAGAGCCGCACCCCGGTCGACGTCTGTCCTGCCCGGCTGACTCGGCGACCGACTGGGTTACGTATGTTGGGGACGATAGGGGTGGCATGGCCGCAAAAGGCCAGAGGCCACGCGGCATGGGGTTTGATCCAAACCGCCGCTCATCTGACGCTGGCAAGCACGAGTATCGGCAGAGGTACGGGCACGGCCGAGGGCGCAACCCGCCCACGCAGCTCTTCATAACCTGCCCGAACCATGATGAGAGGCCAGAGATACACACTGCACCGCTGCTCCGGCGCCGGTCAGGTTTATATGAAAGCAGTCTCGCCCATAAAGCCCCAATCATGGAGGCGGTGACGCACGAGCTTGACGGATCTTCCACCGACCTGACGGATAACGAGAGCGACATGACCATGTTCTCCCCCGCTGCTGAGGGATGCTCCACGGATCTACACTCTCCCGGTCAGGGTCTCCGATACACAGACTTCTCAAAATACCTCGGCGATTCCATGGACGTCGATGAACCTGGCCTGGGCCCCTTCTCCCTTGGCCCGGACACCGATTCCTATTCTGTTAGGGTTCCTGAAGAGGATCCCTATGGCTGGGACGCTGTCCTAGACAGCAAGTTTACAAACCCATTCGAGGACGCAGCTGCCGTGTCCCAGCAGAGACGCGGCAGCAGATCGAAGCGTAGCTTGCTACAACGGGTCTTGAGTACTAGCGGGCTGTCGACCCGAGACCCGGACCTTTTGGGTCCGTATTCAGTGGCCGACGATGAAGCCCCCTAGCCGCCCAAGCGACCACGAGGGGATCTATCTATCTGGTCATCAGACCACAGCCCCCCCCCTTTTTTTTTTCTTTCTTTCCTACTATACGGGTTGTGTTCTTGAATTCAAGTTTGGCGCTACGGATGAGGCATGCATATCAGGACCACAAAATAGACGGACAATTGCCATTCACATGCGAGGCGTTCAATAGGTGTTTTGGGCACAGAACGCGGCGGGAGTGGTCCTACGTTGTTCTTTGTTTATTTTTATCTTTTGCTTCTTGTCAGCCCTCTCCCTTCCAGTTGGCTCTATGGCTCTCTGGCTTTCTGGCTTTTTTTGCGGCTTTTGATTTTCAACTTGTTTTTGGCTCTGCCGTTTGGTAGCAGCGCAATCCGCCTTGACATGCATCGCTTGGAGTATTCTTAAGGCATTCGGAATTACTCGACGACAATCTGGGCAGCACAGACGATGAGGGACGAGAAGGATGAGACTACGAGGCATCTAGTAGTGGCGCCGTTAAGGTCAGAAATATGGCGGACGCAATGGATGGATCATGACATGCTACAAATGTATTGGACGTCGCTTGGGTGGTGTTTTGGCAGGTGTGTCCATTGATAATATCCATGTTCATATTATAAACAGAAGCATTGTCTTGAGGTTCTTCAACCCACGAGCATTAAGCTACTGTTGTCCTTGACCTAGCCTGGATATTTTGTCCCCATGCTTTCTTGTGTATACGGCATCGTATCGTGCGGGCATTTCTGCTGGCTGGTGGTAACAGAGAGCAACCTTGGTGACTTGTGTGGACAGCCAAGGACTGGGTAATCATGGGTCCTGGCAGGCTCCGTTCCCCAATGCACAATGAGAATCGAAACATACTGTATTGTAGGGTGGTGGACATGTATCGAGACATGGCATCTGGTCTCCTTCCAAGAGTGCCTGCAAATAAATACGGAGATGATCTCATCTGGCTGATCAGAGGACTCTTGAGGGTTTTGTGCTGCTGATTGGATCTTACCAGAACGGTGGAGAGCGTCGTTCGCTTGTGCCCAAGACACAGATGTCTGGATGAGACATCGGATCTTGGGCTAGCATCCGAGGTAGTACAGTGAGTAACCAAAGCCCCGAGGGAATTGGACGGCCAGCCCGTCACTTGGAGGTAAATGGACAGACGGTCGATACCTGACTGATAAACAGGAGTTATCGCACAGAAGACACAAGCACGAACCACGCAGGATTCGCTATCGATGAAGACATGGAAACTCTAGCAACTTTTGCGACGTTGAGTTGGCCAAGAGGAAAATAGATGCACCCACACCTCAAGGCGTGGATTTGGTACTTATAACTGACTGACTGACCGAGCTAGGGTTTCTAACTCGGCGGCTCCAGAAGCTTTCGTTGTAGCTGGGCACTGGTGGAGCCTTTAGAGGCACCAAATCGGGAAACAAGCCTTGTCGCAGAGGCTGGCTGTCGAGGAGGGTAACACAGGCGCGAGACACTTCTGCTGCGACCAGCAACATTGTGGTACTGCCTGCGACAGAGCGGGCACCCGCAATGATTTCAGTAGTAAAACTTCTTGGACCGCTACGGGCACTTAACTTGACTTGAACTGAAACAGAACCGCAGCGCTGAAAAGGCTGTTTTTGTTTTTTAAATGCGAGAGAATGACGACATACAGGTGTGTGTACTTCAAGCTCTTACTCTCAACTCTCGAGCATACTCGCACTTCTCATTAGTATGCAAGCACTTGCGACAGACAGTCAAAAAACCTTCCTGCGATGCTAGCTGATGTTCGGATCATTCCCACGGGCGTAGTAGGCTAGTGGAAGGACACTTGCCGCTCACGTTAGAGTCCCTTTTCCTTTCCGCGGGAGCCTTCTATCCACCAAACGCCGACTCCAATGCTGTCGGCTGTCCAAACCTGGAACCCAAATCCAAAATCACATCCTCTGGTCTGTGAAGGGAAGCATTTCTCTTAATTACTCCTCATCGGCAGGTTTGTCATGCCTGGAGTACATTTTGTACTCAAGCCCTGTGCGGAAGTCAAGCTTGCCCTGCTCGACCTGACTCCGTGTCGCGCTCAGCATGGGCTTAGGTAGACCCATCGATTCCAGAAACGCAACGGCTGTAGTGCACGGAACGAATTAGTAAGGCGCTAGAAGCAAATCGGGCTTCTTCTTCTTCTTTTTTTTTGGGGGGGGGGGCGGTGGGTGTTGTTAAGACGCGTTGGAAGTTGGAATCTGGAGATATCCGTGTACACGTGTATGTGTGGTGACGTCCTCTTTTGTGGCCTGTGTGTGTGGGGGGGGGGGGGGAAGGGTCTTTGAAATTCCACATGGGTTACTTACTCTCGCTCCATTCGATGTCCTGCCGCCTCTTGTCCCACGACAGCTCCGAAGCCATTATGTCAATAACCTGAGGTAGACATTCGAGTGCTGCCTGGGCGTTGAGGAAGGCCAGCCTCGTCCGCCGGGCTAGGACATCAACGGCGGTCTGGGCGTACTCGTGGCGGACAGCATATCGGATCTCACCATCCACAAAAGGGTACAACTGAGAGATGCGCTCGCCGCGTGCAGGGAAGCGCTTATCAGTTGGCCGGCACAGGGCGGCAACCACCCAGGCGCGATCACCATAGTTCTCGCAGAGGTGCTTTGCGACCTCGGTCTCGACGCCGTAGTGTTGGATCAGGTTGATGAAGAGCGTGCGGCTCCAGCCGTGGGCGCCGATGAGCCTGACCCGGTGGGACTGGCATGAGCCGTCCAGGATTGCGCCGTCGTCGATGGCGTCGGTGCCGCTCACGCGGGGGGCGTTGGGCACAGGCTTGGTCTGGAGGCCGAACTCCTTGATGGCGGCGTCGACACATTCCTCGGCCATCTGCCGGTAGGTGGTCCACTTACCGCCGGCGCACGTGACGAGGCCGGATGGAGAGATATCGATCAGGTGGTTGCGCACCAAGGACTCGGTGTTCTTGGCCTTTGGGTCCTTGACGAGCGGGCGCAGGCCGGACCAGGCAGCCAGGACGTCGCCCCGGCGCACGACGATGTCGGGCGAGAGGTAGTTGCTGACCTCGTTGAGGATCCACTGGATGGACTCCTCGTCGGGCATGGGGTCCTTGGTGACCTTGGCAGGCTTGTCGGTGGTGCCGGCGATGGTGTTGCCCTGCCAGGGCAGGAAGAAGATGACGCGGCCGTCCGAGGTGGAGGGGTCGATCAGGCCCATCTTGGCGGGGCTGTAGTAGCCCGGCAGGATGACGTGGACGCCCGAGGCCGGGGCGACGATCTCCTTGCAGTCCTGCTCGTCGAGCTTCCGAATGCCGTCGGCGAAGGGCCCGGTGCAGTTGATGATGCACTTTGCCCTGACGTGGAACTCGTCGGCGGCCTTGCCGTCCCGCTCGGGAACGCGGTCCCTGAGCCTGGCGCCAGAGAGCCTGCCGCTGGCGTCCTTGTCCAGGCCGGTGACCTCGATGTGGTTGACAACCGTGGCGCCGTAGAGGGCGGCGGTCATGGCGATGGACACGTTCATGCGGGAGTCGTTGTGGGCGCCGTCGTAGTAGACGAGGGCGCCGACCAGGTCGGTCCTCTTGAGCATGGGGAAGGCCTCGATGGCCTTGCTCTTTGTGAGGAAGTAGGAGCTCTCGATGCCCTCGCTGCCGGCCAGGAAGTCGTAGAACTTGGTGCCGGCCCAGTAGTAGGGGGCCTTCCACCACTTGTCGAGGGGCAACATGATGGGCAGCCAGGAGCTGAGGTGAGGCGCGGTCTGGAGAAAGTACTTGCGCTCCTTGAGGGCCTCCCTGACGAGCTGGTACTGGCTGTAGTCGAGGTTCCAGACGGCCTTCTCGAGGTAGCGGACGCCGCCGTGGACCAGCTTGGTACTCTTGCTGCTGGTGCCGGAGCTGAAGTCGTCGCGCTCGACCACGGCGACCTTGAGGCCGCGGGTGGCAGCGTCGACGGCGACGCCGGTGCCGGTGGCGCCGCCGCCAATGACGAGCATGTCGTACTCGTCGGAGGGGTCGGCGGCGGGGCTGGCGCTCTTCTTGAGGTCTTGTATCTGCTCGAGGCGGGACTTGACACGGGGGAATTTGGGCAGTTTGAAGGTGCCGTCGGCGCCGTAGATGGGCGGTGGCACGGCGGCGGCCTCGTGGCCGGGGATATTGCGAGGCCGGTAGACGTAGAAGAGCAGGCCACCACCGGCGGTAGCAAGGCCGACGGGCAGGGCCAGCCGGCGCAGCAGGCCGGGGCGCGCCCTCGTGAAGCCAGACATGGCGACTGGCCGCTTGTGGGGGAGAGGCGGGCGCGAGAGGAGGCCTTTGGTCTTGAGCTAGGTGGCTTGGCGATGCGGCAGGTTTGAAGCAGGAAAAGACGACCAGGCCAAGCAGGAGGAGGATGCGCCGCGCGCCGCGGCAGGACAGCTGGATGATAACGGTATTATGTATAAGTGAACATATATGTGTATATATTGATTGATTGATTGACTGCTGCGAGGAATGCGTGGCCGGTCAGTCAGTCAGCCAGGAAGGCGGCAGGAGAGGGAGATGGACGAGGGGATCGGGGCGGGGGACGGGGGACGGGGGACGGGGGAGGGTGGTGAGGATTAGAGTTTCGAGAAGCTCACAGACAAGGCGGGATGGATATCTCCCAAAAATCCCAAAATCCCAGAATCCCAAAAACCCCCTGGCTGTGCGAGTTTGTCTGTCGAGACTCGAGAGGCGCGAGCCAGGCCAATTGAGGTGGCGCGAAGCTAGGGCGGGCCGAGTCAAGTGGAACGGACCGGACTGCACTGAGGTCAGGTCAAGCCGAGCGAGGTGGAAGTCGACCTGAGCCAGCACGAGGCGTGGGGTCTGACGGCCAAATTATGACGTTGGGCCTGCGGGACTGGGTTTTGAAGCGGGTTTGGAGGCGGAGTTCTGTGAGCCTGCCTTGCCTTGCCTTGCCTTGCCTTGCCTTGCCTTGCCCTGCCTTGCCTTGTCTGCCAGTCTGGCACTGCGCATTGGCCTGGCCTGGCCTGGTTGGGTCTTGTCCCGGCTGTCAGCGCAGGCTATGCCACCATCGTGAGCGCGATGCGAGACCGTGGTAAAACACCTGCACCTGGGCAAGCGTGAAGCATGCAGAGGGTGTCGGCACTGTCGCCCGTTGACTGTGCCTACTGCAGTACATAGTGGCTTCTTTGGGACTAGCGGGTCCAGGGGATCGCAATGTCAGCAGTGTCAACGCTGGCTGGCAATAGGTGGGTTTTCGGATTCCCCGATCTGGACACCCTCCACGACCTCCTCCAAGACCCCCCCCAAACCCCAACCCCATCCCCGCACCCCTCTCCCTCCACTGTAATCTGTACTACCATGTACTTGAGTACCTAGGTCTTGTTTAGAATCAGGTACTCTGAGCAGTTTTTCCTCCAATCAGTCCAGCTCTAACCTGCCCCACCTCCAGTCCCTCACTCCAGATGTCACTACAGATGTCACTCTTCAGAGTCTTCACTTGCTTACTTGTTTTATATCAACTTAATAGTAGTTCTCATACAATCTTTCTCACATACATGCTTACCAAACAAGCAACACATTATTAAAGACTATGCGTGACATGTACTATCTGATTAAATATATGTATATATGCATGAGGTTATAGAGATATGGATGGAGACATCGATATACACTTACACGTACACTAACGGGCCCTGCACCAGCAACACATTCCCGTCACCTCCCTTCCACGCAGAACCCAAACAGCTCGTCCACAAACGTCGGTGCCTCCGTCAGCTTCTCCGCCTCCACATTCGACACCTGCACCCCTGACCCAATGTGCACACTCGACCGGTCGTTTCCGTGGGCTCCCATCGGCCTCATCTCGATCCCTCGGTGGCTCCTGGCATCCCCGGGCCCCGTCCCCGGTGCGGGCCCGGCCCCGGCGCCAGCCATCCCTATGCCGACTGCCACGCTCGCCCCCACCTCCGCGTGCCCCCCGCTCTCGCTCGCCCTTCTCCGCAGCAGTGACGATCCGGCCCGCGAGAACGACTGCCGGCCCTGCCCGCTGTACTGGCTGCCCCCGGACCCCTCGTTCACCTCGCCCGCCCGCTGCACGTTGACTGTGATCTCCTGCGACACCATGATCCCGCCAAACGACGATGCTTGCTGCTGTGGCGGGCCCGACATGACATGTGGTGCCGGTGATGGGGACGGCAGCGGCCCCGGCGTGTGAGGCGGTGGCGGCAACGTCGGTGACTGTAGCTCCTCCATCGCGTAAGCCGGTGGTGCCAGCCCGTGCAGCACCGCATCCGATGCCGAGTCCACAGAGCCCACCCCGGGGCTGGTCTCGCCTCCGTTGCTCGGCCTGCCGTTCCACAGCTTCAGCGTCGAGCTCGACTTGCCCGAGCCCCCGCCCCACGACGACGCCCGGTGCAGCGTCGTCGGGATCGGCACCCCGTCCCCGTCCACCGCCCCGCCCCGCTCGCTGCCCGACGTCTGCGGCCGCCCGCTCCGGAAAAGCCGGCTCGCCATTCTGGCATCCCGCAGCGACGCCCGCCTCGAGTGCGATATCGTCGTCCCATTCGCCCTGCCGGGCCTCATCGCCGCCCCCGCCGGCACCGCGTTGATGATGGGCGCCAGCTCGCGGTGCACCGACCGCGTGAAGGCGAGGTGGTTCGGCGAGTCCTTGTACACGAGTTGGTGCACCTTGAACATGTTGAGCGGCACGAACTCGCACTTGGGACTCTCCACATTCAGGTGGATCGGGACCACCATCCTGAACGAGATGACCGTACAGCTGCCCGGCGACGAGCCCGCAGACACTGGCCGGCACGGCACCTCCACCGTCTTGGAGCAGAGTACTGCCTCGTCAAATATGCTGTCCTCGACCCAGCCGCGCAGCGACTCGATGCTGTCCGTCAGTTGCGACGCGAACATCATCTCCTTGTGCGAGATGTTCTTGAGCCCCGCCAGCCGCCTGGCAATGTGGTGTGGCGTCATGCGCTCAAACTGACGGAGAAAATTCATTTGCCATGCGTCAAGTCGCGCGAGCGGCATCTGCACTGATGGCAGCAGGTTGCGTGCGTTGCGGCGCGCCAGCACGTCGAACCCGTACGCGTTGTTCACCCGCGCCTGCACCCCGAAAAACCCCACGTGGACGCCGGGCTCCAGCATTGCGTTGTTTTCCGCAAACGTCGACATGGTTCGCAGCTTGTTCTCAATGCTGCGCGTCTTGATCTGCATCGTCGAGCCGATGATCCCGCTCACCTGGTGCAACTCGGCGAACCGGTAGCCCGCGGCGGCCAGGCTCTCCATATCCCGCGTGTTCTCGACACGCCGCACCAGGAACATCAGGCTTCCGCGCCCAAACTCCTGGTACGGCTGGCGGATCACGCCCTTCTCGGCTAGGTCCTCGAGGCTCGCGCCATGGGTGCCGTCCGCCCCGCGCTGCCCGTGGCCCTCGCCGCCGGTCGCTTGCTCGGGCACCTGCTGGTTCTGGCGGGCTTGGGCTTGAGCCCGCCCGCCCGCACCAGTCGGGAGGATCTCGTCCCACAGTATCCCGACACTTGTTAGCTGGGTTTTCATCTTATCCGCCAGCCCGGCCGCCGCGGCGCAGAAAAGCTCGCGAAATATGACGTCGTAGTTCTCTATGAGCTCTCCATGGTCTGTGATGAGCTTGATGCCGCCCCTGGAATTGTCGCGGTCGTTGTGGGGGAGGTGGGACAAATGGTTCGAGATTCCGTTGATTATGGTGGTGATGCTGGACCAGTTCCGCGACGCCTGGAACATCCAATGGAAGAGAGGATGCGCGACCGTGAACGAGTCCTGTGGTGTCTTCTCCAGGAAGGAGTCGGTGATCTTTTCGCTAGGCAGCAACCCGTCGGGACTCACGAGCACACGCCCGTGCTTGTCAAACACAGCTGCTGCCAACACGACCTGCTGCGCTTTGCTCGCATAGCGCTGCATTATCCGAGCGGTGTACATGGCAAAACTCGCCATGACGAGACACGCCCCAACAGACTTGATGTTCAACCCCAGGTCAGTTTGGCCCGAAGCGCCCGAGTCTTGAGGGAGGAACTTGGCGACTTACCAGGCAGATAACGACAATTACGGTCTCGTTCCTCGAGAGCTGGTTGTTGTCGCCGGCCAGCGCGATCAACTTGTAAGATGTGCCTGTCGAAGCACACCAGTGCATGCCCGAGACAGCACCGGCCAACAGCACTGCCGAGATGATCCTCTTCCACCATGAGCTAGTCCACCCTGCCCGGAAGACGAAGAACAGCGAGAGGGCGATGATACTCGCAGCCACGGCAATCAAAGCCGCCCCTACGACGTTGGCGATGTTGTAAATGCAAACGTAGTTGTTGATGGAGGCGTTGCCCAGGTAATGCATGCCGCAGATGGCGGCGCCGGCAAGTGTGCCTCCGATGGCGACACGCCACCAAGAGACCTTGTCGTTAGTCCCAATGGCCACGAAGGCAGCAACCAGGACAAGAATCGGCATGAAGAACGAAAATGCCGTGAATCCGCTGGAATAAGCAATCTGGAGCGACGGCTCCCCATCCGCCATCTCGATAGCTCGGTTGCCGATGAAATGCATGCACCAGATGGCGATGCCACCCATCGTGACGGCCGCGCTGATGAGCAACAAGCTATATGACAACACGTGGTCAGCACTGATTCCATGGTAATTCCTGTGGCGGCTAGGCGACATACTGGTTTATCCTTCCCTTGGGCGCGGTCCTCCTATTGATCAACTCTAGTGTCGATGCCGCCCCAATCAGGCTGACCACATAGCTCAAAGTCACAAAGCCCGCGTTGAAGGACCTTGGCACGATCTGGTCCCCCCACTTCTCAAAGAGCTGCTGAGCTTCCGTCATGTTGAGTGACCTTTGCCGTGCCCTCGAATGCAGAAACTAAGTGCGTCCACTGGTGGTGCTGCTAGTACCGGATATGGCAGCAATAGCACGCATGGATCAAGAGCAACTGCACATAAGAAGCCCAGGGGAGGAAATTCCAATGCGGGAAGCGTCCTGTATATATGAAAAGCCGTCCTCGAGCGGGGACCTGTTCCGGCCCACAGCCGGCTCTCATAAAATTCTCGAACAGGTCCAAACGTACAGCACAATACCCGGCTTACAGATTCTCGATCGGAGGTGGCGACGCTCGTCACTGGCAAGATGGCGGCGCATGGACACCCTCGCCGAGGCGGGCCCAGCAGACGTGGGTTATCGAGTTCAGGGGTTGCTGTGTCGTGCCTACCACAGAGAGGGAGGCCCAGACTGCTGGGTTTGGGGATGCTTGGCCGCAGAAACGTAGACTAGGCGGAGCACCTACCGAAGGACGCGATACTGAGAAAGCTCAAGACCGAGGTCTGTGGGGGGCAACGGCGGGGAAAATGGTGTCTGTCAGAAGCCCACGAGGACCTATAATAGTGCCTTCTAGTCAAGCAGATCGCGCGCTCCGCCGCCACGAGGTACGTATTGGATAGGCAGCGGGAGGGGACACAGATATACACAGTTGCGCAGACCGGGACTCGTGGGGAGTCGCGAGGCGGGAGGCGGGAGGCATGCAGGGCAGAGTAATTCTGCACACACAAGACCCGAAACGAGCCGTCCTCTGGCCAAGCAGCCCAAGTTGACCAACCTGTGGGGGACCGCAGAGTAAGACATCGAGACAGCGCGCTGCCGTGGATGGCAAGATCCGCAAGTGAGGAGCGGCCAGCGGATACGGGCCAGCAGAAGATGGCTGTCGTGCAGTGATTCAAACCGAGGGGCACTAGTAGTTTCTTGTGCGTTCTGGCGTTTGTCGATGAACGCATGCCCCGAGGCCCAAGCAGGCGGCGCTAACCGTGCGGACTCGGGGTGTCCTGTCGATCGAGGCTGGTCCTGCCACCAGGCCAGGAGGGGGCTCGAATGCGGCGCACAGTCGTTGACCAAGCTGGTGCTCAGTGATGAGTCCCTTTGGAATTAATTCCTCGGCTTCTGACCCACGAGGCACGCCGGCTCAGACGGTAGACCCAAAGCTGTGTGTAGCCTAACCGATCCAGGGGCCAGGGCGGCACTGGCCGGGCAGAGGCGACGTTCCACGTTCCACCACCCATTTTGCCATTGTCTCTCTTTCTCCTTGTGCGAACGTGGGTCTGGGCCGTGGGAAGGGAGCAGCAAATGCGGGCGCGCCGGGGAAAAGGAATAAGGGAAAGGTCGCTGGACTCGAACGAGACATGGGAAAAAGGAACAACTATGTCTTGGGGCGGGGAGCAGAGGTCAAAGCTGCGACTGGGCGACGCAGTCGAGGACGTCTCGGATGGCACAAGCATTCGGAGTCGCATTCCGAACCTGACAGATCTGGGCAGGTGATCTTGGTCACATCGCCGGGGTAGCTGGGAAGCAGACCCTTGGGGACGAGATGATCGACCGGCAAGCTCTTGCATGGTGCATGAACTGGGGGGTTGAGAGACAACAGGACAAGGGGTACCCTGCCGAGCACATGCCGTGGACCGTCGAGTCAAGCGGTGACAATACAATGGCGGCTCCAGCAGGGTGTGGCTGTCGGAAAACTGGTCTGGCGGGCGCCTTGGAAAGCCACCCTCATCTCGAGCCAGCCGCCCAGGCAGGCCCAGGCAGGCTGCCAGGCTGCCTGGGTCTCGTGAATAATAGCGATCCGTCGCTTGCCATGCAGGCGGCTGGCCAGCGGCCGGCCAGCTGTTGTCGACTGTGCTTTTGATGCTGTCGTTGTCGCTGTCGCTGCCACTGCCGGGACGCGACCGCCGACGTGATTCGGCGTCGCCCACGACAACTTGCTTCTGATCATCCAAGGGAGCAAGCAATATCCCCTGCGGCCTCGGATTGGCTGCGGGGTTGCCCGTCACTCGACGCTAGGGTCTAAGGACGGCGCGGGTGCGAACTTCGAAAAGCCTTGAGGCCTGTGCCGGTGCCGGTGCCTGTGCCTGTGCCTGTGCCTGAGCATGGATCGGAAGCGCCCAGACGAGCTTGGGCTGCCTGGCAGGCCTGGTCCGTGTTGGCCTCGTGTGGCGCCGTGATAGCCAGTAGTTGTATCTAGCTTGCTAGCCTGCAGGGGAGATGCAGAGGGAGATTGGGACTGACGGTCTACTGCCCGTGACAGACGGAGCCATCGACTGACCAGATGACTTGCATGGAGGAGACAAGCACCTGGCATTTGGCATTTGGCTGAAATGCCGTTGTGTGTGTGCCAGGCCCGAGTTTCGGCTTGTCGTATAATGTTCCTATGCCTTATCTCCTTATCTTCCCTCGATAACGCACCGCCTAGGTGACCCCTCCACAACGGTGCCTAGGCATGGCTGCGCGACAGAACCGATTACTGCGTCATGGCATTGGGGTAAGAGAATGGAAGGGGAAGGCAGAGGAGGGGGAAAAAAAAAAAAGAGCAAACAGCCAACTACAGCGATGTCCATACAATTGTCAGCTACCGCAACAGCTTCTCGCGACCTCACCTCTTTCCAGGTGGCTTGTATGGATGCATAGTTTTCCCCGCTGCTGCACAAGAGAAAAGGAATTGAATCTTGCAATCACGCCCCTTTACTCAGCCTAAGAGAGGGGGGCAGAAGTTGCACCGCGTCGGCTACGAGCACCCGCTCCCCGACGCCCCGTCACGCCCCGTTCCAAAGCCGAAAACATTAAAAGCTACCGACAACACGAACCGTGACGCTGCTCTCGATGGTTTCACCAGGCTCCGGCGAGGACGGGCCCAGGCTCAGGGCGATGCCGGCCCTGAGTCCAGAGCTCTACCAGCGCGCCTGGGCCTCGATCCCGCATCCTACCCTGCCCCTTCTGGCGACTTGCCACTCCAAGGCCGTCACCATCTACTCGCTCTCCTCCCTCACCTCGCACAGCATCCTGACTGGCGGCCATGCCCGCTCCGTCCGCTCCGCCGCCTGGAAGCCTGCCATGCCCCCAAACAAGCTCTGCCTCGTGACCGCCAGCTTCGACTCCACCGCTGCCCTGTGGCGCTGGGACGGCGGCAACCTCTCTGTGGATCAGCCGGCCGACCTTGTCCCGTCTCACCCCGGCAGTTTGGAGGTTGACGTGACCACCACCACAGCCAGCCGCTCCCCACAGAGAGATCCCACTGCCTCCGATAAAGACGAAGACGACTGGGAGTTCTCCCTGGTCCTCGAGGGCCACGACTCAGAGGTCAAGTCTGTCGCATTCTCGCCCTCTGCCCAGTACTTGGCTACCTGTAGCCGTGACAAGACTGTGTGGATATGGGAGGATGTCGGCGCCAACGAGGCCGACGACGAGTGGGAGACGGTCGCCGTCCTCAACGAGCACGAGGGCGACGTCAAGTCTGTCTCCTGGTGCCCCGACGTGCCTGGCCGCACCGCCAAGGGAAAATATGGCGCCGACGTGCTGGCGAGCAGCAGTTATGACAACACCGTGCGGATCTGGCGGGAGGACGGCGACGGGGAGTGGGTATGCGTGGCGGTCCTGGAGGGCCATGACGGCACTGTGTGGGGTGTGCAATGGGAGGCCAGCCCGGACAGAAAGGCGTTCCCGCGCCTGATGAGTTTCTCGGCGGACAAGACAATACGCATCTGGACCCTGGAAGAGGACGACCAAGACGAGGAGGAGAGCGGCGACGGGAGGAACCCTCTGTTCCGACCCGGCTTGGGCGGCATCCCCAACACCATGCGTCGCTCGCTAAGAGAGGAATGGAAATGCACAGCCATTCTTCCTTCCGTGCACAGGAGGGACGTGTATTCTGCCGCGTGGAGCCCCGTCTCTGGCCTCGTTGCCAGCACAGGAAGCGATGGAATTATTGCTGTCTACAGGGAAGATGCCGCCACTTCCAGCGACGCTTCCGAGCCCACGAGGCTTGGGGCAGCACCATTGGGACATGCTGAAAACGGCGAGGCAACCGCCGTCCCGCATAGCTCTGAGGCCACGGGGTGGCGCGTAATGGCCACAGTGGAGAATGGCCATGGGCCTTACGAGATTAATCATGTCACCTGGTGCCGCAGGTTTGACTCTGGGGCCGAGAACCGCGGCGTGGATGAAATGCTTGTCACGACAGGTGACAACGGAGAGGTCAAGCCATGGCAGCTGACTGCCCCTTAGAATCATGGCATCTACAAGAAGTTCCAACCGGGGGGTAGGTAAAAAGGCTGCGTGCGACTGGCTTCTAATCCATATAGAGATTCGTGCAAAGCTCCGATGCGCGCACAATGAACGCCCTTGAGTTTACCCCATGATTCGCGGCGGCCTAGCCCTTGAGAGACTGACGTAGGGACACTCCGTGACTGCTGGCTCTGTGATCCACAGCATTTGACAGCATGGTTCACGTTGCATGCGGCCAGACTAACGAGCTAGAAATGAGCCTCCTTCACCCAGCCGTTGCCGGATTGATCCTGCTTGAGACAGCTGAAAGCAGTTGGGTCAAGTCAAAACGCGCAGATATGCATTGATCCGTCCCATGGTCATTCCTACAACCCGCGAAGCACCGGAAGGACTACTTTTACAAAGGAAACGCTTCCTCCCTAGACCGGCATCACCGGCATCTTTCTCCAACACAGTATACATGTTGACTACCGGTTATCTGTCGGCATTCATGGATCCCAATGTGTTCCTTATCTTGTGCCTTGCACAGCTCCGTCTATTCACCCTTCAGCTTGTCCTGCGTCACCGTAAACGCAACCTCAAGCAGCTCCTGTTCCTCCTTGACATGGTTGGCTTTCAGGCCCGTCGCGACCGACGCGCTTGGGTTACGGCCCGCGTACATAACATGCTTGTGATCATGGTGCTGGGTCTCGTTCAGCAGCGTCTCGATACGCGGCTGCGTGAAGCTCCACGCGCCGGCGTTCAGTGGTTCCTCCTGCGCCCAGACAATGGTCTTGGCGTTGGGGTAGCTGTCCAGGTTCTCCTTGAGTTGTTGCCAGGGGAATGGGTTGAGCTGTTCGATGCGCGTGATGGCCACATCCTTGAGGCCGTTGTCGGCGCGGTACTTGTGCAACGCCGTGTACACCTGTCCACTGCAGATCACGACACGGTCAATTTCCTCGCGAGCCTTGATGTCGCCACTCTCGTGAGCTGGGTCCTCGATGATCCACTGGAACTGGGAGTCACCGGTGAAGTCCTCGATGTTGGAGCGTGCTATCGGGTGGCGGAGAAGGGACTTGGAGAAGAAGATGATCAAGGCTGCGCAATGTTAGCAGAAATCTCAGGCTGCGACTGTATGCTTCCGACTTACGCTTTCGGAACTGCCTGTTCATCTGACGTCGCAGAACGTGGAACAGATTGGCAGGTGTTGTCATGTATGCAATTTGCATGTTGCAATCTTGGTGCTGGCGCTGCAACTTGTCCTCGGAGGGGAAGATGCGAGGGTCCTCGTTGCAGAGTTGAAGGTACCGCTCGATGCGGCCGGAAGAGTGCTCAGGTCCCTGGCCATCGTATCCGTGGGGAAGGGACAAGACGAGGCCGGTTCTCTGCATCCACTTCACCTCGCCAGATGCGATGAACTGGTCGATAACGCACTGTGCGTTGTTCGCGAAATCGCCGAACTGAGCCTCCCACATCACCAGAGCATTAGGTGAAGACAGCGAGTAGCCGTACTCGAAGCCCATGGCGCCATACTCACTCAAAGAAGAATTTGAGATGACGAACTTGCCCTGGTCCTTGCTGATGTGTTGCAGGGGGGTGTATGTATCCTCGCTCTCCTGGTCGTGGAATACTGCGTGACGCTGAGAGAAGGTTCCGCGCTCCACGTCCTGTCCGGCGACACGGACATGGTGTCCTTCAGAGACAAGCGATCCAAACGCCAGGGCCTCGGCGGTCGACCAGTCGATGTTCTTGCCCTCAAGCACGGTCTTGGTCCTGTTAGACAGGATTCGCTTCAGGTTGCGGTGGATGTTGAAGCCCTCGGGGGCGGAACCTATCATCTGGCCGATATGCTCCAGCGTATCCTTCCTCACGGCGGTGGGGAGATGGGGCAGGACCTCGGTCGCCAGTTCCTTGGGGGACTTGAAACCGTTCCATGCGGATGTGGTCCACTCTTTGGACGTGGGCTGGTAGTCCTTGGACTTGGAGAAGCTCTCCTCAAGCATCCCCCAGACCCACTTCTTGTGCTCTTCGATGTCCTCCTTGGTGAACGTACCATCCTTGAGCAGCTTGTCCACGTAAATGTCGATTTGTGGGTCGTGCGATTGGATTCTCTTATACATAAGCGGCTGCGTGAAAGAGGGCTGGTCTGTCTCGTTGTGACCGTGCTTGCGGTAACAGACCAAATCAATGACGACATCCGACTGGAACTCAGCCCTCCAGTCGGCAGCGAGCTGGGAGACAAAGTTGACGGCCTCGACGTCATCAGCGTTGACGTGGAAGACGGGGGCGTCGATAGCCTTGGCAATGTCGGTACAGTAGGCGGTTGAGCGGGCGAAACGAGGATCCGTTGTGAAGCCGATCTGGTTATTGACGACAATGTGAATAGTGCCACCAGTCGAGTAGGCAGGCAGGGACTGGAAACCGAGGCATTCGTAGACAACACCCTGTGCGGCGAAGGCAGCGTCACCGTGGAGAAGCACGCCCATGGCAGTGCGGTGCGTCTTCTCGTCGTTGTTGTAGTGCTGAATGGCACGGGCCTTGCCCAGAACAACAGGGTCCTCGGCCTCCAGATGGGACGGGTTGGCAACCAGAGACAACTGGACGCGCTTGCCGGACGGGGTGGGCCTCTCGAAGTTCATACCCAGGTGGTACTTGACATCGCCAGAGCCCTCGTCCTCGGCGGCCGAGGTACCGGCGAACTCGCTGAAGATGGACTCGTTGGGCTTGCGAACGACGTTACTGAGCACGTTGAGACGACCACGGTGGGGCATTCCAATGATGATGTCCTTCACGCCGTAGTCGACGCTGCGATCGATCAGGGCCTTCATTCCAGGGACCAGGGTCTCACAGCCTTCGAGGCCGAAACGCTTGTCATTGGGGTACTTGGTGGCCAGGAAAGACTCAAAGCTTGAGCTCCAGATGAGCCGGTCCAGGATGCGCCTCTTCTCGTCGTGTGAGTAGGTGAAGGGCTTGGGGACCTCAATACGCTCCCTCAGCCAGTCGCACTTTTCCCTGTCCGGGATGTGAATGAACTCGGCACCAAAGGAGCCACAGTATATCCTCTCACAAGCATCGATGATCTCGCGCAGGGTCATCTTCTCGCGGCCGTCCCTCTTGAAGCGGGGCAGGATGCCGGGCCCCAGGGTGTACTCGGTCTCGAGGTCCTTCTCGGTGAACTGGTAGTAGTCCAGCTCCAGCTCCTTGGGCTTGATGTTGCCGAAGCCCTTCTGCTCCTGACGGATGCCGAGGGGGTCGATCCTCGCCTTGTGGTGGCCTCTTGCCTGGTAGGCGCGCACCAGCAGTTGCACCTTGAGGTGGTTGTCGATGTCGGAACCCTCGCCGATGCCAACGCCTGCACCGGCAGCCAGGCCGGTGACGGCGGCGGAAGAGCTTGGGACAAGGTTTGGGGGCGGCTGAAAGGCCTGCGAAATGGGCATGTTGCCGCTCTCGATGTTCTTGAAGTAGACCTGCCAGGAGACGTGGACGCTCTTGGGGTCCTGCTTGTACTGCACGTACATCTCGTCGATGTAATTCGCATTCTCGCCTTGAAGGAAGTTGTCGTTGGGGTCAGGGGCGTTGAAGAGGGCGCTCTTGTATCGCTTCTGGGTCGAGAGGGCGAGAGGGCGGCGGGCGGCGCAGAGGGAGGAAGCGGGTCTTGAAGAAAGACATTGCGAGCGAGTGGCACGCAGCGCGGCGCTGCTTGCCCTACAGAGTCGCTGCATGAGGGGCGACAGACTGGCAGGATGCCTCAAGGACTGGAGGAGGAGGGGGGGGATGGTGGGAGAATATCAGGAGGGAAGGGGAGGGGAGGGGGAGAAAAGAGGCAGGAAAGACAAGAGACAGGAAGGGGCAGGGAAAATGGCGAGTAGGTAGCTTGCAGGAGCTAGGTAGGTGCGGGAAAGGTGGGCTGCGAATGGAGTCAAGCAGCTGGGTATTGGTTATTATTGCTACGGCACTACCGGTAGTGAGAGCGCAGACTTGCTGCATGAGGACGCAGTGCGGTACCCGAGGAAGCAGCACTCAGCCGGGCCGGAATGTTCCCGTCACGCCCGTTGACAAGAGGCGGCTACACAGGTATGATGAAGCTGTGAATCTGTGAATAAGAAAAGTGGCCCCCTTGCGGCTGCCGTTGATGTAGTAGTGTCGAGGGACGAAGCTGGCAGGCTGGGCGAGGATGGATTGCGCAGGAGCCGGCCACGAGTCCAGGTGAGTTGTTTTTCTCCCAGGTGACCACTGACCACTATACTTAGACCAGACGGTCAAGTGTGCCTGTGCATTGTAGTACTGTGCATCCATCCGTCCACCCATCTCGGCGCTCCCTGTCCGCCAGAGAGGCTGAGAGGCTGCTCACACGCTTGCTGTTACAGATGCCAGATCCACGCCCCCAGCACCACTGTCGTTGCAAATGACCTCCATCCGGTTCCTCCTTTTTTCGTGAGAAAACAAATGGCTCAGCATGCAATACCTGGCCCGTCCCCTGCTTGCCCCCCTGGCAAGTTGGCAACACAGACTGTGGCCAAAAGTGTTCCTGGCACAATTTTAGGACGTCCCGGGTCGCAAGCTGGCAAGGTGGGTGCCCTGACCGGCTGAATGCGGAATGGCCCAGCCAAGGGCCAGCGCAGCGTTCTCATTTGCCCCCGAGCGCCCGAGCCTCCGAACGGGGGAGGCACGGAGCTGCCGAGTGCGTGGACTCCTCCCCAGGCCTCCCCGGGGTAAGGGGGGGGGAGGGGGGAGGGGGTAGGCGGGCCATGTAGTGACCCGAACCCTCATCTACCGGGTACAAGCATCAAAACACTCATTGTGATTAGCGCAGGTACGACGTTCATGTACCGCGTCTGATGATGATGTTGAGTTTACGAAAACTGTCTCGGCTGCGCATCCAACAAGCCTCAACTCGTCGCTCGTGACGGCCTGGTCCTTATGTATTGCATGCCTTTCTGCTACCCACATACCGGGGTGCATCAGATGACACGAAGAACCCAGCCTGTGTAGTTGAGGGCTGCACAGAAGACGCAGTTGCTTCCGCGCCCTGAGGCGAGCACATTTGAGTGACGCAGCGCACGCAGCACAGCACAGCACAGAAAACACCTGTGCCGCAGGCGGTCTATCCTTTTCGTCAGCTTCCCTTCAGGATGGCCGCCCCAAGATGCAAGGCGGGCTACAAAAAGAAAGACGGTATCATCACCCTCACGGGCGACCAGGCTTCTGTCACCTGGACACCACTGCCCGGCACCGGCACCCCTACCGTTTTGTTGCCCATCCTCAACATCACAAGTAAGCCTCAGTCAACCTTCTCTAGTGGCCCCGTGTGCACAATCACTGACTGACATGGCCACCCGAAGATCTCCAAAAGACCCCGGACAGTGCTCCCAAGGTTATGCTCAAGATATTTGTCAAGGACCCCAATACTGAGGGCGATCCGGTGCCTTATCTCTTCCACTTTAACTCCCCGGAGGATCCCAGATCAGAAGCCAATGCAATCAAGGACATCTTGTCCAGGCTGATAACTGAGGTCCGCAACGCTGATCCCTCAGTGCCAAAGCCCACAACCCCAGCCCCGGCAAACGGAACGCCTGTCAATGCTCCAGATCCCAAGGCAACCGCTGCTTACTTGTTCGATGACAACCACCTCAAACTGGACATTGAGCTGCAGCAGGCCTTGCTGAGGAAGGATGGCGAGCTGCACAAGACTTACATGGATGCTAGGGCTACCAAGCCGGACAGTATCGGTGACGCCGCCTTCAACAACCAGTTCTGGTCCACCCGTACCAACCTCCTCCGCGCCTTCGCCATCGAAGTCAATCAGAAGCGAGGCTCATACAACATATTGCCCACCTTCAAAACCAAGACCATCCAGGATGCCGAGACGGGCCAGGAGAGGGTCGAGCTCAACCTTCACCAGGCCGAGATCCTTCAGATTTTTAACCAGCATCCTATCGTCAAGAGGGCATATAATGAGAACGTCCCCAAGCTGAACGATAGCGAGTTCTGGTCAAGGTTCTTCCTTTCCAGGCTCTGTAAGCAGCTCAAGGGTGAGCGGGTGTCAGATACGGACAGGCGCGACCCTGTCTTTGACCACTATGATGCCTCCGAGGACCGCAGCGCCTATGCGAACAAGATCCTGGCAGCACACGTCCCTCACATCATTGATGTCGAGGGCAATGAGGAGAACACAGGCTTCGTCAAGAGCGGCAACCGCAAGGACATCGAGATGCAGCCCAAGAGGAATATACCCATAATTCAGGTCCTGAACGCGACCAGCGAGAAGCTCCTCTCCAACGTTGCCCCAACGGATGGGGGCGCGGGGGACGCACCGGCTGCCGAGGATACGACGTGGCGGGAGCTGGCGCTTCGCGACCTGAGGGCGGACAACGAGGAGAACAGGATCATTCTCAACGTCAAGGAACAGGGCCGTTTCTTTGCAGAGCACAACGTGTCCAGCTCTGTCGACGACAAGGTTTATCAGCAACAGGTTCCCTCCGTGGTCATAAGTGAAGTCTCGTCAGACATTGATCTGCTACAGGGCGACTCATCTGGCGGAGTTGATCTGCACGGCAGCATCGGCATTGACGACGGTAGCGACAGCGATGAGGATGCGCCCAAAAAGCCGCACGTGGGATCCCGGGCAGCAAGGAAGGCCGCACAAAAGCAGGTGCTCACAGGCTTAGCCCAGAGCCGGGCGGAGCAGTACGGACACAGTTCGGACGAGAACACCCCCATGGGAATACCAAAAGATCTCAAGGACAAGTGCAAGCTCACAAATGCAACCACGAACGAGTTTCTCAAGCAATTTTGGAACGCGTTCTTGTCGGGAGACCCGGACCGGGCTCAAGAGCTGGGATACCATGTGGACTCGCTGAGGAGATCAATGACACGCATCACAGCGATAGCGGACGAAGCTGAGCAGCTCAGGAATAAGCTAATTGAGGAGGAGAGGAGGAAGATTAGGGAACACTACCAGAAGACGCGGATCAAGCAACGCTTCAAGGCAGATTCGGTAGGTGGTGGTCGGGCTGCTGTCATGACGCTATTGGGCCCGTCCATGGCAGCACTGGTGAAAGCGGAGGGCCTATATAAGGCAGCGCTGGAGCAGGAGGGCATCACTTTATCTACGGAGAACGACTAAAAGTGCGGACCAGAGAGCCGCGTTCTTGAACGTTGGAATTACAATGTACGGGAAGAGCGAGATGAAGGATCAAAGGCCCGAGTATGCAATCAACGAAGCCGGCGGGAGGCTCATCAGAGCGATCGTGCCCATCGTATCCATGTTGTATGATCATGCCAATGGAGAGGTCAAAGAGGAGAAGTCGCCCCTGCTCAGTCGGTCACCAGGACAGAGCCGTTTCATATGGGATGCGCGTGCGTTGAGCACACCGGTTGGTTGGAATGTGCCTGGGTTCATGACGTGGAAAAGACGCAAGACAAGGGCAGGTAGCCGTTTTTACGCATGCTAGATCATTTAACAAACATCTCTGGCCTCTAAACTTCTCTAGAATAGCGTTTGTAAGCACTCGCGTGTCCGCCACGTAACCACAGCACTCGTGCTAGTAGACCGACTCGTGGGCACTCACCACGGGTATGCCCCACCTACCAAAGGATGATCTCCAACAGGATAACCTACTATGAGATAACCTGCAATGGGATTATCTCTTCATATGCTACAGTATAACCTCTAACAGTGTAGTCTCTTACAGGACAACCTCCAATAATATAATTTCCTGGTAGGCAATTGAACAATAGCCTCCGCTTGAAAGCCATTTGGGAATAACCTCCGCGGAGAATACTCCCAGAGATTGTGTGGAAAGGAGGCTGGAAGGACTCTGTCACAGTCTTTTGAATGCGGCTGTGTTTGTGATGTAGTTATTAGTGGTGGTGCCTACCTATAGAGGTACCTAGGTACCTAGGTAGGTATGGAGTAGGCCCCGGCCCGTGCGAGCGGCTGACAAAGACACTGGAAGAAGCGCTCTGCTTCGGACCCGACAGTCCTGGTTCTGTATCGACGAATGCGCCGGCTGCGATAGCACCACCCAACCGGAGGAATTCGTAGCTCGGTCATCGTCGACCGATTCATCTTGACCCTGTCTGACGACTCGAGATGGTTACTGGGGTCAACGCCTCCTTCCAGTCGTTCGAATGCATGCTGTAGGGACGAGAGCCGGCCTTCCTGCATCGCAACGATGGCTACGGGCACAGGCGAAGGTCAGGGCGCCGGCGCTGCAGCATGAGGGGCATGGATTGCCGGGGCTAACACGGCCGTCTATTGCATGGCTAAATCCTCATCAGGCTCGATTTGTGGCCAGCAAGCCCAACGGCCCCGGTGCGCCCGACAAGCCGGATGGCAAGGAGGGCCAGGAGGGCCAGGAAGAGGGAGACAATGGCGAACAGACGCAACCACCAGGCAGATCCGACACAAGCGAGACCCCTACAGAGACCAAGAGGCAGCAGCTGTTTTCCCCTATGCCCTCCGGCAGAGGACGTGCTACCAATTCAGCGGCGGCCTCAAGCGGGCTCCCTCCAGTCAGCCTTCCCCGCTGGTTCCTTGACGACCGCGTACAAACCTCAAACTCGAAGGATACAGCAGGCGATCGACTGCAGGGCGATGTTTGGCAACTCTTTCAACCTGCGCGCCTCGCGTCAAGCCCTGGGCACGAGCTCGGCGGTATCGGCACTTCTACCACCACCCGAGAAGCAAAGGACCAGTCCGTCGAGCGAGCCATTGGCCGCGAGCTGGTATCGACCATCAGTGCCGAGTTAGATGCCATGCCTCCACCAATCAGGGCTACCAAGGAACCCAAAAGGAGGCCCATCTCGCTCCTGTACGTACACAATTATAAGGGCAGCCGGGTTGCGAACGACCTTGTCGGCCATGTTGCTACGGAGCTGCGAGCAGACGTCATTCACCTGGATGCCGCAAGACTGGCTAGCATCGTAGGGTCGTACCTTGGGTCGACTTTATATTTTGGTCGCAGCCAGATCTCGATGTTGGGCTACGCCGCGGCCGAAGAAAATGGCAGGTCCCTCACCTCGCCATCGACGGCTGATAAGGCGGAGGATATTTTGGTCAAGGGGATCAGCGTTGTGAAGCTGCTATCGCCAGGCAAAGATGACCGAGCAACTTGGGATGACTTGAAGTTGACCCATGTCCTCAAAGAGATCGTGGGCTCGGCTGGTGCCAAGAGGAGGATGGGCGGCCTATCGGACAAGCCGGAGCGGCTCATAGTGCATGTGCATAACTATGTCGAGCTCATGATGTCGACCGAGGGCGCATCGATCCTCGAAAAGTTGAGGACTATCGTCGACCGTTTATGGCAAGACGGATCTAGCGCTCTTATTGTCGGCTCTATCTCCAATGACAAGAATGCCTCCAAGCAGTGGCATTCAAAGGTCAGAGAGTTGAGCAGTAGTGACTGCTATCCCATCGTTTTCTTGCCCAACTCGGACGAGCTGCCAGAGCTCAAGACTTGGGAGCAGCAGGACTATGTCATGGACAATCTGAGTAACATCAATTGGATGCTGGAATGCCTCAGAGGTGAGCAGGCTCGCATAACACCCTGGCTGAACGACTCGAAATCCGGCACAAACGAAGCTGTTTATGAACTTATCACCCAGCTTTCTAGTGGTATCTACTCAAACCACTGGATATATCGAATTTGCACGCAAGCCATCGGATTGGAAAAATTGACCGGCGTCCTCGATGCCTCGACGCTTGCCGAAGCCCTCAAACAAATGAAACTGGTAGATTTGGGACGCTCTAGCCTGACTGGCCACCCTGCAAGGTCATCTGCTGCTCCCGCACTGGATTCAACCTCCCCGATTCAGGATCTCATAGCCCTTGGTAACAATATTATTCCCGAGGCTGACTCTTCACCTGGCCGACGGAAAGGCCCACCCGGTGATCTCGACGACGAGGAAAAGAAGCTCGTCTCCGGGATTGTCAACGTGGATGAGATTCATACTACGTTCGATGAGGTAATCGTGCCATCTGGCGTTCGTCAGTCCCTCGTTGCTCTCACGACCCTCTCGATCCAGCACCCCAAGGCATTCTCATATGGTGTACTCGCACGCGAGCGCATCCACGGCTGCCTGTTGTATGGTCCCCCTGGGACCGGCAAGACGATGATGGCTAAAGCTGTTGCGAAAGGCTCGGGGGCAAACATGCTTGAAATTAGCGCAGCTTCTATTAACGACATGTGGGTTGGCAACAGCGAAAAGAACGTGCGCGCTGTTTTCTCGCTCGCTCGGAAGCTAGCACCTGTGGTCGTCTTCCTTGATGAGGCGGACTCCCTCCTCGGGTCGAGGGGACGTCAACCTAACAGAGGCGGATATAGGTAGGCTTTCAAGAGTTCCCTTGGAATCAACGAGATCCCTGTCAGAGGCTGTAGCGCGGGATAACTCACTGACTTCCCATCCACAGAGAAACAATTAATCAGTTCCTTCGGGAGTGGGATGGCCTGACCAATGCATTGGACACGCAGCAGATATTCGTTCTAGTCAGCACCAATGCCCCACAAGACCTTGATGAGGCTGTCCTGAGGCGACTTCCAAGGAGGATACTCCTCGACCTTCCCTTGAAAGACTCGAGACTGGCGATCCTCCAATCTCTACTCAGGGATGAACAACTCGACCCTGCAGTGTCACTCGAACAGCTCGCGTCCGATACAGAACTCTACAGCGGGTCGGACTTGAAGAACCTCGCCGTGGCAGCAGCAATGGAGGCAGCCAAGGAAGAACTCGCGGCCAAGGAGGCGGATGCGGCCTATCAGTTCCCAGCGAAGCGTGTTCTGACCAAGGCCCACTTCGATAAGGCGTCCAAGGACATCAGTGCCTCTATCTCAGAGGATATGGTGAACCTCAAGGCTCTTCGCAAGTTTGATGAACAATACGGTGATGCCAGGCGGAAGAAGAAGAGAAGTCAAATGGGGTTCGAGGTTGTGCCCCAAGTCACCAAGTCTGAGGACGCCGTGATTAGAAAATAATGGGCAGTGCAACCGACGCAATTCCCTATATACCAGATAGATTTCGTGTACAGGGAATTTTACATTGGCTTCTCACTTGCTGTGGATCGAGGCTCTGTCTGTTGGCCGAAGAAGAACAATGGGACGATTACATCTGGTAGTTGAAGATTTGCCCGAGCTGCTGCGCGTCGGACGTTGAAGCTTCGACGGACAGCGCGATCTAGAGGACCGAACTCCTTTGGAGAACTGCCCGGGCATGCTTCTGTTTTCATAGGCTCCTCTTTCCACTTGTGACATGCTTTTGATCCACCCAGCCAGTGCCAATCGAATTGAGCCCAGGACAGGGTTGATGCCGTCGTATAAAGATACTAAGATGAGTTTATGCGCAATGGTTCCCATTGCACAAGACTGTCTGGCCGGTATCCCTTGTCAGGCGCAGAAGCCAGCGCACGCATAGCCTTTGCTCTGTGGGAACCATGCTCACACGTTGGAGCGTGGTGGTCTCCGTCAGCCGATGTAGTGTCACAACACGGGACACCGCCAGGTTGGCCGACTGATTCCCGAGCAAGACCATCCGCGGTACCCGTTACGCCGTGTGGCTGTTCGTTGAGTCAACACCGCCACGCACCACCACACCACATCTGAAACCCGTACTGATCTGATTACTTCGATTGTCGTTGTACACATACACGGCTCACAAAGGAGAAAAGATTGATTGAGCTACGATGACATTTCCGTGAACTCGATCCGCGCATCTACACACGGGCCCCAACTCTCCCATGCAGTGCCCACTTTATTCTACATCGAGACAGCCTCCTCAACCGCTCTTCTCCAGATCAGCCAGAATCTGCTCACCCTTTGCCCGGGCGGAGGCGAAGTCGCCAACCATGTAGAAAGCACCCTCGGGCAGGTCATCACCCTCGCCACCGAGAATGGCCTTGAAAGATGAGATGGTGTCCTTCAGGTCGACAAGCTTTCCCTCGATACCAGTGAAGACCTGGGCGACGGTGAAGGGCTGCGACAGGAAACGCTGGATCTTACGGGCACGCTCGACGGTGAGCTTGTCGGCCTCGGAGAGTTCATCCATACCCAGAATGGCAATGATGTCCTGGAGAGACTTGTACTCTTGGAGGATCTGCTGCACGCGGGTGGCGGTCTCGTAGTGGTCCTGTCCGACGACACGGGGATCCAGCATACGGGACTTGGAGTCGAGAGGGTCGACGGCGGGGTAGATACCCAGCTCAGAGATACCACGAGACAGCACAGTGGTGGCGTCCAAGTGAGCGAAGGTGGTGGCGGGGGCAGGGTCAGTCAGATCGTCAGCAGGGACGTAGACGGCCTGGACGGAGGTGATGGAACCCTTCTTGGTGGTGGTGATACGCTCCTGCATGCCACCCATGTCGATGGCGAGGGTGGGCTGGTAACCGACGGCAGAGGGGATACGGCCCAGCAGGGCGGACACCTCGGAACCGGCCTGGGTGAAGCGGAAGATGTTGTCAATGAAGAGAAGCACTGTGCCAGTGTGTTAGCTAGGCGCGGGCATCAGTCGTTGGAGCGTGTGGGAGATGACGTACCATCCTGACCCTCCTGGTCACGGAAGTACTCGGCAACGGTGAGACCAGTCAGGGCGACACGGGCACGGGCTCCTGGGGGCTCGTTCATCTGACCGAAGACCAGGGCGACCTTGGACTCGCCCTCGAGCTGGATGACGGAGGTCTCCTGCATTTCGTGGTACAGATCGTTGCCCTCACGGGTACGCTCGCCGACACCGGTGAAGACAGAGTAACCACCGTGGGCCTTGGCGATGTTGTTGATCAACTCCTGGATAAAGACGGTCTTGCCGACACCAGCACCACCGAACAGACCGATCTTACCACCACGGGCGTAGGGGGCAAGGAGATCGACGACCTTGATACCGGTGACCAGAATCTCAGCGGTGGTGGATTGCTCGGTGAACTCGGGAGGGTCGGCGTGGATGGGGAGGAACTTGTCGGTCTTGATGGGCCCACGCTCGTCGATGGGGTCACCAGTGACGTTCATGATACGGCCCAGGGTAGCAGGGCCGACGGGGATGGTGATGGGAGCGCCGGTGTCGGTAGCCTTGGCGCCACGGACGAGACCCTCGGTACCTGTGCTTCGGTTAGCAACCAGAAGAGCCGGAGCCGAGCTGCTCGCCACTTACCGTCCATAGCAATGCAACGGACAACATTCTCACCGAGATGTTGCTGCGGCGGGGTTAGCTTTCGGGGGCATCATCGGGAGCTGGCCAAGGCGGCGGCGACGTACCGAGACCTCGAGGACAAGCTTGTTACCCTGGTTGTCTGTCTGGAGGGCGTTCAGAATTGGGGGGAGCTTGGCCGTGTCGAATTTCACTGCACAAAGAAATCAGCGACTCGCTCTCGCCAAAACAAAAGGCCCGGGCAGAGGCTGGTGAGGTGGTTGACTGACCGTCGACGACGGCGCCGATGACCTGGTGAGGTATTTTGTTAGCCTTGGTCGGGAAGCCGGAGCGGGACGGGGCGCGTCGCAGGTTGGCGCGGGCTTGGGTCTGGGTGAGCGTACCTGGTAGATCTTTCCATCGCCGACGCTGGAGGTGCTGGCGAACCGGCTGGTGATGGGGAACTTGAAAGGAGAGGGACCGGCGCGCCTGGTGGCAGCGGCCGCGAAGGAGGGTCTCGCGCGGGCGAAGTTCCTGATGCCGCTGTGGTCAAAGGAAGCTGGTCAGCTCGGTCGGGTCGACGTCAACAGCCGGCCGAGGCCACCTGCAGCTCAATTGGGCTCAATTGGCCGCTGGGGTCGCCGTGGACTGCGGGAAGGAGTAGATGCTAACCTCTTGAACATCTTGCCAGATATCTAAGAACGACTTCTGATGGGAGTGGAGTTGGGTAGTGATGGGAGGCTGGAGGAAAAGATTGAGTTGACGCGGGAAAAGTCGTTTAGCTAGAAGCTGGAGATCCGAGCTGCTCCACCCCTTCCTGCACGTGACCGTCGCAGCTCTGGTCTGCCGTTTCCTCTTCCCCGGACCCCGGGGCTGCTGCGCCAAAACCGGCCCAACTGGTAGCGGCAACTCGCTGGCGCTGCTCCCCCCCTCCCTCGATATTTCTTTTGACCTCAATCCCGCGTACTGCTCGCAGGCTGCGATTTTGCCGCTACTGACTGGTTGATGGCCGCCATGTATAGACGACCTACACGCAGGGTGTCCTGACGGCCAGCCAAAACTGCTTACGGACTACCTGCCCTGCTAATGCGCTCGTCCATCCCGACCTTCTCCTGATATTATAGGTCACCAGCATGGTGTCCATAAGATGGCAAAAAGTTCGTCCTGTATGGAAGACTATTTATATTTGTTCTGTTATCTGCTACGCGGCCACAGCATCTTTGTACAAGGGCGCTCACTGCACAGACGCCCGCAGTGTTAACAAGATGTACGGCAATTGGGCACAAGATGAGGAAAGCTATGCGTAGGGCTTTTGGCTATGACTTTATGTATATTTCGAAGACAGGATGCACGTGAAACTGATAAATTTTGCTATTCTCTACTTGACTTTCACCTCCTGTTGCACAAGGCTGTGTGTGGGCACGGGCGCTTCAACTCGCTTCAGATGTTACATGCTCGACGCTACTAGCTGATGAGGGCAAGCGGCTAGCTTTCTTGCAGTTGCGCCACTATGGCGCTGTTGGGGCCGATTCAAGGGCAAGGACCTGTGCGCAAATGTCAGTCCCCAATCTGGAACCAGTCTTGTGACGCGACCAGGCAACTTACAATGGCTGTGCGAGACGGGACGTAGACATGTGTCCAGTTCTTACGGTTGTTCCACTCCATTGGAGTAGTGCTGGGCCTGAATTAACACTTGCCCATGAGACAAGGTCTTTTGGGACAGGCACGACTTACAAGAATCTGGTGTTGGCATCAATAGAGTTGAAACCCCCTACGTCCTTATCATCCGTGTTCAGGACAATCTTGTAGGTCCCCTCCACGTCGACGCCAATTCGGTAGTCGGTGTAGCTGTTTGTTGGGTGGAAGTTGAACACAAAGACCAAACCAGCACGTTCGAATACAACGACCTTGTCTCCCTCGTGCTTGAGGGAGATGTACGCCTGTGGAGAGTGCAACCACCCATATTTTGCTTCGCAGAGGTTCATGAGTCTGTCGAAATGGTCGAGGAACTGATATCTCAACAAGTGGTCGTCGGTAAGGTTGAGCTGCCGTCGGGCGTACCAGAAGGAGTTCTGGTTGCCTTCACGAGGGAAGTCGAGCCACTCGGGGTGGCCAAACTCATTGCCTTCAAAATTGAGATAGCCTTCGCCACCCAGGGAGTTTGTGAGCAGTCGGATCATCTTGTGCAGCGCCATTCCTCGAGCAATAACCGGCGTCAGGGGGGTGAGCGTAGACATGTTTGTGTACATCTCCGCGTCGCACAGGTGGAAAATCAAGGTCTTGTCACCAACCAGGCTGTTGAAGCATCAGCAAAACATGTCGCCCGGTGAAGCGGCGAACAAAGATGTTGAAAACATACGCTTGGTCATGGCTCTCGCAGTAAGCAATGCACTTTTCTCCGTGTCGCCTGTTCGTCAGCGTGAAGCATATGTTGGCCATGTCCCAGTCCTCGTCTTTCTTTTCCTTGAGGATCTTAATCCACATGTCGGGAACGGCCATGGCAAGACGGTAGTCGAACCCGACACCGCCCAAGGAGAGTGGCACGCCCAGAGCTGGCATGCCTGACACATCCTCGGCCACAGTGATACACTCTGGGTAGAGCTCGTGGAGCATCTCATTGGCAAGCATGAGATAGACCACAGCCTCCTCGTCGACGTCTGAGCCAAAGTACTCATGATAGCCGCCCGAAAACCCACTATGGAACATCATGTCAGTACAAGTGGGCACGGCTTTAGACATGCCAGAGTGGTATAGTATAACTCACGTCCCCAAGCCATGGTGGAGATATAGCATGCTTGTCACACCATCGAATCTAAAGCCGTCGAATTGGTACTCGTCCATCCAGAACCGCAGATTGCTCAAGAGGAAACGCATGACTTCATGGTGCCCATAGTTGAACAGTCGACTGTCCCACTGGTCATGTTTTCCTCTTGGTCCCCCGTGGAAGTACTGATGATCGGTGCCATCAAATTCGTTCAGTCCGTCGAGCACGTTCTTTGAGGCGTGGCTGTGGACCACATCCAGCAAGACAACAAGACCCATGCTGTGGGCAGTGTCTATCAGCTCCTTGAGGTCCTCCGGAGGGCCATACCTGCTGCTGGCGGCGAAGAAGTTGTTGACCTGGTAGCCAAAACTGGCATAGTAGGCGTGCTCCATGATGGCCATGAGTTGTATAACGTTGTAGCCCAGCGACTTGATCCTTGGGAGCATGTTCTTGGTGAACTCCTTGTACGTGGCGACCCTGAGCTCAGGCGACGATATGCCGACATGTGCCTCATACACACGAGCACTGAGAGGTTTTTTTGGGCGAGGGTACTTGAAGACGTATTTCTCCTCCTGGGGAGGGTTCCAAAACCTGGCATCGTACGCAGGTGATACCGAGAGATCCTGTGTGACATACTTGATCCAAGCGGGGAGACGATCGATCCGGCTGCCATCTGGAAGCACCATTGAGATCTTGTGGGTCTAGTCAGCCGCTTATACACGTTGGGGATACACAGGCTGGGTGATGAGTGGTCACCTTGATCTTGGAGTTGTGAGGAATAGCGACTTGGCCATGCTCGTTGGGAGCGATGGTAATTTCGAAAACTCCAAAGGCATTCTTCTTCATGGGGTGAGAATCACGGTTCCAACCGTCTACGCAGCGTTAGCAGGGAGCGACCATGGTTGAGGAACGCGGTTGCAGGTCATACTGAAGTCCCCTATGAGGAAAGCCTGCTGGGCGTTGGGAGCCCACTCTCGATAGATGACACTGTTGTTTGGGTCGACATTGAGACCGAACACATCAGCACCCTAAGGGTAGTGCCACCAGTAAGAACATGTTCCCTTGGGAGTGCCGCATATCCTTTGGGTCTGGAAACAACGTACCTTGGTAAACTTGGAAAGACCACCCTCTGTCTCATCAATCTTCTTCATCCAGTCTCTGGCCCTGGAGACTCTTCGCTTGAGCACGTCCTGGAAAGGCGAGAGCCAAGGGTCAACCTGCAGGACGCCTGGGAGCAGGTCAGCCATGAGCTCCAAGTCGTGGCATGTCCAAATGCTCCACACATGTCCCTACCTAGCTCCTGGGTGGGATCGGTGCCGGGAGCAGCCTGCCCGCCGTTTTGGACCAACGTGTTGGATGCGTGTTCCGCGGTGTCGGCCATGATTGTGAGGTTGTCGGCCTGCAAAGCGCAGGAGCTTCACGAAGGGGTGGGAACGGTGGGGCGAAAGTGCGTGCGAAGCGACTGGGACGGTTTTCTCTGAGAGGCTGCTGGTGCACGTTGATGGAAAGGGGAACGAGGAGGCAAGGGAATTGGTCGAGGCCGAGTGCAGTGGAAGCCAACCAAACAGATGCTGCGGGTGGGTTCTCTTTTATGTGCCGCAATTTGACGGAGGGCCTTGGATGACCTGTGATGCAGAGCTTGAGGCCTGGCCGAGCAGCATGCGCAGAGCTCCCTGGAAGGGGAGCCGACAGGAGCGTAGCGTGATGAAGCTCCGTGTCGAACGCTTGTATGTAGTATGACGTCGGGCAGCAGCGACGAATTCAACGAAAAAAATGCCCCAGATGCACTGCCCGCAGTACCCAGGTAAATACAAAGCCCCTCCCCGTGCCTATCTGGGGTACTACTAGCCGTGGTGGGTAGGTACGTAGCTACGATGGCAGGTTGGTTAACCTCCACCCCCCTGGATATCACTGATAACACAGCACAAGCCCAACCGATACACACCGTCCACACCTGTATGGCCTCAACAATGTTTCGGGGCGCCTGGGGCATGTACGGCGTTTGGGCGTCTCCAACGGACATGATACAAGTACCATACAACATAACATTATTGATGGTTTGTCTGGCAGGAGGCTACCACAATCTTGTGATGGGGCGGAAGAGAGAGAGGGGGGCAGCGGATCACTGATAGTGGCCGGGGTGTGCTGGGTTGACTTTGCCCCAGAACCCCAGACGCGGAAAAGCCCCTGTGAGCCGCCGTATGGCAGAAGGGGGACGCTCGGGGAGGAGCTTGGGGTTGGGACGAGCAAAAAGGCGGGCGCCCAGGATCATTAGGTAAGGCTAACCCCGCCACCGGTTTCAACGGCAGAGAGAGCAGCTTGAGCAGCTGCCTTATTACACTACTACTGTAGACCTAGTATGTGCCTACCCAATGGCCTCCCTGCCCCATACCTGGGTACACAGACACCCAGGTGCCCAGGTTCCGTGGGCATGTGGGTACTGTACCTAGACACCTAGGTACTAAGTACCTAGGTACCTAGGTAGGCATGTAGGAACCCAGACGTGCTTACACCACCTCCCCACGACCTTCCGCCACCAAGTGCCTCGACGTGCATACTGTTGGGCTGTTGCCACCATCTCCTAGTTCTTCTGTCAGACAAGAGACCTCATCAAGATCCTCCATCGTGACCTCGAGAGCCGCGAGACCTCCCAGACACAGGCTCCTCCTCTTAGCATGTTGTGCCGTTCTCGGACATGATCATGGCCTCCCGGGGGTCGCGATTGTACTTGTTGCCACTGTCCCACGCCCGTCGAAAAGCCCCCTCACCAGGCTCTGGATATCGGGCCTATTCTGTCTCCACGCCGTTCCGCTCGGCGAGGCGGCCGCAAAACTTCAACTCGGGCTTCACCAGTTCCTATGACCCCACCGAACCTGTTCCCGACCGCGGGCCCATGTTCGCGAACCCGACATTTGGGGTCCCACAATTCTACCCCCGCGATCTCAAGACCCGCGTCGACGAGTATGTCGTTGGCCAAGAAAGGGCCAAAAAGACCATATGCTCCGCCATCTTCAATCACTATCAGAACCTGAGGAGGCGGAGGCACGACCTGGACCAGGACAATAGACTGCGAGAGAAGCTGCAGCGCCAAAACCGCACGCGAGAGAGGGACCGTCTCGAGCCGTATCGTGACCCTCACCCAGTCGAAGGTCAGCAACTTTGGCCCGGCCACAGCCCTCCATGTGCCGCGTACTGATTCCAGATACCCAGACGAGTTCCCTGGTCATTATGAGTCCATACACAAGAGCCATCAAGTCGCGGATGTCGACGCTGCTGCCAAAGCCGCCGCCGAGTTCTACATTCCCGAAGATCCCAGTATTCCTCACCATACCAGGATAGACAAGAGCAATCTGCTGCTGATAGGACCTACTGGTGTCGGGAAGACTTACATCCTCGAGTATGCCTCCTTCCCCTAGCCTTCACGCCTGCCATCTCCAGGATATACTGAGAAGCGCCTCAGGACCCTGAGCAAGAAGCTCAATGTCCCCTTCACGATATGCGACTGCAACTCTTTCACGCAAGCTGGCTACATTGGCCAAGATGTCGAGAGCTGTATCGAGAGACTCCTGATCGAATCGGGCTATGACACGAGAGCGACCGAGAATGGAATTGTAGTGCTGGACGAGTTCGACAAAATCGCGCGAAGAGAAACATCGAATGGCCGCGACGTCGGTGGAGAGGGTGTCCAACAAGCCCTCCTCAAGCTTGTGGAAGGGACAAAAGTCACAATAAACGTCAAGGACAACAAGTCCCCGCGATCTGCAGCCCCAATAACGAGCAACTACGGATCTGGCAGTTCGGGCTTGGCCCCCCCTAGCCCCCCTCCCTCAGGCAGGACGGACCAGTTCACCATCGACACGAGGAATATTCTCTTCGTATTTTGCGGTGCTTTTGTTGGCCTGGAAAAGCACATATTGGCGAGAGTGGCGAAACCGTCACTTGGATTCGGGGCTGAAATTGGTGAAGGCCGGTCATCAAAAAAAGGCAACAAAACGGTTCTGCCGCGGGAGATGTATTCTCATCTGCCGCACCAGCCTCTAGCAACGGCAGTGGATGAGTCCGGAAGCACACCCTTCACACCAAGTGAGTCTTTTGCGGAGGAAGCCGGGATGATCCTCACAGGACTCGGTGATACTGACAAGAGAGCCTTACAGTGGACCTAACCACGCCCGACGACCTGCAGGCTTTTGGTTTCATCCCGGAACTCATTGGTCGACTGCATAATATTATCGCATTGTCACCATTGTCACGAGATGAACTCTTCCGGATCTTGACAATCCCCCGTAATGGACTTGTCGCACAGTATAGAGCCCTATTCGAAACTTATCCTTCCAAACTATATTTCACTACGCGTGCCCTCCTAACGATTGCCGAGCGAGCCCTCGAGAATGGCACTGGCGCCAGAGGGTTGAAGATGGAAATGGAGAGGGTACTTGCTGAGCCGATGTACGAGGCCCCCGTGCAACACGTGCTCATCACGGAGGCTTGCGTAAAAGGACGGGAGAAGGCTGGTTACTGGGGGAGAGACGGGTGGCTGGAAGTCGAGAGGCGCATAAGGGCAGAGGATGAGCCCCACGAAGTAGACGAGGCTGCCGTATCAACATTCGAGCAGTACCGAGAGGCAGGGCAAAGCGGCGAGTAACGCATGGCATAAACGTTTTCACAAGGGACGAGTTCTGTTCGGATATCCGCTCTGCCGTCACGGCATTGCTCCGGCAACCTTGTACATGACGCTCTGCTGTGGGCACCATCAGATGGGAGTTTCTCTTATAGGATTCCCTTTCGTGGGATACCCTCATACAGGACTGATCTGGAATAATGTACCATAGAGGAACCCTTGGGATATGGACAAGTGGAATCACGGACTGGCTTACCGGCATGTTCAACAATTGCGTGAGTTGCCAAATCTGTGACGGAAGGATAATATGCGGCCTCGACAAAGGGCGGTAAATGCCAGACTCCGCAACCCCTGTGCGTTTAGAAACGCTGCATCGCTCGCTAGCTTGTATCTTTCGACAAGCGAACATTCGGCACCATCGATTTGGGCCACGAATCAGGCGAGCTGGGTTGACCCGGAGCTCTGACGAGCAATGGGGCCCGACAAGAGGCCAGCTGGAGACAAGGGCGCAGCACCAGTGTTGTTTAAGGATCTTTGGGATTCTCGTACACATATTTACATTCACGTATAAAATCACCACATCCAACCAGGCCGCCAGTCCAAGGCTCATTCCTGTCACCATCATTCTGCACGTAGGGGTGAGGCCATGTGGCAATGATGGCATCATTCCTCTTTCTGCTGATTTCATTTCTGCCTCGTCTACTGACAAAGGAGAAGACCTTCTCCATCCCTTGCCTAGGCGTCTTAAGCCTTTGCGGGCGGCGACTGGACCTGACCCTGACCCTTGTAGTCGGGCGAGGCGATACCTGTGAAGGGATCGGCTTTTTGCTCCTGTCATTTTGGCCCAGGTCAGTATGCGGGAGGCGCCCTTTGGAAGTACTGAAGTCTGGCGAACCTTGAGGTACTCGTTGGAAGCCTCCTGCCACTCGCGCGTCATGGTGTGTGGTGCGGGCTTGGCGAACATACGCATAGTAGCGAAGATGGTCAGGGATGCACCGAGACCTGCGAGGACGTAGAGTATAACCTTCTTGTTCTCATCGGCAGGAGGCTGAGCGCGGGGCCCGTGAGGGCCGAAAGCGATCCAGTAGGCTGTGAGGCATTTGTGTCAGCGTCAATCGGGTTGAGCATTTTCAAGACGCATTGAGAGCTTGGACGTGACGGGGAGAGGCCAATTGAGCCCGACAGATGTCGAGGCAGGCGCCTGCAGCTCTATGGGCCCCTATTGGTGTGCCCGAGCCGTTCCGCAGGAATGACGATGGTGTGTCGGCACTCACCAGCCTTCTTTTCCTGGAGGGTCAGGTCGCCCCAGTTCTCCTTCATGCGGTCGCGCAGGGCCATCCACAGCTCAGCCTGCTCCTGCAGAGGCATGCCCTCCCATCTCTTCTCGATGTTGGCCAGGGTAGGGTTGGAGATTGCGTGGGTGGAGGCGGCGGCTCGGGTGACCATGGCGGAGGAGGTGGTGGCCTGGCGGCCAGCCCTGGTGACGGTGGCGCGCAGGGCGGACGATGTCGGAAGGCGCATCATTGTGATTGCTTGCGGAGGACTTGCTGTGCTGGAGATGGAGCGAGGCGAGGCGAGGCGAGGCCGGTCGACAGAGGGTCGTGGATGGGTAGATCAGAGAAGCTGGTGGAAGGGTAGCAGGAGAAGAGTGGAGATGGGATTGCCCAAGGCCGTGACCGTTAAAACGTTGCTCTGCTGTTAGCCTCGAGGGACGGTCAAAACTTCCGAAGCTGCAAAATCAGGCCACCGCCCAGAGCTGTCATGCTTACATAAGTATCTGGCTAAGTGCCAACAACCAATCAGTCCTTGTGAGAAGGTCAACCCGTCTTGATGTTACCATATTCCAGAACACTGCTAGGTGCTCTGCCTTCCCAATACATTGTCAACCTTTTCTCGGAGACTTGAAAACAGGACATTTAATCCTTCAACAGAGCTCGGGTACCACCAAGCGATTCATTGGGTGCCTTCCAGCAGGTTGCATTCCCACAGGGGCAGAGGTCGGTATGTCATGTGGAATTGTATGTAGGCATTTACGAGCCCCGCAATGAATCCTGTGGGCTTGTCTTTCACATGTAACACCATATCACCGCCACATCGTCAAAAATCACAATACATCATGACAGAGTCCCTGTGGCTCGACCACTCATTGTCTGTGTGAGTAACTTCTGCAGGAGGTTCTTCCACAGAACGACGTACTCTAGGGCGGAAGTGAAGAAACTCTTGGACGTCATCCATCTCTGTTGTCGGCAACATCTGGACATTACCACACACATCCTCTTCTTCTTCTTTCTTTTTTTTTTTTTGGGGGGGGGGGGGGTTACCAAGACCTCCAATGCCTGGACCCAGTGGACGCCTTTGCCTCTCTTCACTGCCTCCTTGATGAGTAGGGCCGAGGTGTCCGTTCCATGCTGATTTCGAATTGCGAGAAGTCATCGCTTCACTTTGCCGCGCCAGACTTCCTTGACTTGATGGAGAAGCCCCTGTGCACGGAAGGCAGCGAGAGCAACTTCACCTCGAACTTCGAGTTCAAACGGTAGACATGAAGATACAGACGTTGACTTATGCCTGTGTCTTAATTATTTTGACTATGGCCTTGATATGGACGGTCTAGTGGCTGCTTTCCCAGGTGCTGATGGTCCAGAGTAACGCCATGCCCATCTTTTGCTGTTTGCCCTTTACTGCTTCTGGTCAATAAGAGGCCCAGGGGATGAGCACTGACGAAGCTCCGACATACCCAGGATCACGCCAGGCCAGATGTTGTTCCTGGAGAGTTGGCTTAAATATGTAGACTCCTGCGGGGTTCCTCAGCATTCGGCATGCCTAACCCGATGGTTGTGAGGAGACAGACAAACCTGTAATGACGCCAACACCCACAGAGAAACCCAGGGCGGTGAGGTTACGAGCAGACATATTGCGAGCAACCGTGCTTTAGACAGCAGGAGTAAAGAGCTTGTGTGCAATGGTGAATAGAATACTCCACACGGTTTGCGCTTTCTATCATTTGAGTGCCCAGGTGCTTTGTGGAGCCTCGGGAGACAGAATGGGCAATTACCTAGGTACATATGTAATTTCTTGCCCGGCAGGGTCTGCGTATATATACACCAATCTATGCAGCCCCCCTGCGGGTTGCGATTTATCAGGCACGTAACAGAGCACCCCACTTAAACCCAGACGCGTCTCCCAGAGCGAGTGGCACACATGGCTACAATGGCCACCTGGGGCCCATGACAATCTTCTGGATATTTGAAACTCAGTCCGTCAGCCCCTACGATGCATTCGGGCTCCCATGGGGAATTGGAAGGAACTGGGTGTGGTCCCCGACTCGGACGACGAGGGTTTCGACTCTGAGGACTCTCTCCCTCCACCCGTACGACAGCGGCCACCGAGGCCAACGACGACGGAGGAACGGCGCGACATCTGGGAATTCCCAAGCTCGTCCGAAGCCCTCAGCTCTCAAAGGGACATCACGCCTACATCGAAAAAGCGCGGCAAATCTCACGGACTCGATTCAACTTCCTCGGCATCTCCTGGAACAGATATTCAACACACACTCGATCGCCAGGTGCAAGATGCACCCAACAGCAGCCCTTCGACTCAGGGCAATGTGGCTCTTCAAGCAAAAAGTGGCAAAGGCTCTCAAGACGCCCTTGAAGGCAAATCTGATGTTCGCAATGCATCCGCAACCATCCCATCCGAGCAAGACGAGATATCACCTAGCGTCGTCCAGATATTTGCGCCTTCCGCCAACCCCTTCCCTGGCAGCTCCCTCGGAACCGACCTGGAGCCCCAATTCTCGGGCGTATTCAAGGACGTCGAGCACAGTGTTCAGCCATCGAACCAGCCCGGGAACCCGAACAGTCGGCGAGATGCGCCTTTAGAGCTTTCGCCGCGAGCTGGTCGATCGCTGAGACCCCGCAAGCCGATCCAGGAACATCCATATCTCCTCGAAAATGCTCAATACAGCCGTTTCATGAAATCCCATGGTGTGAAGCCCATCCACTTTGCCCTGCAGGATCAGAACCCCAACAAAAGCCATGATGAGAATGTGTCGCAAGAGCAGGATTACGCAGGCGGTGAGAGCCAGCCAACGTCGGGCACGCCGGGAGAAGAATCGCAACATCTTCGAAAGGACGTTTTTAAATATGCACCAGATGACGATCTGGATGAGTTGGCCTTATCCCCATCGCCAAGAACCTCATCGCCTCGTCATAGACCACAGGCGAGCAGCGAGCGCAGTCGCAGTCGCAGTCAACAAACGGACGACACAAGCATCAATGGGGAGGAGTTTCCAGACATCAAATACCTTGCTCTAAAACCGGCGAGAATGCCAGCCAAGTTGACAAAGCGGCCAACACCTTCCAGGTCTTCCACTTCGAGGAAGCGACTGAAAAGCAGACAGGAGATTCTCGAGTCAGCACCGGCCGCGAACAACTTGAACGACGATTGGGACATTCCACCTTCGCCTGGTCCTTTACGGGCTGACCCAGCTCTGGCTGATTCCCCATCTCCTGATTCCTCTCCGCGGTCTTTCTCAAATGCTATGGGTGACAGCTTCCAATCCACAGCTATTGATCGGCTTAGTAGTGGTGCGGCGCTCGCAAATCGCTCCGAGGTAGTCGACCTTACTACTGCTTTGGAGAGCGGTCAAGACGAAGATGCTTCGGAATTGGAAGACAGCAGTTCAAGCAGCGATTCAGATGCTATTCAAAGGACTGGAAGGAAGATTAAAGGCGTGCTGCCTGCTTCTTGGCTCAGGTTGGACCAGCAAACCAGCAAGACCGTTCGGAAAGGCGTTCTCAGGAAGCCCCCCCCTTCACGCTTTCCAGATGGGCAGCAGCGTGGAGTGGCCACAGTGAGGAGCGCAAAATCCATGGCGGTCAGCGATCCTCTCCAAGAACTAGACAATGACCACGGTAATGATGTTGACGAGCACGCGACGAGACAGGAGGTTGGCCTCTCAGGTCATGACCATGAAAACAAGTTCAGCTTTCTTGGCAACGAAGTGGAAGGTGTCGAGGATAGTCTGTCAGTAATCGAGGAAGACCACATCGACTGGATGCTACCAGGAGGGAAACGTAATCGCACATCGAGAGTCATTCCGAACAAGAGAAGGAACAATGCGCAGCAAAGGTTGTTCAAAGGAGAACAGCGCTATCGACAACCAAAAATTTCAGATACTTTGGGTCGTGCAAATCGCTCATCAAATGGTACCGTGAGGACCCGGAAGCCGCGAATCAACTCCAAACGGACCGCCCAAAGGACTCGAGCTGTGTCGCCGCCGGCGCTTGGTATTGCAGATGTTATCGAGCCCGATGCACCGAGGTTTATCAGAATTGCTGCCCGAGCTGCGAGTAGGCGTCAAGATCTGGGCAGGTCAAAACCTAATGCCAAGGCCATCAATCTCGGAACCCGCAGGGACAACGTTGATGCTCATTCAATCCTTCGAGACTGGGCCATGGGTAAGATCAAGCGGAAAGCAATACAGCGGCGACCGCCCTCGGGCCTCCGGCCGACTGGCCAAGATCTGCGAAAGCCAAGATGGCCTGTTGGGAAGCTCTTCCCGAACGTCACAACATACACTAGACCTCGTGCCGGCCCATCAGACAGAAACCCATCAAACTCTACAAGGCATTTGAGCCTGAACGAGCACGTGGTCATCGATAAAGCGTTCATAGCAGGACCTCGCCCGATGTGTGACCCCATCAGAGGAGCAGCGCCCGCTAGGGCACAATCGCACAATCCGGGCGCCGACTACCTCATCAGACCAGCGCAGCTTGAGGATGACGTATTACATGGGGCGGAAAACGCAGCCTTCGCTGCGAGGAAGAAGATGTTAGATCTTGTGTTTCACAAAACTAGAAAGGAGATACTAGCACCAACGTTTCGCCTTCAGGAATGCGCGTTGGACTCTCCACAGACCAAGGAGAGCCCTGAAGAAACAGATGGTCCCAAGCACGGCATCCTCGGCCACGCCCAACTCAAAGGCCGGCAACGTGCGGTTACGAAACCTCGTTTTCGTAAGCAATTTATGCCACGGCGTCTTGACCTGGATGCTCCCCAATTCCGACACGCGAATGATCCACTTCTGGAATACAACGCGTTCGAGCGTGGGGATCGTCTTGAAGAGCCTCGTCAAGAACAGGATAGGATAGTGGGACTGGGACCCTACGGGACGCAGTATACGCACCATTTCGATATTTTCCCCCTACAGCGGCATGTATTCTTCCACCACAGCACGCTTATTGGAAATGGCGACTTGAAGAAGGCTCTGGACTGCGAATTTCTCAGTCACATTACCCGACCTCGAGCGGGAACTTCTTTCAAGATCGCGCATCACTCGTTTCACTGGGGACTCTGGACTGACACGACCTCCTCCGAGCTCGGACTTCTTTTTGAAATGCTCTCAGAACAGCTGTCAACAATCGGTGTGATCGACGCTGAGCAGACCCGTTGTAATGCCATCAACTGTGCTGACCACGTCCTCGGATATGTACTGCACTCATTGTGGGTTGAAGATGAATCCAACCTCAAACCATGTGCTCAAAGGCTTTTCGGACTGCTTCTTGGCTTTTCGACTCTCACCGAATCAAATGTATCCGATCGCAAATCTGGCACATTTGTTGAGACCACTACGAGGCTTCTCATCTGCTCGCTGGTACTCCTGCGAATCTGCCAGGGTACCCCGGAGCTCTCGAGCATTTCTGTACCTGTCGAGGAATTGATGAAATCTCTCTCAAAGGCGGTCATACAGGGGCTTCTGAAGATCGGCACCTCGGGTATTCGAGCGACATACGATGACCTGCAGCGCCTAACTACCAGGGAGCGAGGGATAAGAGGCGACAATTTCACCATGACCTGTTGGGTGGTCGTGATCAAAGTATTGGACGCAGCTCACATTCCAAGGGCTGGCTTCTGGGACCTGACGTATTCCCTCGTGGGCACACCTGACCTTCTGCAAAGCTCCAAAGTTCAAGATTTCGAGAGCGTGTGGGAAACCATTTTCACTCTGGTACCGCTTCAAGATTTTGATGACAATGGCATAAGTGCTAGAGACTTGCGGCACACCGACCTTGTCCAAGGATCTCAAAGATGGGGCTTGCCACAAAAACTACTCAAACGGGTCTTCGAGTCCTGTAGAAACAACCCGAAACAGTCACCCGGCTTCAATGACTACTGCCGTGCTCTGCTCGGCCGCTGCCATAGCCTTATCGATCAATGGGGCTGGTATAAGTGCAGTGGAATCGTCGGCACTATATTTGACTTCTTCGGTCAACAAAATCTCTCAAATTTGAGGCATGAGGAAGTTTCAAAGTCGCCGCGATTCCTAGAGCAACTCAGTACCACAACAGAGCTGTCCGTTGAAGCCGATGACCGGTGCTTTCATATTTTCCTCAAAATCTTGGCCTTGTCGATTCAGATCATGAGAAAGCATGGCCTTAGCAACGACATTCGAAATCTCATCGCCCGTACTCTACCCAATCATGATCGTCAGTACTCGAAAGAGCAGGCCATTCACGCTCATGACCTTGCTGCCCTGAGAAATCACCACGACCTGCTGTGTACCCTTTTCTGGGCCGCTCCTGCTGAGGAACGACCTGCCATCCACTTAATAGAGAAACTGATATCTCCTGGAAGCTCTCACAAAGAAGCGGTTCTCCTTCATCTCCAGGCTTGGAGACAGCTTGCGGCATTCGTCGTGTCTTCCGGAGCTACACATGACGTTTACCGCCCTCTTATGTTATGGCAAAACCGTGTCTTCCAACAGGTTCTTGACCAGTATCACTCAGCGGCGAGCGAAATACAAAGACAGTTCATGTCCATGCCCTCAGAGACCAGGAAAGATATTGGTCAGCACATGGTTGACAACGTTGTGTCTGCAAATCAGACTGCAGCGAAAGATGTCTTACGCTTCAGTGTGGCGGCGTCCTTGTCAGTAATGAGGAGCTGCCCATCACTGGCTTCTGTGATGTTCTCTTTCAACACAAGCCAGTTGAGCAAAGCGCTGACCAATATCGGCACTGATGGCGAGAACTTGGAGTGTGATATCCTGGGCGACTGTTTCGAAACAGTCGAGCTCTTTTTGGAGCGCTTGGAGAGCTTTGGCAGCGCTCTCAAGGAGGAATCAGATGACTCGTTCTCATCAAGCGACAACCGCGAGTACACCGATGCTGTAGAGCTCTTCGATGAGAAGGTTGTTCAAGGGTTCTTTATCGCCGTTCGTCAGGTACTCTCCTCGCCTGCATCCGTTGTGGGCTCGTATCGCAACTCACTCACGAGCATCCGAGAAAAAGCCGTCATCCTCTCGGGAAGAATTGCGAGTGTTTTCATCAATGGCGGGAAAAGATCTCTCAAACACTTCTTCTCCATCGGGAAATATGGCTTGTTTGAGAATGTTCCTCAGAATCTCAGCTTGGACAAGAGAACATACCTGCCTCTTTTTGTGGCCATCTTGCTGAAGAATCACATCTTCGATTTCTCCAGCGTAGGATGCAGCCACTTCGACATCTGGGTGCTGTCCCTTGTCAAACCTTTCCACGCGCTCAAGTATGAAATGCACCTTGCCGAGACACTTAAGACGCTGGAACTGGGTTACATGAAGGGCTCTTTTGTCATCGATGGAGTGTGTCCCAACTACCGTACGAGTCGCGACTTCTTTGCCTGCGCGGTGTCCTACATGAGAAAGGAGTTGCGGCAAAGCGATTCCGCGCGGCGGATGCCTTTGCGTGCCAAGTACGAGAAACTCCTGAAACTGGTCATGCAGCAGATGAAGTCAGACATCAAATCCGTGGGCATGAGTTCTGCTCAGCATAAGGATTACACAAGCTTTATCCGTGAGATAGTAGCACTCATCCAGTCCCATGGAACGGGAATCAGCACAGTCGATTCGTTTTACCTCCAGGCCAGTGCAGAGTTTAGTCCTGCCACAGAGGACCCTAAGCTCCACTCGGCGGTCATCGTCGGGTATGGGCTCAGGCTAGGAGAAGGTGACACCACAGCGGGACCGCAGTTGTTCTCCTTCTTGTGTACCCACTTCAAGCGGTTCATGGCAGATGGCCAGCTCGACGCTGAGAGCAAGATCATCGAGAACGGCATGGCCAACGACAACATACTGGGATTTGTGCTTGGGCGCATGCTACCCGCCGTCATCCAGGCGTCGTTCAGAAACCCTCAGGTCTGGCCGCTTGTGACCGTCTATTCTCAAGCCCTGAAGAACCTCTTTGGTAGGTCGCACTTGCCTAGGGAGATTCCTGACAAGTTTACCGACCACTCCATCTCCCTGCTGGAAACTATCTCGGGCTACCTGTTGTTTGCCAAAGGAGAGAGCACGCCCGCGAAAGTGTCAAATCCAACACAAATAAAACTGTTTGCGCAAATGATGGAAATCTGCCATGCACTGCGCCCAAGTCTGATGTGCTGGTTGCTGCGACCATCGCTGGCCCAGGTCAAGAGACTGCGGGGTTGCATACATCAGATCACTCTCATCAGCAGGCAAGCAGCCGCTTGCCTCGATGAGATACGTGACTCGCAAGACCCAGAGGTGCCACTGCGACAGTTCAGCGTCGGACAGCTGCTTGCTGGCCTTGCCGACACCGACATGAGCCCTTGCATGCTGTCCAGTGCTGACAGTCAAGTGTCCAAGTTTGCCCAACAGCTACAGCACGACTTGCAAGATTGCTGGGCCGTGACAGAGTTTGACCACTCTGCAGAGGTGGCCCAGACGTCACCGACGCAGCTAGGGACGCAGCTGGCGTCGGTGGTCAGCAATGGCATGGAAAGCAGGGCTGATGAACCACTATCAGGGTTGCATGATGAGCTTAAGAAATGGATTCAAGTGATGGGCACAGATGAAGGAGACGGGCGTGGTCGTCTGGCTAGGAGAGCAGGTCGACCGGGCCGGGCCAGGATGCGGCAGAGTGGGCGGTCCTGGCGGTGCTTGCCGTACATGTAATGGGCGCCTGGGCGCTGGACAGACGTGCGTGCAAGCCACTTAGTATAGAGAGGCAAAAGAGACGGGCTGATCGAGAGAATGAACAAAGTCGGCCTCCCAAAGCATTATCACTCCGAGAAGCGTTGTCACGGGATTAGGCCGTCGTTGGGGGCGTGTGCATACTGAGTTGAGGTGCGAAATGTGAGAGGGTCTCATACGAACTCTGCTAATCGATCCCACGTGTCCTCGCCCACTGCTCGGAATTCGACGCCCTCAAAATAGCCTGCGTCTTGCCAGGCCTTCATCGTCGGGCCGTCGTAGGGCCCTTGCACCGAGTTGCCGTCCCGACCATCGGTCCACCGATACTCCCACATCTTGGCTGCACCGCCGACGCGGTCGCCCTCGCCGCCGGTGGTCGCCTCGGCGGCAGGCGTGGGCTCCCTCCACCGCTCGCCCGCCTCGTCCTGCCACTCCCTCACGAGGAGCTCCCTCTCCGTCTCGTACACCTCTGCGTACTCGCGGGCAAGCAGCTTGTCCGCCGCCTCCGTAATGACGTTTATGCCCTCCTTGATCCGGGCTTGCGCCGGGTCTTCGGGATCCTTGCTGTGGTCCACCTCCATGGCGTCTGCCTCGGCCGCGTCCTTTTTCTCCTTGTCCCTGAGTTTCTTCAGCTTCCACTTTGGCACCTTCTTTGGCTCGCTCTTCCGCGCTCGGCCCAGCCGCGCCAACGCCTCGATCGGCGTCTCGCCCCTCTCGAGATGTAGGATCAGCGAGCGGAGAAGATCCTGGGTGAGAAGGCTGTCGTCCTCTCTCCTGGCAGCCCGCAGCTCGGCCTCACGCTTCTCGTGAGCCTCTCGCGCCCTCTTCATCTCTTTCTTGGACACTCCCTCCAGCCAGCGGTCGTGCACGGCGTCCGGGTCGACAGCTTTGCGGATGAAGTTCCCGGCCTCGTCGAAGGCGCCCTCCTCTTGCTCGTTCTTCATGTTGAAGGCATCAATCTTGGGGGCGTTGCGCTTCAGGCCGCCCATTCCAATCTCCTCGTCGACGCCTTCCTCCTGGATGGCCAGCTCGACATCCTCCTCGTCGTCGCTGCTGGCATTGTGTTCATCGAGGTGGATGTGTCCGCCGCTCTTGCTCGTGCTCTCCTGGCCTTCGATCTTGTGCGCGTCCAGGAAGCGGACCTCTTTGCCCTTCTTGCCCCTCGATTTAGTACGCGGTGCGGCTTGCTCATTGGTGTCTTGCTGGTCCGCGCCGTTGTCGCCGTCGCCGTCCTCGTCAGCGGCGAACATGTCCTCGTCGTCGTCGTCATCGTCGTCTCGTTGCCCGCCGCCGCCGCCGTTGCGCAGATCCCTGTCGTAATTGTCGAGCTTGTCCGCGATGTCGACGTGGCCGCTGCCACTTGCGGCCGTGGCGCCCCTGCGCTCGGCGCGGTCGTCAAATGTTTCGTTCTCCGAGTCGCTGTCGTAGCCGTCGATGTTGACTGCGCCGCGCTTGGTGGCGCCGGGCCCCTTGCCAATGACGTCGGCTTCGAGGACGGCGGCATCCTCAGCATCGGCGTCGTCGTCGTCACGAGAGTCGGGGGCGAGGGCGGAGGGGTTGCGCACGTCAAACTTGACCCGCTTGGAAGACGAAGGCCCTTGGCGGTGGTCGGCCGGGCTGCCGGGGCGCTGCCCCCCGTGGTGGGCGCGCGCAAAGGACTCGCCTGCGCGTTTGGGGCGGGCGGCTGCGTATCTGGAGGACATGGTGGCTCAAGTGAAGGAGAGGCTGCCACGGCTTCGAGCCTTGCTTTGCCGTCAGGTTGGACAGTCGGGGTTGCCTGGGGCGGTTTGCACCTCCCGCCCAGGTGGATTGGACCTGGGCCCCCGGCCGGTTGGGCGAGTCTAGTAGGTACCTAGGTACCTACCTAGGTAGGTAGATACGTCACACAGCTACTACTGCGGTACGCACTCGCGGCAGAGCATCTCACAATTTTGATCCTCATTGGAGTACCTAGGTCAATCACAAGGACGCGCCGTGCTTCAGCGACGTCGGGATATCATAATGGGCAGCCATTTCCAGCTCCTGCGACGCCACTCTCCTCCCTGTCCCTCTGCCATTGCAGCTCCCCGCCCCCCCCCCCCCAGCCAGTAGAGAACAGCACAGGCACTAACGCGGTGACAGAATGTTGCCACTGATCGGACATTATCCGCAACTCCAAGAAATCCCACACCGAGTGTTTGTGTGTGTTTTGAAGGGGAAAGAAGGGCACTTTCCACCATGTCCGGGTTCCCTTCCGGGATTCGTAATAGTCGTCTCCTGTTAGGCCCCCTCGTTGGGCACCACCATCTCAGCACGCCAGTTGACATGCTCGCGCTCTGCGAACCGCGCAAGGACCTGGAGCGCATCAGATGCTGCCCTGTGAGGCGTCGTCCAGGTCCCCATCGTCGGCGTCCGCAAGCTCTTGTCCGACACCTTGCCCCGCAGGTCATTCGCCTCGGTCCATATCCTCGGATTATTCTTCATGGCCTGGAACACCGCCATGTGCTGGTCCTTCCCTAGTTTGAGCTGCTCGCCGCCATGCAGGCCCACCGAGGCGAAGGCCCTGATCAGCTCGTTTATCACGATTCCGTGCAGCTGGTATGCGAGCGCCTGGAGCGAGCCCGAGTGCCGTGCCATCTGCTTGAGCTCTCGCAAGTGAGGCTCAAGCGTGAGCCACGATGCCATATCCATCGCCGCCCCCGATATCTCTGACCTCTGGTTCAGCGAACGGAAGGCAATCATGTACGCCAGTATCATCTCGATAGTGAGCATTGCCCGCCGGTAGTCTCTCAGCTGCCCAGCCGCGTTCTGTCCCGCCGCGTTCGCCGGGAATTCTTTATCGCGCTTGTGCTTGAGTTTCTTCCCGATCTTGCAGAACTCATCCCACCGCCTCCTGAGTGTCTCCTTGGCGGTGCCCTCGCGGCCTGTCTGCGCCGCGTCTCCGGTTCCCGGCGTCTGCGCAACCCTGCCCCCTGGCGTATGGGTCTGCGAGCCCCCGGGCGCAGCTAGGCTGTTGGCAGTTGGGGGCTTTGGCGGTGTGTGTGGCGCCTTGCTCCCTGTCGTCTCGGGTGCCCTGGGCCGTTTCGCACCGACCGAGCTCGTCACCGGCTCCGCAATTGGCTCCGTGCCACGCGGGCGTTTGCTCGCAGGCGGCGGTGTGTTGTCCGCGCTGAGCGACCGCTCCTTCGGCCATGGCCGTGATGGCAGTGCGAGGAGGCTCTGTATCCTCTTTCGGAGGGTTTTCTTGTACTTTATCGTCACAAGCTTGGCGGGCCGGGCCTCCGCGTCACAATTATCTGCTGGAGGTCGGGTCTTGCGTGCGCCGGCTGCCGCGTCGGAAGACTGGCCAGGCGGGTCTTTCGCTTCCTCCTTTACCTGCGTCTTCTGTATTCTAGCCAGCGCTTCCTCGACCTGAGGGGGCAACGTGGGTGAAAGGATGGGGGGCAATTCCGGCGTGGCGGCCCTCTTCTTCACTGTGCCCTCTGGTCTCGAGGGTTTGTTTTGTGACTTTCCCATCATGTGTCCCTCTGCCACCTTCTTTTTCGAACTCCACGTCTCGAGATCATCGTCAAACGCTAGTTTCAGGGGCGAGAGTATCGGAGGAACAAGATGCTTCCCAGAAGTATCTGGTTTAGGAGGTAATGTGTTGCGGGACGCAGAGCTCTGAGGCTTCGTGCCGTTGACAGTGGTCTTTGGCGAGACGGCGCGGGGCTGGTCCTTCGAGCTTGGCTGAGCGGCGCGGCCGCTCGGATTCGACTGAAGCGCTCCTGTTCTGCCATCCTTACTAGCAGACATGGCACGTTCCCTGCCACTCGGAGCCTCTGGCCGCGGCGCCTTGCGCGGCGCCTCTGATGATGTGGGCTCGCTCGACTTTGTCTTTTTGAGTGGCCTCGTGCTATCATCCTGCTCCAGCGGCCGCTTCTTGCCCTCGGACGACGGGCTCGGCACATCTCGTGACGTGACTTTGGAGATGGAGCTCTTGGGCCTGTCAGAGGATCAAAATGAGCGGTTCGGCCAACACGACAACATCTTGTAAGGCAAGATACGTACCTATCTGCGTCGCCATTACCCCGGGGATCGGAGCCCTTGCCATCGCGTTGCGTGCCGGCCTGTTTGACCTTGTCATGCTCTCTGCGCGACACGTCCTTCTCTGGACCATGTGCAGAAACCCGCTGTTTCTTGTCCTCTACCCTGCCCAAGACTCCGTTTTCCGTTGGCGAGGTCGCCACCTTCTTGCTTTTCCAAACCTCTAGGGTCATCTTGCTTCCGGCCTTCTTGGCTCCAGCCTGGGGGGTGGATTGGCGGGTGGGCACAGGGGCCTCGGGCTCGTCGCATATGTCGTAGTATGGTCGTGTCAGGAGGAGGCCGCGATCGGCGTCTGATAGGAATGTGGAATATTGTAGCGGGGACTGGTGGTCCCAGAAGTTTGGAGGAACTGGATATTTGCGGCCAAGTGAAAGAGCCAGGTGGTGTGGCCTCTCGGGCAGTAGTTTCTTGACGGATCTGATTCTCTCCGCCGCAACCTCCATCTTCCACGTTGCTTCATGAAAGAAGCCTTGTCCCAATGGCAAGTCGCGAGAATGGTGGCGGCGCGGTGTCCCCAGCTTGTAGTTGGTCGGCGTCAGGGCAGGTGCAGGCTCAGGATCCTGGATCGGATGCGCGACTGTTGCGCAATGGGATGGGCGTTGTGATGACCCAGCGCGAAGCTCTGTCGGAGGCAGTGACCTCTAACAAGGCACAGGGGGTCGGGCTCCTCGTCAGCTCCTCTTGAGGTCCTCGTCGGGCGTGGCGGGCGGCGAGGATGGCGGGCAGGACAGTTGCCGAGACGGCCGTGTAGCTCGGTGACAGCGCGACTGCACGCCGGGGGCCGGCAAGGGGTCTGGCAGTTGGGATGGTGGTGGTGGTGTCGGCAAGGGTCGGCCAGGCGCTACGATCACGTCAACAAAGCCAGATGCGAGGGGCTTCTGGGTCGCAACAGAGTGCGTCGTCGCAGGGGAACAAAGCATGTGGACCACTTACTGGCTGACAAGAAATGAGGCCGATCAGCAGGATATTGCGGTGCAGCGGGTTGTTGGGCGGGAGTTGGTAGGGGTTCGGTTACGGGGCACAGGTTGTGGCCAATATTGGCGTACCGTCCGTGTCGTGCCGTGTCGTGGTGTCGTGGCTCTGGGCGATTGCAGACCGACAGCGACGGGATAGCATACCGTGCCTGCCTAGGTAGACGTGCAGCAGACATGCATCCACACCCACATGCACACCCACAGAGCACACATCAATCGGGCAATCCGTCAATCAATCAATCAGCCAGCCAGTCAGTCAGTCAGTCAGTCAGTCAATCAGCCAGCCCGTCCGTCCACCCGTCGTCCTTGACTTCAGTCCAGCCAACCACTCAGTCACCCAGTCAGCAGGTCGGCCTGGGGGTCGGCCTGGGGGTCGGTCGGTCGCGGCAGATCGAGTCGTATCGTGTTGGGGGCGGGCTGTCTCCACCACGCAGCGCGCCGCAGCCTCAAGTCTCCACCCGCTGGCCTAGCCCACTATCGCCGCCGCACCTGCTGCGCTGCCGTGATGCTGCGCTGCCTCGCTGTGTGATGCGCCGTCGCCTCGCGCCTGGGCCTTGGGAGATGGGCCGGAACTGGACGAGCGCGTGCCGTGTGGAAAGTCCCTGGGCGTGACCCAGGAGGCTTGTTCACCGATCCTGTATTAGATGAATTGGATGTCAGGGGGGGATGACCGGCAACTGCTGCTGCATGCGACAAGAGGATAAGGTATGATAATGTGGAGGGGGGACGAGGCGGGACTGGGGGAGAGGATGTGCTGAATGAAGACTGGGGTGTGTTGCAGGCAGGCAGGATGCCGGTACAATGTGCGGGAGGACAGCTACCTACCTGGCCCCTACCTGGCCACCTGGAGGAGGCAGCGAGGCCCAACCTGACCTGCCGCTGCACAGCTCAGCTCAGCTCGAGAGCGGGTTGAATGCACTGCAGGGTGCACCTGGCTGGACCCAAGCGTTCACATTACAGCGGCACACTGATTGGCAGTCCGACCGAAATCTCGCATCAACCCGAGGAAATCCACTGCTGCAGGTTCGCATTCAGGACAACTTTTGACCTGCTGCCTCAAACCCGAGATACACATACATACATGTACGTTTAATAGATGCATGCAGCAACAAATGCAGGAAAGGGGGCGAGCTGGGTGGACCCAAAATTAGCACAAGGTAGAAAGAAGTTGGACACCCAACACGACGTCGTCGCATCCGCAGCTGTCCTTCTGAACGGTTATCTACACCATCTGGACGGGCAATCCAGGTTCGGAGCTATCTAACAATGCGCGCGCCGCGCGAGACATTCCAACCGTGAGCGAGTCCAGAGCTTAAAACGCCAACAAATCCAACCCTACCAGCCAGTCCTTCCTCTTGGAGAATCCCCAAACGCCGTTCCAGGGGCCATGCCAAAACAAAACCAAAAGCAACGTCTAGCAAGATGCAGTGACTTCACGTCTTTTCTGTCTAGGGTATCCGTCAACAAACGCCTTGTCCACTCGCCGAGCCCCTCTAATCCGGCTCGCCCACGAGGCCTTGCTGTTCCGCCATGGGCAGCTTCACCAAGCGTACACATCCGAATCGTCGTCTCTGTCGCGGTCCGACGTCCATTCTTCGTCATCCGACTCATGTTCCTGCTCGTCGAGGAAGTCCTCCATGCCAAGTTGGAATTCTCGCGGCTTCTGGTTATCGAAGCGAATGTTGACCACGTCACACAGGCCATGCACGAACGGCAAGTCGTCGTCTGGGGACGCCGGTGACTCCGGGGGACTCGATGGAAGTGAGGGGTCCTCGGCCTCCTCTTCCTCGCTCTCCTCAGGATCGAGCAGGTCAAGGTCCTCATCCGTGTCAGGGTCCCTGTACGAGATAGCGACTCTCTTCGGCCTCCTGAGGTCTCGCGCTGAGCCAGCACTTCGCTTTCTCTTGCTGCGCTTGTTGTCCACCGTGTTCTCCGGAGGAACTGGGGCAGGGGTGGCGATGTGAGTGGCAATGCGAGAGCTGCGCCGGATGGGTGTGTCGTCCGTCTCGCCTCCCACGTCTGTGTTCCCCTCTTGGATGCCAGGCCCTCCCCTGAGCGTCGGCCATTGGATCAAGGAATGATACGGTCGAGGCTTGGTCTGCCTCCGCAGGAAAACCTTCCTCAGTCTACTTACCCACCTGTCACGAAATTCGCACCTTTGGCGCCACGGCACATCCAGCATGGCCTTGACGGCCAGGTGTCTCAGTCTTGGCATGTTTGGCGCCTGGTCAACGAAGCTCTGGAAGAACATCTCCGCCGTGGCCGCATCCCATTTGGCAAGCTGCTCCAAGTCGATAATCTCGATCCTATCAGGCCAGACTGGGACATCGGTGACGGTGAGCAACGTTTCGTAGAAGGGGTCCGAATCGTTGTAGTACTCGTGGTGTGCGTAAAAGGTCAGGTTCATGCTGAGTTCGCGCAGCTGCGGACAGGAAACGCCCAGGGTTGGTAAGAAGGCCAGGCTCAGGGACTGGTTGTGATGCAGCGTCAGCCTGCGGAGACTGCGACCATGCGTCAGGAGGTACTCGACCAGCATCTCGGCCGTCAGTTCCCAGCAGTTGACGATCTCGAGATGTTCAATCGTTTTGGGCAGCAGGGAGAGGAACTGGCCATCGACGACTGTCGACGACTCCATTTTCAAGTGCTTCAGACTCCCAAGGGGCTCCAGGGATTCGGAGATGCAGCTGATGAAGTTCTTGTCGGCCTCAAACACCTCGGGGTCGTTGGGGTCCTTGTTCTCCTTCAAGGACGGGACCTGAAAGTTGACCAGAGTGATGTCGCGCAGCTGCGAGAAGGTCGACCACTGGTGGATGGCCCTCATCTGCTTGGGGGAGACCACGTCGCGGTCCATCATCCTCTCGCTCCACCTCCACGACTTGAGCCTCATGCGAGCGTCCGATTCACCGGCCGACTTCAGCGCATGGACCAGGGCCTGGGAATACGTCCACCTCCTAGTTTTGAGGTCGAGCTGCCGATAAGGCGGCAAATCAAACTCGTGATAGAGCTCCAGGTGAGACAGGCCAGGCAGGACCAGGACCAGCTCGGCCAGGTCGAAGGGCCGGGATGCGGAAAGAGAGGTGACGCTGACCACGAGAGACTCCACCATGGTGCGCCTGTGATCGTTGCGTTCTCTGGCGGCGGCTTGATTCACAGAGAGGTTGTGCATAAGCGCGGCAAACTTGGTGGCCATGTTCATGGACAGGATGGGCATGGGGCGCCTGTACAAGGCCTTGAGGGCAGGGTCCAGGAAGAGCTTGCAAGTGAGGCCGGCTGAGAGAAGCCAGCGAGCGCCCTCTTTGAATTCCAGTGATGAAGAAGCATACTCGAATATCTGGACGAGGAGGGTCCACTCCAGGTGCTGCCAGGGCGGACGCACCGTGGAGGAGGGCCACTCCGGCAGGCTGGTGGCAGAAGGGGAAACGGCGTGTTTCTTTCTGGAGCCGGATGCCCTGGACCGAGGGTCCGTGATCCTTGCAGGCCGGGGAGGCGTCCGTGACGGCGGGTTGGACCGAGGGCGGCGCGGGCGGGAGCTTGCCGGGGCGTGGGCCCGGGTGGGCTGGGGGCCGCGTGTCCCGGAGGATTGGTGAGCGATGGTCTGCAGACGTGCGGACTGGCGGGTCTGGGCCCCCGGAGGACGACTGGGCCGAGGGGCAGGTGCGTCGGTGTCTGATGAATCATGGTCGAGTTCACTGGAGCCGCTTGATGGAGAGGGCAGCCTCGTGGCGCTCCGCGTTACACGGCCGGTCGGGTTTCTCGGGCGACTGGGTGGCCGCGTGGTCAACCGGCGAGGGTTGCGGCGGACCCCTGCAGGATCGGGTCGACTCATGGTGTCAGCGACACACACAGAGAACCATTGGGACAGGGCAAGCAAGCCCTGTTGATGTGGGGAGGAGGTGCAGTCCTGGGGTTGGGGTGAAGTGACGGCCGGGACGTGAGGAACAGGTAGGAAAGTGAGCGCGGCCGATGATGACCTACGACGGCCCCTGCGGGAGGAAGGCAATAAGGGGCAGGTCCAGGTGAGATGGGCGTGAGGTGAAGTTGAGTACTGTGTAGGCCCCAAGTCGTGCTCGACTGTGTGGGACAAGATCTGGGAGCCGTTTTGTCATGGAGCAGGGCCCGTGCGCTGCGCTTGAGGTGGGATAAGCGGGGCTTGGGAGGGTAGATATCGGTCTCCATATCAATGCGGATAGATGGCAACCTCACATAGCCTGTTGCTAGAGGGACGCGTCCTGTGGAGACTCAAGGGGCAAGAGGGAGAAATGAATGACAATGAATCGGTACAGACATTTGTTAACTGGTGAAAGGCATAGCTCACAGTATTGGGCTAGGTCATATTTAGTGAGCACGGGTATTCGTGCAAATAATATTTTTCAGCATTCCTGCCATCTTGGAATGGTATGCGGTTGTGAGACGGGAGTCGTCAGATACTGAACAGCGGAGAAGACGCATGGCATATGTGTGTGGTTTCGCTTCTATTCCGTACACGTCCGAGGACATACATGGCGCCTTCATACGGTGGCCGTCCAACTATACTTCTATCATCCCACCGTGTTAATCAATCAGGCGCATAAAATCCTGTGCATTTCTACCAACCTCCCTCAGTCACATGTATCTTACGAGTGTTCCATGGATCCAAACTTCCGGTGCTCAACATTAGGGGTTAGCCTTGCCACCTACTCAAATACACACATGGTCCATCAATAGCCTCACTAGCGCTTCAAGTCATTTCAAAGACATACGCCAACCACATCCTAGGTTGTTTTGTTCCACACCTTTCTAGCACATCACAAGTCACCTTGGTACCCTAGGGTAGTCTTGACACTCCGGGAACAACTACTTACCCCAGGGTACCTAGGTACAGACGACGAGATGTATCAGCGCTAGTAGATAGGCCATAGTTGTTTCTCGCAAGAGGGACAGAAGACCAGAAATAGCAGTGACATGGCACAGACCAAACCTTTGTGTTTATGAAGTGAACGGTGTGAGTTGAAGCAGGGATTACTCAAGGTAACCACCCAGGCTCTCCCCACGAGGACGCATTGCTCATACCTGGGTAGGTCTACGAGAGCAAGGGGCAACGGTGGCAATGCACATCACTGGCAGTCTCTACAGGTACAAATGTGTGTAACACCCTGCGGCAAAAGTACTAGAGAGCGTACTTCCCTGTCTGAAACTTGCCTGAAAACATTGAAGCACCAGTTCTGACCTGGGCGTCGTTCCATCAAGAGCTGCATATCAACTCGGCCACCTTGCCATCTGAGGCTTCTTTACAGGGCAGCCACACGCCATGCGCAGTGACGGGTGAAGCTCGGAATGTCTGTGACAGGCGGCATACCACCGGGGATTAAGTACTGAGTTCCATCAGAAACGAGGCAAGAATCTGTTTGACTACACACAGTATTGTCCCATGTTACAGGTGCGAGTCCAGAATCAGCCTTGGGCGTGGAGTCACAAATGCTCGGTTCTTGTGCTGGGCTCTTTCGCCCACTGCGACGGCAGATCGAGTCTGCTGCTGTCCAGGTGATCAAATGTGTGTATAGATTTCTACAATTGAATCTGGCTGAATCATCTGTGGGGGGTTGTAGCCGAAACTCTGCCTTCAAGAGTTGCCATCTTCATCCGGGCATTTCCCCGGCAAGGCCAAGCATTGCGGCTGCCGACTGCGGTCAGATCCCGGCCCGGCCAACAAGCCCACAAAGTCCTACTGGATACGGCGATGCAAAGAAGGACCCAGAAGGTGATGAGGGAAAGGACCAGCTGCTCGGTCTGTGGTTCTGAACGGCTGTACGGTTCTCGCCTCAAAGCAGCGCGCTCCTGTGCCTATCCGACACCAGTTGACCGACGAGCAGGTTGAAAAGGACTTGTTCGCCACTCCCCCGTGTATAATCCCAGCCAATACTGGCCAACAGCGAAAAGCGTAGTCTACTGTCCTTGGCCGTACGGAATGCGGGCGGGCCTTGCGTAATTGACATGCGAGTAAGGCTGGCGAACTGTGGCACAGCCTTTTCACTGTTGGTTTTCTGGCTCCTTTCTTGGCACTACATACTGCAGGCTAAATCCACAGTATTTATCACACGACATTACCAATTTCAACAGCCCTCAGCTCAACCGCTGGCTTTTTGCATTGACTGAGTGTAGGATACACAAAGTCATTATGTGATGCAGCAATAGGACCGAGCCAGGTCTGTTCTTCTAGAGTTGTCCGACTTAGAACCTGGGCAGGTATTTTGAAGGCTGCAAAGTTGGCGACCATGAGACAAGAAGTCACAGTTATACCTTATCCTCCCAACAGAACGATGCCACTTAGGATGATTCCATATTCCCGAGGTCTGAACCATATCTAACTTCTTGTGGGGCCCCTTCTGGGAAGATGTTGAATGTTGCTTGAGCTGGAAGGCTTCAATGTTTGGTAAGGCTCCAGCCCCGGGCTGTCACGCGGCAATGCCATGGTGTGCTGGCAGTAATTGTAACAGGAGAAGGCTTGTGGCAATGCAGAAACAAAGACAACACAGGATCAATCGAGCACGAGCATGTAGCCAGCTGTCCGTCCTCTGTCCCCTGCTGGCTCGAACATTTCAAACTCTTCTGCCGGCTGCCTCGCCCTTCTCCAGTCAGCTTTGGCTTTTGTGCCAGGGGGGTGTGTTGTTGAGTTAGCACAGGACGTCTGTCCCGGCGTGGCCGGCGGTGGAAAAGTAGGTAGCACGTTATCGTGCTGCTCGCATTGATCCGTGGCCTGCAATTGGCCCGAGCACTGGCCACTAGGCATGACAAGGGTCAGGCCATTTCCAGCAGTAGCAATCGCGATGGGTTTCTTTTCAGGTTGTTTCCCTAACCGCGTGCAAGCGAGCGAGTTGAGTGAGAGAGTGTGAGTGCGTGAGAGAGAAAAAGGTCGGACACGCGTCGTGCCTTGATGAATTGACTGCCAGCTTCAACCCTCCGCTGTCGCCCTGGGCCCATGGTCGATCGCCAGCCACACTTGCACACAGGCGCAAGCACGAACACGGGTCGCCCTGCACTGAGATGGGATCCTCAGAGGCAGTCTGTCAATAGACCTCAATCTCAGGTTGGCCCGGCCTCCACCCCATCACCACATTCTCAACCAGCAAGCCAGCCAGCCAGCCAGCCAACCAGCCAGCCAGCAAGACGTCGGCCATCTTGCCGCATCTTTTGGTTCTGCTCCAGCATCAGCCCTGCCAGCTACCACCCACTGGTCACTCCCATAGGGCTGTGTGGCCCAGTCCTCCGTCATACCCGGCCCCTGCAAAAACATCGTCAGCCTCAAATTTGGGAATCCCTCTAGACCTTCAATTCTGCTCCTATCCCTTTGGCCCCTGCTCCTCCATCAAAGCATCAGGACTGCGCAGGGCACTGTCTTCGCTTACCGTTCTTTCAACACATCCTCAGACAAGAAGCACGTCACGTCGCAACAACTTGACTCGCAGACCACAAGTCTGACACCAAGGGCACTTTCAGTTGCGAGATAGGCCAAGCAAGAGCTACCTAGTTTGGCTCTCAAAGCCTTGGCCTAGCGGCTCGCATGCCTCAGCGTGACCATGACGAGATCTACCGCACGCACCCGGGATCTCCCTTATCTTCACAGGAACTGGATCATTGCCATCAATTATCTGCAGTCTGCAGCGCTGGGCTTCAAGTCCAACGAAATTCACCAGAAGCTGGCCAACGGCCATGACGACCATGACACTCGGCCCGCAAAGCGACGTCGCTATGCCGAAAACTCCCCGGACTCGGGCTTAGGTCAAGATCTTGACAGCCTCCTGCTCCCCAGCAAGCCAGGCGAGATCCAACGCGCCATCCGGATCGAAGTCCTCAAGATTGCCCACAAGGATTCCTCTCGCCAGAGGCACAACCCTGCCCTGAACGGAACCATCCCCCCAGCCATCAAGGATGCTGCAAGCATCAGAGCCCGGTGCAAAATCACCATAACCACTGCCAGGCACATGCCTGGTGAGGCCCGCATTCTCTACTGTGATAGCCAAATTTGCACCATCAAGACTTTTCAGAATCCAGCTGGTTTATCTCAGATGGCCAGGGTTTACCTGCCTCAACCGTTTCATATTCCCGAAGAGAAGATCTACGTCGAGCGCGACGACGATGCAGTCTTTGATCTTGCCGACCAGTATTCCATGTCTCTCGAACTTGAATCAGCCGGTGACCGCAATTGGCCACCTCTGAACCTGGCCGACACATCCTTTGATGAGAATGTGTTCCTTGGTCACTCATCTGCATCACGACATTGGACACTCGCGGCTGAGATTCCAAAGATCATTGATGGAGGTCGGAGGTCGGGACTCTTGAGGCTACACAAGGGATCTTGCCAAGGTGTCCGAACCGACTTCGTTCTGGACGTTGACGTGAGAGCGGCAACAGCTCTGCCAGAGCGGCACTCATGGAACAGCCGGGAGAGGGTTTCTCCCTGCCCTGCTACACTTGCCGACCAACAAGATGAAACCCTGCCACTCACAAATGGTCAAGTGAATGGAGCGTATGCCAACGGGATAAATGGAAACCTGGTCAATGGGACCTCTGGCCTCATCGACGATGACGCCGAGGAAGAAGCCGAAGGCGAGTTGACACCCAGCCGCTCACTGAGGATAAGAGGAACCAAAAACTACAACCTCAAAGACCTCAGCAATCGCGCGCAGGGAAGGAAAGGCCGCAATCGCCTGGCGAAAGCGGAACTGAGAAGAGCCGACGCAGATCGCATCCTCTATCATCTTCCCAGAGAATCTGGGCCAGTCAAAGAAGTTCTCGTACTGGGCTTCGCTTGCTGCTTCTGCCATGCCTCGCACCAGTCTCTGGCTCAGCTTCGCGCGCACCTTCCCAGCCACCCACAGTACAGATTTGAGGTCAGCATCTCCTCTGGAAAGATGGGGGCCCCGGTGGACGTCTCTTGTATAGCTGTCAATGGGGGCCCCTTTTTGCGTCCCACGATATACCAGCTGGGCAAGCCGACCAAAGCCTTCGACCTGGACAAGTACGTTGAAGGCGACGACTCCTGGGTCAAGTCCCGTCTAGGCCCACACAACGACGACGGACCCGTGGTTTCGGCCCACAAAGCTTCACACGCAAGAACAGGTCAAGTGAGACCATCACAGGTAAGTGTGGAAGGCGGAGACGGGCTCACTTGAATTGCCATACTCGAGAAGCTTAACGCTGACACGGCTGCAGAGAAACGGAGGCCGTCGCAAGGAGAAGAAAGTTCTTGTTCCGGACACCAAGCAGCCGCTATTTGACTCCCTGAGCAAGGCCAAATTGATACCTGGAACAGAGGTTCGTCAGTCTGTAGCCGATGATACCTGGCTCATCCAGAAGCACCAAGATATTGTCCAGGACTTCATTGATGTCGACGCTGCCGAGAAAGACTACATCAAGCAGTGGGACGCGTTCATCCACAAGAGGCACATAAGCTCCGATGCCTTTATCTCACGCGCAGTGCTTGAGTTCGTGAATGAGAAGATGCCGTGGCTCCTCAGCTCGCAATCTCGTATCCAGGAATTCGGCAAGCATCTGACAGTCCTCATCGCGAGGGGTCTTGATGCCGACACCGTGAGGCAGGTACAATCTCGCATACAAGAAGCACGAAGTCAGAAGCCGCCGGAACCGGAACAAGCGTCTTCACAGCAGCCTCCTAGGGAGGCACAACACCGTAGCTCTAAAGGGTGCGCGATCTGTGGTCGTAACGTTCGAGGCCCGCAGTTGCTGATTTGCGCCAACGAGGTGAGTTATCTAGGTCCAAATTGGCCATCCAAGCACGAGCTGATTGCGGAATCTACAGGAATGCAAGAAACCTCTTTACCACGAGGAGTGCATCAAGTATCAGGCGCAAATTCCGATTGAGCACCAAGGATGGCGATGCAATGAATGCGCGCCTGCGCACAATGGTCACGGGGAATGCGTGGTCTAAGCATGTTGCTCTCGGAACTGAGGTAACCCGTTCCGCGGTAGCGAGTATCTTGGCACGATGTGAAATAGCCCATCAGGCTGGGGTTGCATAGAAACTCTGCTTGGAGAGGGCGCTTGACCTGCATTATCCCCAGCCTGAGCAGGAACCTTTTGTTTCCGTCGGTGAGGTCACGACGAGGCCTCAACATTATGGGCCCAGTGAAAGTGAGTCCAGAGTCTGTGCCGTCGCTGCAAACATGGGTAATGGGGCTATATGTCCTCTCAGGAGGGTAGCAAACAGCATGTTGCCCTTATTCGAGTTGCAGACATCAAGTGCAGAAGACTGGGTTATTCCACGGCTGTGATTTGCCGCATCACAGTTGGGCGGACCTGCATGCAGGCCTGAGGGGAGGAAATCGAGGTAATTCGGCGTTGCTCGCCGGCGTCTGCTCCCCTCGGTGGTGAAATAGGCACATCTGTACAAACATTATCCCTTGGCTGCGATAACCTGAAACCTATTGGACAATAATAATACGCACTATGCTAAAAACATGTGTCTCTTTGCAAAGTTGGGCTAACTGGGGCTTGGTGTAAGCGGCGGTCTGCCAGAGTGATCTACCTGCGTCTACAGGTGCGAGCGATCATCTTGATCCGGATTTTGGAGGGTTGCCAATGCAGTTTTGGTCAAAAAATACACACATCTCAATGATGGATTGCTTTCAAGTAAGTGGAGGAGACGGCAGTCTCGTTTTTGTTATTGATACACTCGCGTTTTCAATTTCAACATGAGCAGCAGCCAGGTCCAAATCTCAGGTTGTGTACCATCATCATTGATGCCAACAAGATTGTTGGTAACTTAAGATATCCGTGTCTGGGTGGTTCAGCCTTGGGACGGTTGTGTACGTGCTTAAAATCAATAGAAGATTGTAAAAGTTGCTGTAGAATACACGTGCATTGCGTCTGTTACGTCAAGGACTTACATTTGTAGTGCCGCGGGAGAAACCAGGCACGTCTTATAAGGACTCACGCAGGTGTTTTCCTTTACTACCATTTCTCTGGATGTCAATTTGTATGCGAAAAGCGCACAAAAGGTCTGCGGTGCTGAACCAGAAGTCTTCTATGAAAACCCTGCGAGTCTTTCTGAGTGCCATTTGCTTAGCGCTTCGTCTGCGGAGCTTTCAAGATTGCTGGTTGTACCCGTGCCTTAAACGATGTACTACTAGACCCAAGACTGTATTGGCTTCGAATGGTCACGCTCTCCAATCTGTGATAAGGTATGATTAGCCGAAAGTCCGAAATAATTAGTTAGCAATGGTTACTCGCATCAGCACATTCGAATCTGGCGCCCAAGGCAAATTTGGTCCAAGACATCGTTGTTCTTTTTACGGTGTCGTGGTCATGAAAATCATTTAGGAAACGTGACTTTGAGCGCTATTACATGTGCCCAATGAGATAGTGTATCAGGTCCAAGAAAAGACGACAATTCCATCCCATATCAAATACTTTGTTTATCATTATGAAGTGAAATGTACCAAAAAGTGGAAAAGGAGAAGAGATTACTAGATGCACACGACTTACTTAACTTGACCCGATAAAGTGATATTGACCTGATGGAAACATTTCTACCGTATTTTCTAGATGAGATTATTCTATTTACGGTGTTTCCATGGGGACTTCATTGCTCAAGAGATCAAACCACGGAAGGCCGCCACCAAAGCTCGGAACATCAAAGCTCGGAACATGAAGTAATTTCGACGAGTTTCAATGTTTGGTCAATCCATGGGTGTATGTGAGCACATGTGCACTTAGACACTTTTGATGTCTCCTCCAACGGGACCTAGGAAGCAGTCAGCACAAATATTTTCACATCTGTGTCAGTTTATAGTTTTTGACTTTCGTGACTCCTTATCATAACATCTACTGGCAAGTGTTTCAGGCAATTTTCCTCGGACTATTACGCCGTCATAGTTCCTCGTCTAAAGCAATGCAGCCCAGGGGGCCACTAAGCACTTATGGATACAGCGTCATGATTATCTTTAATCTGGAACGTGGCTATCTCTCGAATCATTATTGAAGGTAAGGGAAGCGCAAGGAAGATTCAATAGGGAAAGAGTTGCCTTTCCCCTTCTAAAACCCTCGCCCATCCAACTATGCATCGCAACGGAACTACGTCGTCAAGGCAGTGCGACCCTGAAGACTCATCTCAACCACAAAGCCCCCAACACCCCCGGCGCTCTTGTGATACCACGGTTGGCTCCGCTGTAGCATTTATCAACAGTTTCCAATCGTCCTCCTCGATCTGCGATTTCCTGTTGCAAAGGGAACTGGTCCATTCTTCAAAGGAAATTTCAGTCTTGAAGGATCTTGTATGGAAAAAGAAGCCTCTTTTTTACCAAGCTAGGCCGCCTCCATCAGTGATAGGTGGCGCCTCGGATCTCCTCGAGCGAGGGCTCGCCGTCTTGTTTGACCTCATCCCCACACTCAGGCTGCCACTTAGCCTCAGCCGGTCCTTCGCTCTCTGGTGTGCCCTCTCTCTTGATTTTGACGTCATCGACCATCCATTCGTGCTGCCCATCGAGCCCGCCTTGAAGGCTCTCTTCATCCAGATAGCCATACCCAACACCATGGCTGAGCTGTGGTTGATCGAAGAAAGGAACCCCATTATAGGCGCCAATTGGAAAGTGCTGGTTGAACTGCGTAGGGCCAAGGTAACCAAAGGGGAGGTTGTCGCCAGGCATGACGGACGTCGTCTGGTAGCGGAGCATTTGCGGAGCCTGGAGGCGAGAGAGCTGAGAGCGCTGTACCTGGGAATCATGACTTGCCTGCAAATCCGCCACCTGACCGGGGCTCAACCGCTGCTCAAAACCGAAAAGCCCGTCGGCAGCAATTGGAACCATACCGGGATGGAGGAGCTCTGTGGCCTGGGGGTCATCCATATGAGCTAGTAGACCGCTCTGGTGATAGCCGAGATCCGAGAGATAGGCCGCACCAGTGCCTAAAGCTTGTGGTGAGGGTTCCTGACCGTGGCTCGGCTCATAAGGGCTTGCGCTTGTAGCGCCGTCGATAGCATCTGCAATGCCATCGTCGTTGAGCAGTGCGACGCCACTGTCACTGCCCGGCTCGGACCCAGTCTTTCCCTCAAACTTGATCTCAGATTTGCTGTGAAGCTTTGATGCCGGGGAAGGAGCGGCGCCGACACTGTTCACAGCTACGTCCTTGTCGTCCTGATCCTGTTCGGATCTGAGCCTTCCCTTGGTCCTCTTCGCGCGGCTACTAGCGGCACGGACAGTAGATCGCTTCCGCCCATCTGCATTTGCGATTCCAGGGCCGGGATTATAGGAGGAGTCGACATCCTCCTCATCATCATCCACACTCTCTTGAGATTTCATTGCCGCCTTTCGCTTCTGAGCCTGAGATCTCGGAGTCTCGGGGGCGTGGTCCATTAGGCCGTGCTTTTTGAGTATCTGACGGAATCGAACCTGTTGTTTCATGAAGTTAAGCCTGGGATCGTGTAGGATAAATGCGATATTTACTGTGCCCTTACCTTAGCAGACGCTGCATTCTTCAAGTTGGAATGAACTGCTACAGCAGCCCAATCCACAGATGCACTAAGAGGGAGACTGGTTAATGGCTTGTTATGAGGGGCGTGATGTGCTCAAAAATAGGATTGATGTTGGTATGAAGAGCACAAAGCAGTTGCTTACTGATTCTGGAGGGAAGTTAGCTGACCAGAGCGCCAATCGAAGTAGTCACACATGAATGTGGGAAAGCTGTGGCCTCAGCATGGCCAAAGCCTGTGCCCAAGCCTGTAGCATGGCAAGACCTTTGGGAACCAAGGTAAAGATGGGAGAAAATGAAGGGGGTTCAGATATCACGAGGGAAGCTGCTTACGCCATTGAATCGGACCATGTTGAAAAAGAGCAGGGACTCAGTTGGAGTCAACTCAATCTGAGCGAGTTTCTTCTTGTCACTCTTGACATTGGTAGGAGTCTTGGGACTGCCGTCTTTGGTGCCACCTTTGTTGATGCCATCATCCTTGGAGGATGGGCTGGGGGTGATGTTGCCTCCGTGAACAGGCATGATTGAGACTGAAGGAGAGGTTCAGCATGCGGGTGTATGAAGTCCATAACAGTTACGCTTGCCTGTGACTCACTCACAATGAAGCTTGAGGGAACAGAGCCTGCTAAAATGATTGGGTCAGAGTCGGACAAAGACTTCAAGTGCGAAAGCTGCTAAGGTGTTTAGTCGAGGTCCGAATTGTGGTGATTGTAAGCGAGGAAGGGACAAAGAAGAAGCGATCAGGCACAGTGGCCTGGTGGTCTCATTTTTAGATGGTGGCAGTGGATGGAAGGGCGCGTTTCTGGGATTAGATTAATGGAGTAGAGGGTTGCCTGCTGCTTGAAAGTGAATTTCTATCCAATGGGTACATGCACTTACCTAGGAACAGTACAGTCTCATGCAGCAGGTCAAGCGGGAGCAGGTCGAGAGGTGGAAATTTGGAGGTTGGTATGAGGTCTGGGGGTAGAAGGCTGGCATGAAATACCTACCTAGGTAGGTAGTTCAAGATGTATGTGATTGAGAAGTAGGAGGGCACGAGGGCAGGAGGGCAGGTAGGCAATTCAGAAGCAGGGGCTAATGGGTCTATCCCCCCAAAGCCATCAACTCACTCAACCTTGCCCCACCACCAACTTCCACACACACACACACACACACACACACACACACACACACACACACAACTTTTTCCTAAACATCCTCCCCATCACCCCGCCACCATGAGCACCAACAAGAAGTGTATGTTTTGTATCCCCATCCACTCTACAGTAACAGGAAGTACTTGCTATGATCAATACTGATGTGTTCTTTAGGGGATGATGCCTCTCAGAAGGATCTCCTTTTTGCCATGCTGATGTCAACTGGCGATGGCAGCGGAACCATCAAGCCAGATTGGAAGGAGGTTGAGAAGATGATGAATGGCTGGGGTTACACCTTTACCATCGGCGCCATGTGTAAGCACCTGGGCACTCGTGTTCTTCCACCTACGCTCTTGGTCAACTCAGAACTAACTCCACTCTCCACAGCCCAGCATTGGTCCAAGACGATCCTGAAGGCCTTCAAGGAGCGACACCCAGACAACTCGGGGGATGGCGGCAACACCAATGCTGGCCCTACAATTGCCAAAACTCCTGCATCCAGCAAGGCCAAGGCTAAGACCAGAAAGCGCCCTGCTTCTGACGAGGATGCGCCCCTGGAGAAAGCCGGCAAGGGGAAGGCCTCTCATGGCACTGCTAAGAAGAGAAAGGTGTGCCAGGACAATGACGAGGAGGAGGATGGGGACGAGCATGTCATCAAGGGCAAGGCTGAGACTGACGACGGCCACAACTCTGTGGCCTAAGCTTGTGGATACCTTCAGGAGTAAACATGCTACTGATCCACTAACCGCACCATTTGTTTGCTTTCATTTCTGCATTACGTTGGGCTTTGAGGCAAATTAATTCACTGAGTCTCAAGAAGACAAGATTTTGCGTTATGTTTTATTTTGATTCCCGCAGTCCTAGTTTTTAGACAATGAAGGCTAAAGGTCTAAGGCATTTGATTAGCAGCTATGATGTAAAAGCCTCATGACTGCTGGAATACTAATTGTTTAAATTTATTATTGAAGTCCTTTAGCTAAGCGGTCTGTTAAACTAATAGTTATTAGGTCTACCTAAGTAATTATTTTAGTAGTTAGAAATTAAATAAAGATATTAAAGATTTATATACTTATTTTTTAAGGCTTTATAGTTAAATATAATTAGTATTTATTATTAAAATATACTTATTATTTAATTTTAATTATATTATAGTTTTTAAATAAAATTATTATATTTTATTATTATATATATTATTTTAAATTTTAAATTTTAATAATATTATAAAAGAATAATTATTAATAATTATAATTATATTTATATAAAAATATATTTTTATTTTTAAAAAATATTAATATTTAATATAAATAATATATAAATTAATATCTATTTATTTAACTTTTATAACTACCTATTTAATAATTTTTATAAACTTACTTAATACTTATTTTTCTTAATAACTTCTTTATATTTATAAATACTTTTTAAATTAATATAAAGAGACTTTATAGAACGATTTTCTTCTTTAATTTTCAATACTTTAAGTATAAACAACCCTTTCTAACACACCTTCTAGCACACCTTCTAACATACCTTCTAAGCTATATATATTTAAGTACTAACTAAGTATTTAAATATAAAGTAAACATTAGAAGGCTAGAAGTCTAGAGTATTAAAAGGTTAGAAGGGGTGCTAGAAGGTTAGAAAGAGTATAGTCTTTATATTTAAATACTTAGTTAGTACCTAAATGTGTGTAGCTTAGAAGGTGTACTAGAAGGTGTGCTAGAAGGTGTGCTAGAAGGTGTGCTAGAAGGTGTGCTAGAAGGGGTGTTAGAAAGGGTGTAGAAGGGGCTTATACTTAAAGTACTAAAAATTTAAAGAATCTTAGTTAAGTATATAGTTTTATATAAGTGTTAGGGCTATGGGCTGAACGCCCGCAGGACCAACCAGTGGGTCCGTGCACTCTACTTATCTTATTAGCCTAAGCGGCCTCTATACCTCTCGAGACGCGGAATTGCAGCTTCGCTACCTCCCCTATACTATTCCTTAAGCAACTCTAGTTTTAAATCAATAATTCTTCATAGATAATTTAAGCCTTCTTTTACTATAGGTTATAAGTATGGTAGTTGTGACAGTCCTTTATTAGGCTTAGTTAATAAGGAAGGTATTTACCTATATAGGCCCTTTAAATAACCCTCTAATAGTTAGTTACTAGTAATTAACTATATTTAATATCACTTCTTCTACCCTTATATATATAAGTCTAGCTAATATTAATTAGTGGTTATAAGGGTGATTATAAATAGTTAGGTTAATAAGATAGTTTATTACTTTATAGCTTAACTATTTAAAAAGTAATTATATTAAGGCTATTAGATTCTATTTAATTTATATAATCTATTTAGTATAATTATCTTTAACTAATAGGATAAAATTATATAACCTATTTAGAAGAATTAACTTTTTTATAAATATTTTAGTAATTACTAGATATAAAACTTAGGTAACCTTTTAAATATTTAGTATTTAGTTTAATGTTACTATTTAAAATTACCTTTTATAAGTGTTTATTATACTTTATATAAATAAGAACTTTATTAAAACTTTAAACTTCTTTGTTTACCCTATTATTAAGCCCTTTTTTATATTTTAATAATACTTTAAACCTTATAAGTTAACTTTATTAAGTATTAGACTCTTTATTTATTTTTAATTAATAAGTTCTTTAATATATTTATATATACCTTTAAATTAATATTATAGTAAATACTCTTTTATATTCTATTAATAGGAATTATTAGTTCCTTAAATTAATTATATTTAACCTTTAAGACGATATAATTTTATTAATATATCTATTCCTTTATAATTAACCCCTTACTATTTTAAAGATTACTTATAATAACTCTCTTTAAAGATCTACTAGATTTATTATTATAATTAATATTATTATTTATTAAAATATAAAATAAAATATACCTTAAAGTAATTTATATATATAATATTAACTTTAAGTTATAGAATATAAATTTATTAGAGAATGAGAAATTTAGTATAATATAAATTAATATATATATTATATAGTACTTATAGGTATATAAATACTTTAATATTAAGGAGTTATATAAAATATTTATAGAGGATTTTAATAAATGAATTAAAAAATATTTATAATTATTAATAAGAACTTTTCTTAAAATTAAAAATAATTTTATATATTAAAGGTATATAGATTAGTTTAAAGACTTATTAGAACTTATTTATATTAAACTTCTTTATTAAGTTAAAGGGGATATTAAAATAGTTTAATAATTAACTTAAAGAGACTTATAAACTAAATAAAGTTCTATTTTATTACAATTTAATTTAAAAAAGAATAGCTTTTAAATTTAAAGATAAGATTATTATTATTAAGGATTTAAGAAGGAAAGATAAGAATAAAAATAAAGATAAAGATAAGGAGGTATTTATAGGAAGTAAGAAAGGTAAAAGTAGGATATATAATAAATATAGAATAAAATCGTTATAATATAAAGATAATAACCTAAATGGTAGTTTAGGATCTAATAATAATAAATAGAAGAAGAAGAATAGGAAGAATAATAAAAAGAAGAAAGATAGATATAATAATAAGTTATATTATAAGTCTAATAAAGAAAATAAAGGGTTTAAAAGAAATCTACTTAATAGATCTTTATCTTTATTTTTATTATTTTTTAATTTTAAATCCTTTAAGGATAGCTATTTTAAAGATGTTTTAAAATATAAATTTAATAATATATTATACTTTACTATTAATAGAATATTTTAATAAGCTATTAGAATTAAATATAATAGCTAATATTAGTAAGTATTATTATAATAATAAAATATATTCTAGTTAAGCTTATAATATATTTAATAATAAAGTTTTTATCTTTTTTAATATATATAAGAACTTAAATGTTTAATTAATATAGTTTTATATAGCTTTTCTATATATATTAAAGGGTATTATTAAAATATTTTATTTATATAATTGTAGGAATAGAGGCAATCACAACCAGTAGATAGTTTGGGTCACGTAACCCTAATTAGTAAACCATAATAAGGAACTCATTACTAGCCCTTTAAGCCTAGCTTCCTCCCTTTTACACAATCTAACTTAACCAACTAAAAATTACTCTTTATATATACATACATAATAATCCATACTAATATTAATTAATAGTTACCTTAAATAACTATAAATAATAAAATATAAAAAGATAGTTAATTATTATAATAAGTAAAGTAATTATACTAATATTATAAAAATAATTAGCGTTAATACTAATCTATTAATTAAAATTATAACAACTATAATAAAAAATATAATAATAATTAATATTAATATTAGTCTATTAATTAAAAATATATAATAAATTATATATATTTATTACACCTTAAAAAGACTTTAATAATCTTTAAAAATTTAAAATCCATCTTTAACTCTTATTAATAACTCCTTACTTATACTTCTAATAAGTACTTTAAAAAGAATATAGTAATTTTTAAAGATTTAAAATCTATAATCTTTTCTTATTAAGTAGCTTTATTAATATTTAAAATAATAACTTAAATAGAAAATATAGTTTATATAATCTATAAGTTACTTTTATTAAATAATTAACTTTAATAAATAAGTTAATACTAAATATTAAGCTTAGCCCTACCTAATCTTCCCCCTTTTTTACCTATTTACTAGATTTCATTACTATAAAGAAGGTTGGAATACATTATATTTACCCTTATACCACTAGGTAAAACGCAATTACACTCTATTAATGCAATTATAATAACAACTCTTCCCTCCCACACCCTTTTTCCACTCTCTCTCTCTCTATACCCACCACACCTTTAACAATACTACCATTACTAAATCCCCTACTACTTATAAATAAATAAATTAGTAGTTAAAATATTATTACTATTAATATACAATTAAAATTAATCCTAATATTTATTAAAAAAATAAGCTCTTTATTTTAATTATAATTATATTAAATATGTTTTTATTAAATTAATAAAGAATAAAAAAGAAGCCCTTAAAGTTAGATTAAATTATTCTTTTAACATTATTTTAACCTATAACTTTTAAGTTATAAATCCATTAAAGACTTAATACTTATTTAAAATTTATTACTTTTAACTTAATTACTATATTATAGCAATCTTTAAGGTAGTATTTAGTATATAATTATCTAGTTTATTAACCACCATTTTAAATATACTTAATTACTATATATAGTTTACTAAGCGTATATATACCTTATTATATCCTACCTATTTTTCCTTTTTATACTACTATTTATTTTTTTATTTTATATTATATAAAACCTTAATATAAGTTGCCACTATAGCTCTATTTTTTAATTTTATTTAAAATAATATATTTTTAATTATATTAATATTAAGATCTACTTTTTAGCTAATTAGAAATAAAACCTAATAAAAAGTCTTTTAAGAGATACCTTAATATATAGATTATATACTATATAAGAGAATATATTAACTTAAATATTAAAAAGTCTTTTATAAATTTAAGTTTAATTTTAATAATTAAAATAAAAATATATTTAATAAAACTAATAAAGAACTATTTAAGAAGATAAAAAAGATTATATAAATAAAGGGTATTTATATTGGATATTATTAAGCTTTAAATATTATTACATTTAGTAACCTTAAGGGTATTTTATTAATTATTCTACTTTTAAAGAACTTTCTTATTAATAAAAATAAA